CGAGAGTTTTTAGGGTCCATCGCGTATGTCCGTGTGGCATGGATAGCCGCCTCGCAACCTCGACGGGTGCCAAAACCTAACTAGTGCGGTTGTAGATACTCGGCCATTTCCTCCCTGACTGAACAACAGGCCAGCTTAGCAGTCAAACGGCGGAAAACTCTGCCGACAGCTATCGGCCTGAGTCCTCCATTCTTCTTATTTAAGGCACAAAGCGAAGCCCCATACATAAAAGGACACACTTCAGGGTTTAACTTTACTTTAAGAAGTTACACAGCTTGGCCAGACTACCCATTAAACGTTGCCCGTTTTCGCCCGCCGCCCTAGAAGTGAGTTCCTTTAGGTGCCCTGGACGAATGCCGTCCAAACCCGCCGTAGAATCACTATAAAAAGAGTTTAGCGCCTGAGCTACATCTTCTGGTGTAGCGGTAACGAATGCGCATGACGCATCCGGCGCTGGCGGGGGGTTGAGTGGGCGCTGGCGGGGGGTTGAGTGGGCGCGACGGGCCGGCGTGCTTAAGCTTCAAGGCAGCAGGGGCAGCAGCAGGGCAGGGTCTCAGAACCCCCCTGAGCAAATTTGTCGTTCGACATCAACAGGCGGACGGCTCCCCTTAGGTCTCCCTCAAATACCTTATTTTCAATAGTTTTTTGTATTGAGCACGACCTGCGATTCGTTGGCGCACCGTCACACTCATCTTCATACTGGTAAAAGCCCGAGGAGTTGATATTCGCCTTTACCTTAGACGTCATATTACCCGGCAGAGACTTAGACGGCACCCTCAATGCGATAAAGGCAAAAGAAAGAAGCGCGAACCAGTCCTCTGCACCATTACCGTCCACGCATCCATCTATTATGCTGTTTAATTTGGCCGCGGCTAGGTTACGTGCAGCCTTAGGAATGTGCCCCATCACCGGAATGCTACTTTTGCAAGTGGCAAGCCTTTCCAGAGGGCACCGATGTTGGGGCAACACCCCCGGGCGCGGCCGTTGGCCGACATCAATAGAAGACGTGGCCTGTTGCACATCCGTAGTGCTCGTGCGTGGTTGGTGTCCATGTATTCGTGCAATATGTATTTTGAGGCCGCGTGAACTGAAGATGCGCGCAGACCCCTGGCAGTGGGGCCATGTCGATTGTGATAATAATGAGCTCATGTTAATGATGCCGACAAAACACACACGTATATAATATATATAAAAAAAAAACACATTAAAAACAAAAACCAGGTCGAATTGAGAACCTCCTCCTTTTCTTTTTAAGTCGGTTAACAATGTCAAAACATTCTTAAAATCCCAAAAAGTTGCTTTAAAGTAGTCAATTTATAAACGTATTTATACAAGGCAAAGTACAGAGGTAATCATGTTATGGCATAGAAAGTAAAGTTTCTAAACCAATAATATGTGTAATATTATGAAACCCTAACTAAACCAATAATATTATGAAACTATGCAGTAATAAATTCTATAACATATTCTTAATGTTAAATTAAATGAGTAACATAAATCAATATCAACAACAAGTTTCTACAAAATTAGGATGGCGTTAATTAATAATAATTTACAGTAACAATTATGATTCTCACCATCTGCAAAAGGGTAGATAGGAGTAAAAAAAATGGAATTGAATAATAAACATAATTACTAGTGTACAAATTACAAGTCGCCCTCCGTGGAAAGCCGCCGGTACAAGAATTCTTCCAGACACTCGACGTAGTGGCACCAGCAGTGCAATATTATGCCGGACCACAACAAAGCAACAATCGATTGACGAACAAATACCGTTAACGCAAACAGAGATGGCGCCAACCGTGTGTTGGTGAGGTCAGGGAATGTTTGAAATATGTGTTTTTCTTCCCACTGTTATCAATTTTATTTTAACGTAACTTTTCCGCACACACACTTTAACGCTCAATCACTGTGGAAGCACTGATCACCACTGTTGATGTCGCTGCCGATCTCCCGGCCGACACACGCAGCTTCGGCGCCTCTAGGGTTTTCGGATATTTCGCTAGCAACGAGACAAAACTTTGGGACAACATTTATTCACCTGCATTGGGCCTAGTTTTCCATGTATAACGCATAAAAAACCGCAATATCACTTGATGAAATAATAAAACAGGAATATATACTCGGAGATCTATGTTTATGCGAAGACATACCCTCGCTTTCCTCATACATTCATATTGCACGAGGCGGATTTAATCCCACATAGCAATATCTGTCAGTCAACTTTGCGGTGGTTTAGAGTGGAGGAAAATATATACAATACGAAAAAAATAAATACACGAAATCACATCTAACTTCATAAATACAGAAAAATATGAACCTAATGGGTAATTTCTGCCAGCTGTTTCCTGTAATATTCACGTACTTACGTTATTTGTTAATGCGTGTTTTGTCAAGCTCTTTAAAAGATCTTAGTAAAAGGATAATACTTGTTAAATAGTTACCCATAATTGGGGTTTCCAGTGACGTTTTAAAATTTTCAGCACAACGATCAATATAATCTTTCTACTTACCATATCTATCCCTTTTAGGTAAATACTACATAAGTATGTTTTTTATGATATAGCGTTTTGACCCTTTGCCTCCAACTCTTTGTTTACGCAAATTTATATAAGTAATAATTTTTTTATGTAGGACGTGTTTAAAAAACTATTTGTTTTTTCTACTAAGATGTATTTTAAATACATAACTGACATACTTTTTTATTTTAATTATGCGTTTTCGTTTAACAGTTGGATATCAGCTGAAATTTAAGTATCATTAAAGACATCTGGATTGAAAACGGCAGGTTATTAATAAGTTCGATTATTGGTGCATTTTAACGATTTCCGTAAAATACCTAACTACCTCTTTGAAACGTCTAAAAGAATTACATCTATTGTTTATATTGGCTATAATGCCTTGTTTCAAAGATATAAATTTAAATTTAGTCATTAAGAGTTGTACATCTTGTTATAAAATAAAAGTAGATTAGCAAAAGTTATTATAATTGTGTGAGTTACGCTAATACAAAGTTGTTTCTGCTTAAAACGTATGAAACGTCAAACAGTCCCTCTTAGATTAGATGGACTAAAGTGGTGATGTGATGTCCTTAGGGGGAAATCTGTGGTCGAAACCGACCCGTGTTCAGGGGACCAGATTGCCTAACCGAAACAATGCGAGTTTGTTAAAAACGTTTTTACGCTTAACTACTAAACCGGTGTTCGTAAAATTTTGACTTAAACAAAAAAAAACTATTTTCGAGGATAGTACAATAACTTATGCAAGAAGCCGCAATCACATTTACCTTTCTCGTTCTTTACTGTTCAGCAATTCAAATTGACCAATTGGATGTGAAGAAAAATGCGGGGAATAAGAAAAAAGAACACCGATTGTATAATGTATGTAATTTTAAACGATTATCACAACGCTCTAGACATAAATTGCACCATAAAATAAAAGTACCCTAAAATCAGTCTGGTACCAAAGAGCTAGACAAAACCAACTGAATTGGAATGAATATAAAAATACTATGAAATAATTTAGCAATATACATCTACTTCAATTAGTAATTTTACATACAGGAAACTCCAGTACGAGACAGCCTTTATGAATTCAAAGATAAATGAATGTAATAGTTTTACAAATCTTTACTCTAATGAACACTTAACTGTATGGGGGCGAGTTACTACTTTCACCAAATTATAATAAAATTGAACCTTACATAATATGTATGTCACTGCAAGTGCAGCAATCTAAAAATGCACTTCACGTTTTGAACTTCATTTTAAAATCACACTTGTCCATATTCATAATACTCGCTTGTCTAGTTTAAAATTTACAAAGGAATGTTTAGATTGGAAGATCTGTCTTGGAAAATAAATAAAATGTGAAACTACATATTTTCACAATTCATAATCTTGTAAATTGTGCGTAATTAATTAATTAAATAGGCCTTTTGAAATATGACTAGTCAAGACCAATTATTTTGGAATTCGAATTCGCCTAAATATCAACGTCAAAGATTAAATTTACAAATATACATCATTACATCATGAAAAGGGTTACATATTGCTTATAATGATTTATTAATTATATGTTCAGATTAAAAATGTCGTAGTTTTAATTGTATTGAAATTATTCTGGAATACCTACCGTTTAAACCCAAAAAGGCGTTAGGTAGTTGCCCGCATTAGACGAAATATTTTATTTTTAATATGTAAATCTACCCTATTTTTCAGTAATTTGAAACATACACTATCAACACAATTTAACCAATGCGCTAGCAGGGGATGATATGAAACTATAAATTAATTTGATCAATGCAAAGATTTAGTAAGAAATTAATGGCGTAGAAACAAATGGCCTTAATGGTCGTATACAGGCAACAGTCGCACTTTATTCAGTATTGAATAAACGTTATTCGATTTGCATGTTCTGTATCACGGCAAAGCATAATGGCAATACAAAACTTTGTATGCACTACAAAATACAAAAGATCACATATTTCATGACATTCATTACCAACGCTTTGTTTATAAAATAAAATATAATGTTATTTAATTATATCAAATAATATGTATCCCATTAAAACAATAAATACTTATGGGAATGGTTATACATCTATAAATAATAAGCGGCTAAAATATATTAATGACTACATGAACCAGTAACAGAATACTAACTGAATCACAGTAAATAAAAAACGATAATTTTTATCTTACCTACAAATTACTAGAAATTATTATGACCGTGTATCATCAATTCATAATGTTCTTAATGTTAAGATTTAAAATTAACCACTCCGTACAGTAATCATAATGGTGATCAATATATTCAAATACAATGTTAGAATACTAATCAGTAACTATTTTACTGTCTAAAATGTTAACTTTCTAACTGGCACAATTGTGAGCATCCGATAATAAAATCCGAGTTTGTGTAGGTAATATCTGGACATGGAACCCTGCTCAACGTATCACGTACTTTCTCCGTCATGCTGAACTGCACCCGAGCTTGGCTTAGGCTTCAGAGCCCTCTGGAAACATCAAAAGCAAATATAAGTCGATTTTTCATGTTTATTGAAGGAGCGAACGAAATGTTTTTACTTGGCATCTGGCTGATATAAAAGAGGAGAAATTTTGCTTGGGCGTTATTTACCGACTAATTATGAGTAAATATAATGATTGGCAAATAAAATTAATTCCATTCAGGTACTGTCAATAAAATATGACCCACTCACTAAAATAAACCTTCGTAGTTTCGTAGTTTTATTTAATTACAGATTTGTTAGTAAGTATTCCATAATTATTAATTTGATTTCCTGTAGTATTATTTCTTGTATGTATTTCGAGAATAATTTTGATTTAAGTATAGCGAAGCAGCCCTAAAAACATAAAAACGCTGTTAATATTTATTTTTATACTAGCTTTTAGCCCTTTTTTTCTGTTCGGAAATCCCCTCGGATACCACTTACCGGTGGCAATATCGGACTCGAACCGACTAAAACCGCACGCCGTCTCAAGTACCAGTAGTCGGGGAACCAGGGGTACTATATTATACAGGAAATCCCTGGTGGACTAGCTTTTAGCCCTACAACTCAAACTAACTCCGTAACAAATTTCATTTAATCGGTTGAGCGGTTATTGATTCCCCATACAAACTTCCACCCCTCTTTTCACCCCCTTAAAGGATGATTTTTGGGATAAAAATTATCCTGTCCTTTCCCGGAACTCAAACTATCTCTTACCAAATTTCATCTAAATCGGTTCATAGGTTTAAGCGTGAAGACGTAACAGACAGACAGACACACTTTCGCATTTATAATATTAGTAGGGATTACTAAGTTTGTAAAAAGCAATGCATCGCAAACTAACCTGGAGTTAAAGGATGATCTCGTAGCATTGAACCTGTAACATTTATGAAAAAAAAAACATTACAATTTATAATTCACACACATTCCACACTGCGATACACTTTTATACAATTATTTATAGTTAATATTTACTGTATTCTAAAATTAAAAATTATTGTATTCTTACAGATTTCTGCAGAAGTCTAAACATGCATACACATGCGCAAATTTAAACACATTAGCAACTCTTGTACAGGTTCATTCCCATTTCCAAAATTCTAGTTTGTAAATTTAGTAACTTTATTTCGTAGATTTCTTCATTTTATTAGATTCATTAGATTTTCTTTAATTAGAAACTATACGATAGAAAATATAGAAACGTACGAAACGATGCACATTTTAAATAATATTAATTAAAGACATGCAAAACAAATTTGTTAGTATTATTTGAATAGTACAAGATGCAAACTTAACAGTGTAGGTTTAATGCAAATAAAATGCTTCAGTACAGGCCCGGAGTAAATACAAAGAAAGCTTATGTTTAATTATTACTTTAAATGCTATATAGTCACCATTTCTGCAATATTTTGTATCCATAAAGGTAAAACGGGCATTTTCTATATTGTCTCTATACTTCGGAAATGCTCACAAATATTTTTATTTATTAGGGAGGATGCAGCTCGTAAAAACTTATAAAAATAGTCACCTAAACATCAGGTCCGGCGTTGCACAACGACGAGGAACATAGAACTTGTGATAAATTTACTAAGCCATTTAGTTTCGTAACATAATTTTAGATAGGAAAACAGGTGATTTGTGGGTTTAGCGTCATGTCCAACATGCTCAACAAACTGCACACATAAAGCAGCGACAAGCGTTTACCTATGCAGCGAGACGGTACAAGAGGTCTCAGTATAGAATAGCGTCTGAAAGATGGTTACTGGTTAGTGCGGCGCCCGGCGTGATGCCCACGATGCTGCCTCCGACGCACGCCTCCACGCCTTCTGTAGACCACCACCCGATACGTCAAATTGTAACCAACACGATATGACACCGAGGAATTAGATTACATACTCTGCTGCTTCCAAATACAACAATCTCAAGTGTATATGCTTTGCTATTAGAAGTGTTGTGATTTATTGAAAGGCTACAAGCAATCAGAGATCGAAAACACAGGACCGGGGTTGAGATCTGACAAAATGTGTTTCCAATATTGTATTTTGCTTTTTACATTTACATACATAATTAATACTATCCTTTTATAATATCAATAACGATACACACACAATACAAGTAAAGGAAAATGTATATCCGTAATTTAAAAAAAAGTGCCTGAAATTAACAAACAGAAGTAAGCAATTATAATTTCAATAATACATAGGGACATCATTCATCGTTTTGTTTTGTCAATAAAAATGATTTAAAAAATGATATTTTCAACTAATAATTTTACTTAATTGAAAAACTGTGTAGGATTTTATACATTCATGTCCAATAAACGGATATTAAACTAAAACTGTCTTGACAATTATTTTTAATTGGTACAATTTCTACCTGATTTTTTGCATATTCCTGTCATTGAATAGGCATACCCCTTTAATCAATAAATGTATTTAAGTACGCTAGGTAGCATAGCAACCAATCATAACACGGTGCCGGTGTCGGTATTATTTATGTATCTATGAAAATAAATTAGTTAATTATATTGTTTGCCACCACCATCTCACGAAGAATACAGTTGTGGACTTTAAAATGAATAATAATCCAAATCCTCAAAACATTACTATAGTCACGACAAGAAAATAAAATTAATAACACATACTTATTAAAACAGAATTAAAAGTAATCTATCTCAGTAATAGAACCAATTACTCAATGACATGCAAAAGTAAAAAAAATGCTAGCAGAATAAATTTGATAAATTATTCAAGTAATTGCACTTAAATTGATTTGCTTGAGAACAATATAAATATGTATACAAGAGATATAAGGCTAAGACGACAGGGGAAAGGGGCCAAGGCAAGACAAAATCACATCAAACGTTTGTAAAGATTAAAGTTACAGGAAGACTGAAATAAATGTTTTGTTACAACCGCTTCATCAAAAAAAAACTAGCCAACTAGCCCAAAAATATTTCAAAGTGTGTCACAAGTCTATCGTCAGGTACAATTCACTGTATGGCTTACAATTCACTGTGTATCTCTATCATAGCAAGTAGGTTAGAATTCTATTCTTAAATTTAATTAATTTTATTGAGGACATTTCGGTATATCTTGTGCGTGGGAAAAACATGAACAACCATGCAAAATCTTACCAGTAGTGCAAGCTGCGGCGTTATTGTCCGGGTTGACGCCGGCGACGGACCAGGGGCGGGCTTTGCCGGGCGTGCGGGCGCATCCGTTTCCTAGCACACGCACTCGTTACACACACACCAACACAATATACTCGCTATTATTAAGTTTTGTGCAAACTTTTTTAATGTATATACAAAAGAAAATATTTCTGTGTAAGAAAAACTTAATCTTGATAGAGCCTCTCTCGGGGCCACAACAGGTCGTGCTTTACCGACGAGATAATTGACTACAACCGTACTGTTTAATTGATCACGAAAATGTGTGTTACAACTCTAATATTAAAAGCCCATCCTTAGTTATTATTATTTCTTACTTTTGATAATGGATTCATACTATTGTTTTGCACAAAACTTATCATGAATTTGATGGGTAATATAAGGTATTACACCACTTTACTTGGGTATGTATCACTAACCAAGTTCTAAGCATACAATCACACCTGCGTACGAATTGCACAAAGCTGTGTTAGCACATTCAGAGAAAGGCAGTGAGGTGGACAAACACTTGGCGCAAATACTGCTTCAAAGCCAGACATTTGGAACGAAGATACAAGAAAGATTTGATATTCTTAGTTAGAAGAATCGTTAAATTATGAAATTTGATACCAGTGGGTAATATTTAAATAAAATTATTTGATTACCCAAGATCGAGTGAACATAATTATATTATGTGTTAGAAGGTTTCGCTATACCTACGTAATCATTTTATTTGTGTATTTTTACAGTCCTCGAAAACTTCTAAATTTGAATATATAATTAGAATTCTTACCCATGGTATTGACGTTATCGGAAGATCGTGACGGCGGCGGCGTCGATGCTGTTGCCTTGGTGCCTACATTATCGGAAGACTTGCAACGAGACACTTCTGCAAAGCAAATAAAAACAAAACGTATAGAAACAGTAGTCAGGAGCTAGTTCTAAAATTTAAAACCTGTTTGTCGAGTTCATGTTTGAACTGATGTTCCAAAACAGAATATGTTGTGAAACATTGCATTCTATTTAAAGGCAAGCATAATATTCTAGTAAAAGAAGCCTAGGATCGATCTAAGGGACGTACAATTAAAGAGACCTATGTCCAGCAGTGGATTTCGATAGGCTGATGATGATAATATTCTAGTTAAGGAAATTTAAAAACACTTACCGCATTCTAATAAGACAGGCGTACTTTCACCCGATGTCACACTGTACCTATAACAGTTAAAATTATTTTATTATTCTTTTCTTAGCTTCACTTGTAATTAAGTAAGAATGAACTTAAATCTTGGGAGTCAATTTTAATCTACTTCTAATCGTCATAATTAATTAAACTTTGTATGCCATAGCCAGAATTCGATTGGGGCTGCCTCGATTCTGCAGCGTATCAGGAATGTTTGCAAATTGAATTGTTTATTAAACAATTCGCGATGTGCATCCATGCTCTGAAGAGTGCGAGCCAAATAAATTTGAATTCTGGCTTGGATAGCTGGTAGGTTCGACTCTACCTATATGAACAACTGTTCCAAGGTACATATAGCGAGAGACTAGACTAGAATTAACTTGTGTATTAAAGAGATATATTATTATTAAATATATATTTATAATTTTTAATTTTTAAATAATAATATTATAATTTTTAATCATATTTTATGATGGAGTCTGGCGGTGGAATAGGAATTATAATTTTTGAGGGGGACTAATTTCATATCAGCAGAGCGTTCCAAGGATTGTGAGTATAGCAAGGGTGACACGTTACGTGGTAAGAGTACTAAAATATTAATTCTATACATACATGGTGTCGTCGCGTTGCAACGTGGGCGAGTGCCGCAGCGGCGATGGTGATGCCAGCGACGACAGGGAGTGCAGCGAGCGTGATGTCAAAGGTGTACGAGCTGATAGTGACGCTTCCTCGCTGCCCGGTGGTGTACGGCAAGTACGCCAAAATTCTTCCAAACCTATAAACACAAGAGTTAAAATTATATACCTTTAGTCTAGCCTACTAAGTGACTATGCAACTGTGCATGTGTATACAGCGACTTTGAATTTTTTCATGTAAGGTTTGAGAACAATTTACCCTCATCGATATCCTGAGACTGGTCCGTTATCGGCCGAGTCGGTGCTCTCGTTTTGGTTCTTCTCGGTCGACCTGAAAAATACAAAAGAGTTTTTAATTATTACGTATTTATAATTTTAAATGACCTTTTCTTTCACTGAGTGGTATGCGAATTGACTTATTCAATATACTAAGAAATTCTAATAGTCGCAACCGTACCGAGATCAAAGAGTGGTTTAAAACCACTGCAGAGAGAAGGAAAACTTGAAACAAACCCTATACCAACCCGTCTGGCAAGCGTGGTATAGTAGGCCAAAACCTCCTTTCTAAGGGGAGGCCTATGTCCAGCAGTGGACTATTAAAGGCTGTTGATGATGATGATGATGACAGCGACAAATATATTTTTCTGTCGGTTTAAGCGAAGTAGTTTTCACTCGATCATGCTTGAACTGAAAACTAGCACACATAAATGAGCGAGTCGTAGAATGCTGATAACCTTTGACGAGGTGTCGCAGCGTGTGCGCGGGCAGGTCGGCGAGTGCGTCGGCCGCCTCGGCGTGCAGCGGCGGCAGCGACAGCATCTCGTTGGAGCTGCACTGCTGCTGCTCCGCCACCGACTTGGGCCGCACGCGCCGCCCGCCGCGCTCGCGCCGCCGGCAGCCCAGCGGCGTGGCCTGCGCACGCCACACACGGTCAACCCTCGTCTACACGCCCTCCAATGTTTCCAGTAGTGTGGCACTCATATTTAATTGTGAATTCTTAATTAGCCATTAGCAAATTAATTGTAGTCGTTTTATGAACCTATGAATTAATATAGTAATGAGTTGATAGTAATTTAGTTTTGAAAGAGTGTGACGTGTACGTTGTAAATAGGTATTTTGTGAATAGATAGTGTCAAATGACGAATAGACGAAGTCTAGCATATCGCGAACAAACCCTATATTGCATTATTTCTGTAATAATGTTGGTGAAAATAAAAAAGCAGCCTCTTTTGATCGCGAAAATCGCGGTGAGTTTAAATATAATAAAAATAGGTTATTTATGTAAAATTAATACTTAGTAGTTACGATCGTTTTTCATTTGATCTCCTTGTACGAAATTGCAATATTAGAAAATAATATTAGCATTAGCAATTAATATGCTAAGACATAAGAATTGGCAATTAATTAAATTAAATCTAATTAGCATTAATGGCCATTACTAGTTTGCAAGCCCTTCTCGACTTACCAAAACATAAACTCTCTTAATTAATAAGCTAAGAAGCTCTTTCTCTTTGTAGATAAATCTTTTTTGTTCAGTAATGGAACGAGTTTTTTTTACTTTCGATGAAATGAAACTTATCGATAATTCAATAAAATGTAACCGAATTCTGATCTCTTTTACTTCAAGAAAATGTGTTTTGTCAATAATTAATAAAATAAACAAAATAGAAATAACAGCTTACCAAATTTAAGTAGTCCAATTTCTTAGGTGCATGAAACATATGTTTTTCATTGAGGATCATTTTAGATACAAAGACAATGTTTACGTTAACGACATTCGTTTCATGTCTTAAATAAAACCATATAGGTACATATATATTCTCACAATTTATCGCTGCAAACGAAACAGTGATCAGATTTGATTCACAAACATAATGTAGGCCCAACTTAATTTACTATTTTATCTATTAAAAAACATTTAGATTGATAATGCATGGGTATCGGTATAGGTATAGAATTTTTTTAATCCGATAATTTGAATCCCGTGCAGTATGCTTCATAGCGGACTATGTATTTTTATGATGCTTATCATAGAGATACATATTCCTCGTAACTTATGGGGCTGGTATTCCCACCATCAGTTTTGATAAATTTAAAACTTACCCCAGAGTGTGAGATGGGTGTAAGTAAATCCGGTATATCACCATCAGTACTAGGAACTGGTTCACTGTCAATGTTGTCCACGTTCTCGCATGCTAAAAGAGCAAGGCTTTCCACAGCCTGGCTGTAAGGAGAAATAAAGTAAGTTATTAAAAGTAAAGAGGAACCTTATCAAAGTATATTATTATTCAGGGCCGGGCACGCTCTGCCGGGTGTGCAGAGCGTGCACCGCACACGGGCGGAATTTTTTAGAGGGGCGGCAAAATCAGAAATCGAAATCGAAACTTTTTCACAATTTGCATGTTTAATGTATTTTTTTTTCTCATTATAGTAACATCTATTGATCAGTGTACAAAATAAAAGCATATCTTTATATTCCAATTACTTTATTAAACGTAAGTATGTATCACTCACACATGATTTAAATCATTTAAGATGCGGGCGCGGGTTTCCAAATATCCTACACCGGGCGAAAGTTTTAAGTTCGGAAGATTATGGAGCGGCTTAATTCTGGCACGCTGTTATTGTGACGGTAAGAAGCGTTATGTGGGACCACGGGACCCTCTGATATTGGCTGACGCAAAAGACGCTTTGGAGGTCCCCTGTGTCTCATCCGCAAAGAGGTAATGCCACTACGATGGCCAGAGCTTTACACGCGGCCATGTATGAAGCAGAGGCATGAGGCAGAGTGACTGATTGCGACCATAGTACGGAGCTACTAACTCCTCTTGCAGGGCGAAGTGCGACAAGGAGGGATTTAGAACCGTATTCACTATACATCAGAGGAGACCATCTGTAAGCCGTAAATGACTCGGGGCACGTCGGGGTATCAGGGATTTTCTTTCTGGTGATTTTCTTTCTTGCCCGAAATGGCGCGGCGTGCGGTGTTGGTGGCGGCGCTGATTAACGTCGCGGCAAGGCACGGCACGACAGGGTATCCTTCAGCAGCCGAAGGATGTTGTGGTATGAAGCAGCATGCCAAAACATACCGTGCACGTCGTTGCATCTCGCAAAAAGTCTAGCCACTCAATAGGGTCGGCGATAACCGACGTCGCGACACGGTTCGTCTTGGTAAAGGATTTTATTTCTGATCAAGTTCTTTTTATCCATATTTCCATGTGTTGAGAATTATTATTATTTTACTTTTACCTGTTCCATACAACTACTCCGCGCCACGTCTTGGAGGAGGAAGCATGCGCATCTGAGTGTCTCTCGTTCGTTCTCCACAAATGATGTACCCATAATTGTTTTTGCTTCAATATATCAGTTTGTGTTTGTCTCTTTTCATCTTCAACAAGAACTGCTAATAAGTAATACTAAATCGCAGACAATCAGAACGGCGCAACCAATTTTGTATCCGCGCAGACGAAACTGATTGACTGTCTCCCGCCTTTGATTCCGAGCGGCTATACTCCTGCAACCTATGTAACTCGCGGTATATGGTGGCATGACAATTTGTAGAATAAAACCGCATGACGCGGTATAATTGTATCGAAATTAAAATGATTTCTAAACGCATTGAAATAAGGATAAAAATAATTTGATCGGAAAAGAATTCATAACCACCACCGGACAGCCGGTAGTGGTTAGTGTCCGAAAAAAGGGCGGCTTCCATCGGTATTGCCAATGGGCGCTCAAACAGCTAGTGGCGGCCCTGCGCTGCCTTAGTGGTATAGTACGATACATGAGGCCTCGGGTTCGATTCTCGGATCGGGAAATTTGTTATAGGGTTTTTCTGAGGATAAATCCTTTTTAAAAAAAGTTGAACCGATTTCTAACAGTACTAACAAAGAACACTAAAAACCTAGCGGTTGATTTGCTGTCATTTTTTAACCTTTCGAACAAAATAAGAAATTTGAAAATCCGTCCATATATAACGGAGTTAAGTACATAAAAAACAAATGGATTGAAAACATCCTCCTTTTGGAAGTCGGTTAAAAAATAACCTAAGTTACTCCTTATATAGACGGCTGCCTGGTAGTAAAATATCAAATTACCCGGAACAAACAGATAGACAGACAAAAAAATTAAACTGTTTTTTAGACATGGGTATCGAGCAAGTAACCGTGTGAACATGGGGATCACTAATTAGTGTCTGCAACATTATCAACATGACAAGTGGTTGTCTATCAGCATCGCCGTCATTTGCCCTGTTGCATATTTAAATTATTTATTTTTCGATATCCGATCTATGCAAATAATCTCTTTGTAATGCAATGATCTAGTATCTTACATTCAAAAACTGATGATTATTAGAATTTAGTAAACTTCAAATTGCCTTCTGTTTATATTTTACTATAAACTCAATCGGAAACGGATATTTGTGTCCTACTCGAAATGAAAATCATACATTGTATAGCAATAGGTACCAATAAATAATAGAATATGGTTTAAAAAAACTCACTTAAGTAGATCTTGAAGGGGATTTTGACAGGGTGCCATAGCGTCTCGCACGGCTTGCAAAGAGACGAGTTCACTACTGGAACCGCTGCCGCCCATCGCTGCGAAGACTTCGCCGCATCTCTGTAGACGGGAAGCTTTCTTTATGATGCAATTAATTATAGTCCATTGCGTTAAAAACACGCGACGAATCGATCGAGTCCCGCTCCCTGATCCATTAGGTTCCAAGAAAACGATCGTTCGGAACGGGACGGTTAGGGCGTGATCGATTAATAAAGCGGACGGACCTGCAGGTACTGGTGCAGCAGGTGGTGCGCGGCGGCGGCGGCGCGCTCGAGCGCGGCGGGCAGCGGCGGCGGCGGCAGCGCGTGCGCAGCGTGCGCCGCCAGCGCCGCGGCCGCCTCGCCGCCCGCCCACGCGCGCTCCAGCGCCAGCGCGCGCAGCGTGTGCGCGCCGCCCGGGCTGCCGTTCTGCGACAACCTGCACCGAACATCTCTAGTTAACGTACCACCCGACCCGATACTATTTGTCCTGATTCATTCATCAAATTATTCTTTGTTTAAAAACGCAATTCGTGCCGTTGCGGATTTCTTATATTGAACTTGAACTAAAGCGGTTTACCCGATATCTACATTAACTCATCGACGCCCTATTTTTATTAAGTTATACCTAAATAGAAGACCGATTTTGTACTAGTTAAATCTAAGAGTGCAACCGTACCTAAGCACAAAACACGTAATTTATTTAAAAAAAACACATTTAGACGCAATTCAACGAACTAAAAAGTTAACTAATTACTCCAGCTTTTTAATCTCTTTAGAATATATATACGAAAGAAACAAACTTTAAAACAAGTCGCTATTAGTCTCTTACACAATATATACAGGATACTTAACTACATAATATTGAGTTGGCTCAAAAGAGCAACACTTTTAAGTGTGTACTAGTTCAAACGAGCTTGCTAGGGACGCGACAGTAGGAAATGTACCTTTCATGTAAGTCTCTCCACAAGGTGGCCACGCGTTCACTCGCGCCACGACCGCCCGCTGCTGCATCACAGCCGGGGAACTCGACACGACGTACACTCACTGATCGACGTAAAGCTGTAGCTATATCAGTTAAACCTAAAAAATTACAATAATCTTTACACCGTTTACGCTCTTAATGTAGTGATCTGAAGAAAATCTACGCATTAATATCTACTCTTCAGCTAAAAAAAACACAATCTAACTTATTATTTGCAGTATGTTTTTTTTTTAAGAAAGCAAAGAAGAAAATATATAAGACGCTATCTTGGCTTGGCCATCACGGTACTAAATATAACTACCACTCTCATGCTACTGGGGTCGCAAACGGCCACCTAATCCCTAACGACAACTGACAAAAAAGAGATAAAAACTTACCTTGTAAACTGAAGGCATTTCGATCAATATAGAGGGTTTGTAGTGTACAATTGCATTGTAGAGCTTTTGCAAGGAGTCTTGCACCCGCATCACCGGCCAAGTTACCTCCTACATCTAAAGAGCGAAGTCTTCTCGCACCACCCAAGGCGTTTAGCAACCCGTACAAGTCGCCCTGAAAGACATTACTAGATTACACATAATAATAAAACAATTTTTATTTTAACATGCATGATGCAATTTTGTTATGAATATTTTTGGACATGTTTAGCAACAGTTGAACTAGAAAATCCAAAACGTGTGTTGTGAATTGCTAGAGTTTTTATATGACAAAGAACCTCGTTCATAATGACCTGGTGTGTAAGAAAAACATTTCAATGTTCTTTCCTTTGCTCCTTTGCCGCTTGAGCACAACAGAGCTGTTGTAGGGCAAAATAAACAGCACCGTACAAGTGGCACCAGTGCAGCGATAATGCGAGTTTTCTCTCTGTATTAGAAGGAATACAACCGGAAAGTGGCAATATAACATACCTTTAGCTTACAATCGCTGAGATCTAACGAAGTTAACGCTGTATCAGGTTCTTGGAGGACATGGACTAGTGCCTAGAAAACAAAGAAAGTTAGTAGTTTAGTAGTTTAATTTTATTAGTGTTATAGTATAGTTTATTAGTGATATAATAATAAATACCTAATAACGTTAACTTTAAACATTTCACACACGATTAGGCAGAGCCTGTACTGTGGTCACCATCACGGTGATAAACATACTTAGATTTCTAAATACTTACGTATTATAGATAAATAACACCCAGACACAGAACAAATGATCATGTTCATCACACAATATTTGTGTTGGGTTTGAATAGATCCCACAAACTTATAAAATATATATATATAATACACTGTACACAGTATTAACTATCTTGCTTTTCTGTGACACAATAGATAATCGTTTAAGCACTCAACCATAAGGGTGGGTTGCAATTACGCAAGGGTAACTTTTTGCTATCTTTTTATTACTAGACTAGCAACCTGCCCCGGCTTCGCAAGGGTGCAATGTAGATACTAATGTGGTGACAGTGTTCATGAGTAGTTAATTATATTATTATTATGATTAGACTAAACTAAAGGATATCAAAATATACAGTTATAGACACGCTCCGCGGATGACGGCCGCTGGCACCCTGGACGGACATATAGCCCGACTCGACAGCCTCTCTGCACACGCATTTTAAATCACTGATATTTGACAGCTGATTGTATAAAAAGTTTAATTTCCATACACTATTTCATACATTATTTCAGTATTCGTTACGACGTGCCTTACACCCTGTATATTATTATGGTCTTTTTATCTACAACTTGGCTATATTTGATATTTTGTTGTTGTTCCAAACTAAGCGTTGTTTTTTTGTTATAGTTCTATTAAGTATTACGTTGTTTTTTTTGTTAGTGTTGATTTTTACTGCTATAATAAGGCATGGAGATGGTGCATAAGCGAACTAGTTATACGTAGTGTAGATGTAATATATAGTTATGTGCCTGTAATTTTTTGTCTAACCGTGCGTTTCTTAATGAAGTTGCAAGCTAATTGGAATGTAATGTCGTTGCTTGAGAGTTATCTTCTCATTTGAAACGCATAATACGTCTTGCATTAAACATCGACGGTATGAAACATCATATGTTTCATACCGTCGATGTTTAATGCCGTCTGTTTGTACCGGCAAATCAATAATTTTAAAATACATTTCGAACTACTTTCACATGCCTTAGATTTCTTATTACCACCGGTTACGAATGTTTCGTATTTGGCAGTTTTAAGTTCACTTATCCATACATAAATATCTTACCTGTATTAAAGGTGGTGCATAAGATCGTTTGCCCGTCAATTTGCTTAATGATAAATGTGTGATTGAATGATTCTTCCCAATTGCTCTTACGATGCCAGACAACTCGAATTCCATACCTGAAATGAGTTCATGAATTTTAATAAAATTCTCCACCTTCTATGCTTTCTTTAACAATATTTCAAATGCACTATTAATAACACTCACTGTTATCCGACAAATCCAATGACTGTAGACACCTCACACCGTGTATACAAGACTCTAGTACATGTGCCACTTGGGAAGACGATAGTACACCGGATAGGTTAAGTTGCACTCCTGCAGCGCTCTCGTTGCACGCCAACCCGAGTAATAGACTCCTGAAGTAATCACAATGCGGATATGTAGGACTCAATAACGAGAAAATACATTTTATTCCAAAGTATAAGTATGCATAAGCAAGAGTAGTGATCCGCTTATATAGTATTGGAGAGTTAGTGTGAAATTTTATTTAGGACAAAATGATTTTAATGTCATGGTTATTTTACAATCAAGAACTCACCTACACCTCAGTCTCCGATCCAATCATTTACAATACTAATTATAACTGTAGTGTAGATTTGTACACGAGTACACGAGGAACCCTAATTAGTCTGGAGTTTAAAGTATTTCTACAAAATTCTACTAAACGAAGAATAAGTGTTTTTTATGAACTAGACGCGAGTAGAGTTATGTGGAGTATTTGAATAAATGTATGTTACCCTCATTGCAAGACCGTACATAAACAATACACAATTACACTATTTACAGTATTTAGATAAAACAACCAAGTTCTCTTTGAGCTATGTTTAGAAACAATTTTCGTAAATAATGACAACACCTATTTTACTGTTATGAGGCGTGTCTCTTTTTTTAAATATAAAATCTAATTTCTGATGCAACTCGACTTGGTCACACGTTATTGTCAGTAATATAAATAAACACTTTTGTATGCGAGGTAAGACCTACCTACTAGAGCTAAAACTTACTACATAGAAGACGAATTACTAAATGAAAACAACGGTTTCTATATTTTTAAAGTATGTAACCATCTGTAAATATTTTTTCTTACTTCACATCGATTTACATATCATTTAAAATTAATTCGAGAGAATCAAAAGCCCTTTAAAGTTCTCAGGAGGATCTCATAGATTTGACTAGTTCTAGTAGATAATTCTCTTGACTGTCAATTTATTGTATCCTGTGACTATTAGCAGCTACTTGTAAGGTTATGCCTGTTTAATAAAAAAATTTTTTATCTAGATGTGTCACGGCCAAGAGGCCATGACACATCGATGAAGAGTTTCTGATTGTGTAATCGACACCACTGAGATTTGAACAATATTTGTAACAATATTATATCAATAATAACGCATGAAATTGTCGTCTTAAGGCAGAGATAACTTTGAATTTAAGTAAAACCTGTATTCTCCATGATAAAGCGTAAATTAACAAAGTGATTGTGATGAAACCTATGATTGTAGATGAAAAGGGTAGGACAGAGGAGCCTCTTCTTGCAAATAATTTCATATAACTATAGCAAATTGTCATAGAATTGAGCGTGGCAGCGGCCCTGATGGATATATTGTAACCCTGTTAGGCAGGATAAGGTTAATTTACAGTGTAGGTATTCGTGGACCATACTTGAGAGCGTCTGGCGGCATTTTGCAGTAAGAAAAGTCGAGGTTAGTAAGCGCGAGGCAGGCTGTGAAGAACTGTCGGAAGGAAGGCGGAGGGTCGCGGGCGCGCCGCGCCGCCGACCACGGGTTGCGGGCCACTGACAGAGTGCTCAGGCGAGCCGCACATCCTCGCAGTAATGCGCCCCACATCTGGAAACACGCCAGTACCGGTATTTTTGTCAGTCCCTAAATGTTTTGTCCTTACTAATATGTCAAAATTCAAGGCATAATAATAATAACCTCAAACTCTCACACCCAGTCGTCTGATCCCAACTAGCCAGAGCCTGTATTATGATAACCAGACTGCTGATAAACATAATAATAATATATCCCTTTATTGTACACAAGACATAAATCTACAATCATTTTCTTTAACTAGGTTAGTACAAGTGGCGGCCTTTTCGCTCAGAGGCAATCTCTTGCAGTCAATCGTGGTATGGAGAGAAAGCATGAAGGGGAGGAGGTATTGGTATGTAGTTGGTATATTAGGAAATAGAAAAAAAGATGAAATCAAAGAAGTATATACGTAACTATAAAAAGTGATAATTACACATAGTATCTATTTGTTGGACTAAGGTGAATTTATAACACACTGGAGGGAATATACTATGTGCTGAACACGGCTGGTGGTGTTATTAGATACATATAATTAAACAAATACGTGTGATTTATAAGTTCTAAATACATATCCTATAAGAAATAATGTGACCTTGTCGACTTAGTGGAAGTTAATTGACATTGATGTCTCCCAGGTAGTATTTTTTCACTTGTTTCTTGAAGGAGGCTATTGTTTGTGCACATCTGATTGCCATCGGTAGAGCGTTCCACAACCGAACCGCTTGGACAGAGAAGGAGGCGTCGAGGAATTTAGTGGAATGTCCCGGCATTTTTAGTTTTAGGTTCTATGACGATCTCAACCGTTAGGGGTGAGGTCACTCAAGAACGTAAACCTTAATTTAAGGTAACGTGCACTAAATGGATTAAATTGAATACTATAGAGAAGAGAAAGAATATGTGCATTCTGGTGAATGCCTTATGCATTATGTATTTATAAATACATACATACTATAGACAAATTACACCCGGACACAACAAATGATCGTGTTCATCACACAATTATTTGGGATCGAACATGTGGACCTGTCCTGGATGGGAATCGAACCCACGACCTCTGGGTTAGCAGTCAGGATCACTAAGCACTAGACTAACAGGCTTGTCATAAAAATATGTATGTATTTGTGTACTCCAAACGGTTAAAACGGAAAACGGTTTTTAAACAATATACATATATTCCATCTTTCTTTAACGTGAACAAATAATGCTGTAATTAAATTATCCTGTTTGTAATAATGATTAATTTGATAACGATGAGGATAGGGAAAAGCCTAGACAAACATAAAACATTAGCGTCAAGTTCAAAATATTAGATGTTCTCAAATAATATTAAAAATACAATGAAGTTAAACTGCTTTTTGGTAATAAAAATATATATTTAACTTGTGCCAAAAATAGAAAATTTTGCAGTAAATTCTTTTAATATTACTTCTCACGAAGTCTATCGTTCGTAGGACAACTAATGTCTGTGTAGAGGTTAACAAAAGTTATGACAAGGCTACTATACTACTTACATTTTCTAAGGTTGTCTCCGTGTTTGTCAGATTTAAATGCGTTAAAACATTCGGTTGAGCGAGAAAATTATACAAATTCTGTAACAAGAAAATTACATAACTTAAAAAGAAAGTCTAGAAAACTGACACTATTCATGAGTATTTTATTCCTGTACTTACGTGTACATCATCCTTTAGATTATTGTAGGATAAGTCGAGATGCGATAAAGTAGAAAGATGACATGGATTGTCATTCAACAAGGTAGCTAGGTGCATCACAGTTTTGCCGGTCAGCCCACATTGAGACAAGGCAATATGTCTCAATCCATCTGGATTGTTAGCCAGACCACTCAATATACTAATAGCACCTAAAATAAAATAAAATGTAGTCATAATAATGATATAAATAGAAAATGGTACGTCGTTGAAAGGAAAATATGCAAATTGCGAACATTAAAGGTATATCAAAAGCAACACAGCGACCTGAGCGAGACGGTGACGAGATTTGAGCAGAAGGCCAATTCTCGTAAAAAGCGTTCAGTCTCAATTCAGTTCCGATCCACTTCCAATCGTACAACTCTCATAGAAGGTATTTTTGTAGTAAAGTATTAAATATCCAACGTTGACTGTAATGTGATTGTATCGTATTGTAACCTGTTTACTACGAAAATACCTTTTATGATAGTTGTGAGATCAAAAGTTGATCGGAACTGAATTGTGACCGAACTTTTATTACAAGAATTGGCCTTCAGGTTGTAGCGATCAATATAGAAGATGTCACATAGCAACGTCGGCGATAGCACACTTCAACCGCTCATGTCACATTTCCGTTTAGCTTTTAAATGCACACATAAAGTGCGACTAATATCCGTGTAATACAACACACTGTCCTGTACGCTCAGAAAAATAGATAGTTTTATATGCAGTTTCTGGTCCTTATGAGGCGCATGAAAATTTGCCAGAACGGAGCCATTTTATATGAAAAGATTTTTTAACACATATTAGTCTGTGCTACTGTTTACTTTATTCGTGGTATTGGGCCTTAAAAGGTCAACGTATTGCATGATAAAAATTGCATATTAAGTATGTACTGTGAGTACTGCAGAAGTATAACTTAAGAGCATATCGCCAGGACATACGGGCAAGTATTCACATGCCTGTATATCCTGGGTCATAAACGTATTATGTATTATGAATCAGTAATAATTCAATGTTTAATTTAGTTGCCGAACAAAACAGGATTTTCAAAAACCAAAAATTCTGCTTCGGTGTCGGTTTCAGTTGTAACCGAAATTAAAACCAAAATTTATCTTTGAATGTCTATAGTGTGTTGAAACTTGTAATGTTTTTAGTATTAGACAAATCACTGTTTCTTTAAATAGTATAAGTGGAGATAGTGAAACTGATAAGGCGTCGGGCTCGAGATAGCGTGTTTGTTTCTTCGAACCCAAAACTCTCATTTGGAACATATGAGGTTTTTTTACTGGCTGCAAAGTCAGACATAATTATAAGCCATCAGTGTTGCAGTCTGGCAAGGTAATGGTCTTGTCAGCAGCGTAATGGACTAGACCAGTGATGTGTGTTAAAACCTTAATATACGCGGATACGGATTTTTAGTATAGATCTGCTGATGGTACTGCCAAAAAAAAAAAGAAAATTGTTTGACATAGCTCGGCACGGGATAAAAATGCATTGCACTTTTTTTGTTTTACCACTTCACTGTTTCAACTTCTACTGTATCCATTTCTAATGATTAATATTGTTCACTATAATGTCAATCATCGAGAATTAGAAATCCGACATTTTTCATCACAAAAACATTTTTTTGCCCAGATTAAGATTTTTTGAACTAAATCCGATTGTCTGTAAATTACTTTGTATTTAATGATAAATTACACAGACAAGTTGTCATTGAAAACTTGAAAACTTAAAATCAAAGTAGCCGCAGGAAAAAAGATACTTTAATTTACTAATTATACCTTTGTCTTCAATGTGATTCTGCGAGAAGTCTATTGTATGCATGGCAGGGCGATGCCTTGCCCGACAAAGCGCGTAGCCCAGCCGGGCTGCATGGTCATGCCTGAGTGCTGCTGCTCTCCACGACAGTCGCTCGGGAGGGGGCCTGGCGCACCGCACCATTCGACATATACTCTCCCACGCTTCACCACTCGCTCGGACACCGTCACCGCAAACACCATGAAACCACGTGTTGTGTTGTAAGGCCATAACTAAGGGGATCAGGTCTCTGTAGACATGCGATCGATCTGGTCACATATATATCCAAAGACGAATAGACATTAATGTTTATATAGATAATTGTACTTAAAGTCCTGATAGAAAAGAAAACACTTATTTTTAAGTAAACAAAAACATCAGTCGTGTGTCTAAATACCAGTAATATCAGTGTATATGATAGCAGTAATATCAGTGAATATGAGTACTTTCGTTATATGAATTAAATGATTATTTTTTTGTTGCAGTAGCTAAGGCTTAATACCTATTATGCAGGCGAATTAGGCATTATTTAATATCATCGAATTGAATTTATATGAACAAGATAAAGTTACCTTTGATCTAAATGATCAAAATCTTTTAGATGTAACATTCTTATATCATGCGCCAGATATATTGTATCAATATCCCATGCCACTTCAGGTCTGTAACAAAAATATATGCAAATAAAAACGATTATAATGTAATTAATGCAGCGTCTATTTTTGAAGTTTGAATCGTACCTACGTCACCACACTATTCATGGGGCATATATAAGCGATCGTTTAGCATGTTATTTAAGATGTTTATCAACCTTCTGTCAACTGTTAGCTAGAATTACTCTACTGCTATAACTTATTTCTAGTAGTTACTTGAGAGAAGTTTTTCACACCGTCTATTAACGTAAATATAAAGCCATTTTTTTTGCCGTTTTGCTAATAACAGAAGTGCTCCAAAACCAATAATCAATTACCAGAAAACTATGTCAAAAGTATGACATTATATGCACATGTAATAAAACGTAAGACATGGCTCTTCATGTCGATATAGTAGTTCCAAAATAAGTACATATGATAACGCTGTTGATCCATGTGATACAATAATTTGCTTAAACTTTTAGGTATTGATGTAATGTCCAGCTTTATTAAAGCATACTAGCTGACCCGGCAAACGTTGTTTTGCCATATACATTATTTCTAGGAAATATTGAAAAAAAATATTTAGGGGTCATTTAGACCCATGTCATTTAGGCGTATGAATGTTGAATAGATGTTGGCCGATTCTCAGACATACCCGATGTGCACACAAAATTTTATAAAAATTGGTCCAGCCGTTTCGGAGGAGTATGGTAACTAACATTGTGACACGAGAATTTTATATATAAGATATTACTACGTCCATATTCATTACAATAGAACAAAAGTGACATTATTGACTTCTTATTAAACATTGCCTCAGACCAAAGACATTGCATTTATCGCTTACAGGAAAAACTGTAAGATCGATTTACGTTCGTATAATAGCCTTGGCACGCGATGTTCCGCCGCATCGCGATCAGAATACTGATAAACATGTTTTTAACAAGTGCAAAGAAGATTGTATGATGTCAACAATATGCATTATTTAAGTTAGTAAAGTTAGGATCCTTGTCCAAGTTTAAAAAAAGAGGAGGTTCTTTATTCTTTTATTTTATTATAGGTATCTTAAATAAATTCGACCACTAAGAGTCAGAATGACGCAGACTCCAGGTTATCATTACTTCTTAATCATCATTGTCATTCCTATAACAAGCTCGATGAATAATAAGTAAAGAAGCCAAATAAGTTTAGTGTAGATATCGATTAAACAAATCCTGCATACCTCAAGGTATGCGAGATTTGTTATATATTGATAGATATATTGAATTTTCAACACTAAAATTAACTATGGTTAGTTTTTAGTGTTGAAAATTAAGTATATTTACATACATATCTGTAACCATTTACACGGAAGAGACGTGCTCCGGCACATGTGGGATGGCTCGACCGAAATGATACGGTCTCATATAAAACTGACGTTACAGCTTTGATTTTTTTTATATGCCCATACCATTATAAATGAAGCATGGCTATCAGACGGCAAATTGTTCCAGATATATGACGAGGAAAGGATAGCATTTTGATTAATGTTGTCATTTTTAAGATTGTATTATTATTCGCGAACTACTTACGGACAAATGTAATTTTATGGGAACCATAAAAATGTTATATGTATATTTTTTTCACTTGCTGTGTCTTGTCAATAAAATATTTCCATGTTCTTTTTAACGAATTCCATGTGAGGCTCTAGTTTAAAAAATCTGTGGAACTCTCTTTTTTCTTCTCTAAAATGCAACACTTAGCTATGGAGGCTACCTTAAAGGACACAGATTTATGAATAACCATTGACTTAGACCCGATTGTACCTGTGTTTCTAGGATACTTCAGGAAGGAAAGTGCTATTGGCCCAGATACACTAAACAAGTTTATTTTATTTAAATGTCAGAGTAACCGAATAATGACACCAGACAGTTCATCCAATTAGGTATTAGTTTATTATTCAACGGTTCATTTGCTTTTTGTAAATATAAAGAACAAAAACAAACCCATTAATCTACCGGTACTTATTCTCAGTCGCAAAGCTCTTTTTGCCTTTACTGACACGAAAATGGCCCAAATATTTTTGTTGTCAGTTTATTTCTATAGAAACATATGAACGATTATTAGCGAACGTTAAAGAAATGGCCGTGTATCACACTGATTCTTGTAAGCTTTTTAGCCAAGACATAATATATGTGCTGTTGGATTTTCATGTCATAGAATTAAGTTACCTGAAGGGCGTTTGGCAGAGATCACACATTGCTGCATATTGGTTTGAGAAATCACCACAAGTAGAATGCTTCCGAGTTCCGCTTACTTGAGGCACTGGGAATGGCAAATATACCTGTGAACAAAAAATATATAACATCTCTCTGTCTCTCTACATACCTCCGTTGCACTAAAACATGGCATTAACAGTCGTGTTAACTAAAAGCGATTATAAGCGCGTCTCGGCAATAAGTTATATAACTAAAAATACGAAGAAACCACTAATATCATATCGTGAGATTTATGAGGTTATTATTATTATTATTAATTCCTTTTACGTAAATTAATTAAGCCAACAAAATACTGTAGTGGTATTGCGGCTACAACATACGTCTCATACGTATTAGGAAATCACAAAGTTACAGTTACAGAATTCCTGCGACCGTCTGTATAACATGTCCATTCGCATTTTACATAAGATGTGGTGAATCAGAGTTCAGATAGTAAATACTAACATCGTGGACTTCATATTATGTAATGCTTTAGTTGAATGACCATTATGCAATTATTCTAACTATCGTAATATTTTCTCAGTTAAATTATAATTAATATACCTTTAATACATTCTGTATACTGTCTCGTTTAAACTCTTGCAATAACCCTGGTTTTATAGGGAATATTTGCTAACACTTTGCAGGATTAGCTGTCGTTAAAATTATTAAGCCACTGGTATCGTGATTTTAAACATTGATAGCTGATAATCTTTTTCAATTTGGCCATATAATACTTATAAAATTGAACTGGCAGAACGCGAGATTAGGGAGGTAATACAAATATAAGATTTATAACATCAATATAATAATAAGTACTACATTTTTGTTATTTTCGTTCACTTTAATTTCGATCTTGCTACTGCTTGAATATGTGTTTATATCTAGTGATGTATATTGTACATGCCTTTAATTGGTCTACATATAAGAACTATACTTTATATTGAACTGTATTTTGAACTATGTTGAACATACATTACATAAATAAAAAAAATACATACGTAAATAAAAAAATATTATCACAAATTGATATTGGCTACAGTGTTATGAAACAAAAACTATACCATAACTACAAAATGTATATGTTACAGGCGATCATTTTATATCAGCACATGCACACAAAGGTTAAAGTAATTACAAGAATTTAAACTCAGCCTGTATAACATTAACTGACGACAATGACTGAAATTAGTGTTTATGAATGGGTTCAATTGAGTTGTTATGAATAAGCAAGTAAATGTGTATCGCATGTAAGTACTTTCATCTGTTATTTATTTGTAAGTTAATGTGCATCTATTATGCTCTTATGAAGTTAATCAATAATGTTATTATTTAATTATTAAATATCCTTTGTCTAATAAATAGTTGAGCACCCCAATTTCCCATTAGCTATTGAGTATAATGCAAATCTGTCTGTCTGTCTTTTTTTTTTCCGTGCGGAAATCCCCTCGGATACCACCTATCGGTGGCATGTCGGGCACGAACCCACTAAAACCGCACGCCATCTCGGGTACTAATAGCCGGGAACCAGGTATACCCTAGAAAGGAAGTCCCTGGTGCCCGACATACCTCGGGACATCTACAGACGAGTAGACGACCCCTCCGTGTGGGAACCCCATGTTCCCTCTGCTCCCTGGAAGCGAGCGCGTTTCGCAACGCGCTCGCCGCCACCCCGGCCTGCTTCTGCTAGGGTGACAGATGGCCTCACCTGTCACCCCAGGCCTGCGCTTATGGAGAACGGAGGTCGTTCTGCGACCTCCGGCGCCTGAGTCGCCTGCGGTACCTGGCCCGTTCCCGGGCCTGGCGGGCCGGGAGAGTTCTAAACCTCTCCCGGTCCCGTTCCGCCGTCTCCTTCGCGAGCATAACTTGCTCGCAGAAGGAGACGGCAGAGTGCCACGCACTCTCGCTCCGCACGATAGCCGCAATCAGGCTATCGAGCGAGAGAACTCCCACTCCGATGGCCGCCATGAGGTCTCGCCTCTGCTCAACCTACGCCGGGCACTCTGCCAGCGTGTGGAGAGCCGTGTCTACGGTCTGGCCATCGCAGTGGTGGCACTCAGGCGTTGGCGATTTCTCGAATCTCGGGACACCGACCCAACTCCCGCGCCTCCTTGCGCCACTGATACAGAGCCGCAAGGGCTCTCGCCTCCAGGTCCCACGGTGGAGTTCCGGCCAGGAGACTCGCCGCCTCAAAGGAGATCGTGCGGTACCCCCTTATGATCCTGATGGCCAGCACTCGCTGCGGTCGTCGCAGTATCACTTTGCTGGCCTTCGACGTATAGTCACTGCCTGAGATAAGACAGTTTACTAGATCCTGCTGAATTACTTCTTCTGGGGTTTTTTATTTCTACTATAAGGAATGACGTATTCGAACTCATCAACTCAATGAATCTTTGTACTAAATAAATGACATAGACTCTTCACTTAAACAACTGATCTATATGTTAGTTCTATTATTAAATTCAGAAGTAATAAAGACATGCAAGATTGCTATTTGTATTGGCAAAAACGGGGGCTTTCAATTTCGACGACTAGGCCTGTATGTAGTATCATAGTTTATGAATGGATGGGTCAGTTACAATTAATTTTGTTTCTTTAACCATATGCATTATAAATTTAGTCTATGATACTAAGTGCACTAACCTTTGAAATTATGTCCACCATAGATACGTTTGGATATAGATCGTCGAATGCCATTGATAATGCGTGCATTATATTTAAAAGTCCCTCGGAGGTTCCTTCTTCACCTGAAAAATAAGACTTAGCGTAACTTTTTTCAGCAATGGTAGTATCCAACACTCATAGGTCAGTTAAATGGTGATAAGACGAAAGATCATTTTTTCGGGTAACGCTTTAGCAACGACGAAGCAGTATGATGAACTGTCCCTGAGATTTGGATTGGACGTCTAAACGCCACGAGATGACGGAGATACCAATCTCGTGAAGGTCTTTTACTCTTACTTCTGGAGATTCTGAGAGCACTGTTTTCCCTGAACGGGTGACTAGGCAGCAAGCTGTCTTTTTTTTTAATTATTTTCTACTACCTGATTACATTGTCAGTAATGATCACAGATTGGTATGACAGGGTCCTAAGGACCTAATTAACCAACAGACAATGAATTTACAAGTGGCTTAATAACCCACAAGTTAATAATAATACTACATGTGTTCTTACAATACCTATGATTTAGTTATTTCAAATTAGTGACTCAGAGTTCTCTAGAACATCGCCACAAGTTATTTACGATGATTGTGAGCTTTGCAAGCTAGTCTAACCATTATCAACCACTTTTTAAGTGGCACAGTCATTGACGGTATTGTTTATAATCCCATCAACAAAATAATTAAAAATCTGGTAATTGGACAAGGTGACAACCAACATCACTGTGAAATGTATAAAACTGTACAAAGGTGTTTATTAAAATCAGACTCAACATAAGGAATGAAGTGACTCATTAAAATCTGAGTATATTAACAAAAGAAAATATTACAATCACAAATTATTCTCTCACTTTCCTGCCCAAGCAACCAGAACTCACCCAAACTTGTTTGCATAATATAATTGAATGTAAGATTTTTATTTTAATAATATTTAAATGATACAAGCTGAAACATTAGGATACCTGAATTAAAAACAGCAATTAAAATAAATTAATGTATGCTTCTACTGTTTTTCTAAATTGTACATTTCAGTATAACAATATAGTACATTAATTATATACATTACAGTACATTAATTATACAGCAGTTTTGTCTACTACAGATGAGGAGATACATATATTAGCACACCAATGAAAGTGAGAGTCCGTGACAACCTGTACTTTAAATGGACAACTAATTCCTTTAATTTATAATGGACATCATTGTTAATAATCTATACACTTACCTATAAGTATAGACACTGGCTTATGTTCATGAATCAATGTTATTGACAGATGGTTAGCCTTCTTGCTTTCTAGTGCCTCTATCTCCATCAAGTGAAATCCATTGTCAACCTACGAGAGTAACAGAAGAAGAGACTATTTTATGTGCAAAGTTGATGCTATAAGCACAGGGATTTTATAATTGCCTTACCCGTGTTGGTACTTTTGCTGTGGTGATGAAAATTCTGTAAGATGTTACTACCTGTAAGAAATAAATTTTAAAACATTTTTTTTACAAAAAGCAAAATTTTTACTGATAACAGTAAGAACACAATGTTAATCAGACATAAAAAAGCCACTGTGCATCATGTCCATTAGAAATTGTGTCAATGAAAATAATAAACTCAATGAATGGATAAATTGGTTTAGTCATTGTGTCTAAAGTTGACCATGTTAGGTTTGTTGTTAAGCTCTGTGTGTGTTTGTAGGGATTACACACACAGCTGTGGCTTGTTAAGAGGCTAGCACACCTACATGACTCATGCCCCTGTTAACTACCTAATCAATACAATATAAACTACATATAAAACTGCATTTTTATGAATTTATGTGGTTACATATTCTGTTTATATTTGTCATAATGTATATATTTGTCAAAAAATTGAATTACATATATATTTATACACTAAGTGTATATTTCAATATTAAATATAAAAAAATAAATTTTTAAACAAAAATTGTGATTGAAAACACTTTCAAAGGAAAACCTAATTTTGAAGTATATTTAATATTCACTATCAATAAAACGAAATCAGTTTTTAAATAATGACTACTTACCAACACTTTGTTATCTACTTTATCGCCTCTTGATTCCATGCGGATAAGGGATTTGTATAGAATTTTAACATTTTTCCCCAAAACATTGCTTATACTATCTGTAAAAAGGAAGAAAAATCAATTTTATCCATTGTGATTTATTTTACTTTATGAACAGTAGTTGGTACAGCATCCTGAACGGACACAAAAAAAAACTTTAAATAAATAAACAGCTACAAACCGCTCAATTCTGTAGATATGTGAGATTTTGTTGACATTTTCGCGATTTTCTTCAGTGTCATTACTCCCACAAAATGTAAATATTTTTAATGCACAATACATCCATAGCAGAGAACACCTTATTAAAAACAACTTGATCTTACAGATTAAATAATAAGACACAATGAAAGAGCATCACAATATAATATTTTAAATACTTTAGGATTATTGACCTAAAATTCACCACAACACTGTTGCAACACGGAAGGATAACGAAGCACAGATTAACTAAAACTAAATATAAAATGTAATCATCCATGGCCTAACAGGGCTGCCACCATTCAAAATGAATTCCATCAATTTTATAAATAAGACATTAATCTCGAATTATGGGAAATTATTATTCGTAGCGTAGCATGAAACTCAAATACGTTCCGAAGGTTTTTTTTTTATATCACATTTTTATATATTTTGCAAGACTGCCTGCATTTTATAAAAATAAGGGTGATATAAGACTATGCGAAAACTATAGAGCCATCAAATTAATATCCCACACCCTTAAAATCTGGGAAAGAGTAATTAGCAAACGGCTTCATTTAATCACCAGTGTGACTGAGAATCAGTGTGGCTTTGTCACTGGTAAGTCTACCATCGACGCCATCCACTCAATACGAGTTCTGATGGAGAAGAGAAGGGAGAGTCAGCAAGATCTACATATGGTCTTCATAGATCTAGAAAAGGCCTTCGACCGCGTCCCCAGAGATCTCATCTGGCAGTCTCTGCGAGCTCAAAACGTGCCAGAATGGCTCGTCCAACTGGTGACGGACATGTACAGGGAGGTGAAAACTAAGGTGCGCAGCCCCGCTGGTCTTAGTGACCAATTCGACGTGGAAGTCGGCGTGCATCAAGGGTCAGCTCTTAGCCCACTACTTTTCAACTTAGTGATGAACCATATCACAGCTGACCTGCAGAAAAAGCCCCCTTGGAACATCTTGTACGCGGATGACATAGCCCTCATTAGTGAAGATGTGGAGGAGTTACAGATCACGCTAGAACAATGGCGCAGTGCTTTGGAAAATGCTGGCCTGAGAGTCAGCAGACAGAAGACTGAGCACTGCAACTTCAGATATGCACTGTAACTTCTCCAACTCAACACATGGCACCATACACCTCCAGAACACCCCACTCAATAGGGTAGAATTCTTCAAATACCTTGGCTCTATCCTGTCGAGCAACGGCACCATAGAGCTCGACGTCTCCAACCGCGTCAACACTGGCTGGATGAAGTGGAGGGAGCTGACGGGTGTGCTGTGTGACTCTAGAATGCCTGTACCAGTCAAAGGTAAAATCTACAAAACTGCCGTAAGACCAGCCCTAATGTACGGCTCGGAATGCTGGCCGCTCAAGAAGCAGCAAGAACACCAGATGCATGTCGCCGAGATGAAAATGCTCAGATGGTCTGGTGGCGTCACGCGCTTGGACAAAGTGAGGAATGAGCACATCCGCGGCACTTTTAGAGTCAGGCCAATCCCAGAAAAGCTGCTGGAGAGTAGACTGAGGTGGTACGGGCACATGCCCGTACCACCTCAGTCAGTATGACATCATGAGGCGGCCAGAAGATCACATGACCAAGAGAGTTCTTGAAATTAAAACCGGACCAAGAGGACGAGGAAGACCCCGTTTAACATGGCAATCAGTCATAAAAAAAGATCTGCAAACGGCCCAAATAGATCCGCAGACGACCCAGGACAGAACGTCCTGGCGAAGATTGATTAGGAGAGCCGACCCCAATTAAAATGGGATAGGGCGAGGATAAAGAAGAAGAAGAAGCAAGACTTTTCTCTGGCTTTCTAACAATCTTAGAGTACCTACTCTTTCTCTAGTGAGAAGGTTAGATGTCAGATGTTAAACATTTGCAAACTTTATTTTTCAGTTTTTGATATTCTGAATGGCACGAATTCGAAGTCACACAATGACATCGGCTTAATTCGACACCATCGCCGTCTATGGAAGTAAAATTTAGACCTTCATAAATTTTGAACTATTAAAAGCAATATGGCCTATATTGCTTTTAATAGTTCAAAATTTTAAAAGGTTTAAATCTCCCATTGCACGCCACTTAGATCGATTTTGGGCTTCTCGCATCCAGCTCCTGCCAGCCTATGTCCAGCAGTGGACTGCGATAGGCTGATGATGATGATGATGAAAAGCAATATATGTAATTACATAACATAGACCGTGCGCAAGAGGTAAGTGAGTATGCAAAATGTCAGGACCGAATTAATTGACCACTAGACTTTTGAGTTAAGAAAAGGTTAAAGATTAATATGATTGCAATGGTAGCGTATGCGACTGCTGTCCTGAGGTCTCGGGTTTGAATCCTGGGAAGAAATGTTTGTATGATCTGCAAATATTTATTACGGAGTTTGGGTGTTTTCTATGTATGAAATGTATTTATTTACGGAAAGAAAATAAAAAAAGCAAATAAATATTCGTTTATTATATTTTTTTCCATTTAGTTATTATATTCGTTTGTTATTTTATAGTATTAGTTTAAAACTAGATGGTGTTGTGTGTCAGATGTCTGAAATATTATTATTATTATTAGATAGATACATATTTCTTTTATGTATTTCATTAAAGGCGATAAACTCAATAAAAAACTAATAATGTGGATCCTGCGGTCATCTTCTTGGCCATTTTTTTACCCCTTTACTCTTATTTGTAAATGGAATGTATTGAGTCATCACCAACAGCCTTTAACAGTCCACTGCTAGACATAGGCCTCTCCTTCGAAAGAAAGTTTTGGCCCACTATACCACTCTAGCCGGGTTGATATAAGGTGTGATTCAAGTTTTCCTTCTCTTTGCAGTGCTGTTGCCCTGCGTCCTTGCTCCCTTAGTAGCTTTTATGATACCCACGGGATGAATAGAGATACATACATACATGGAATACATTCTTAACTGACGGATAAAACCTATAAATTACTTTCCTGCCAAACTTCAGACCTCTCGTAAAAAATAAAAAATCCGGACAAGTGAGGTTTCTTAGAGGTTTCCGCACAAAGTAGGTAAATATTTTAAATAGTTCAGGACTCGAGTCTAGTAGTTTTTTCCAAGCGTTTCCCGAAATTCAGTTTAAAAACCTATAAATGCTTATATTAGTGTGTTTTATAAATAAAATTGTACCTCCTGTTCCTCCTGTTCTCGAGATAAAGGGTCTTGACAGAGAGACGGACAACAAACTGATCTTACAAAGGTTCCGTTTTTACCTTTTGAGGTACGAAACTCCAAAAATCTAAAAATTGTACATAAACTTAGACTTAGTTTCCTTAATTTGGCCCTAGTTCCTAGAAGGTCTAAAAACGAAAATGTTCCAATTTAAACTTTCTGCCATCGGTACTAATAACCCTCAAAGCAAACAGGTGAGTTTTATAAATTTAACTAAAACACTATTCGCATTCTTTCAAAATACAAGACTTGATTAAATATGCGTGGAAAAGTAAGTCAAATTAAATTCCTTTCATAAGAAATTTTATTTCATTTGCTTTTTTGAAATAATTATAATGGAAATAATTATACTTGGAATAATTATAATTGGAATAATTATAATTGGAATACTTATAATTGGAATAATTATGATTGGAATAATTATAATTGGAATAATTATAAATGCAATAATTATAATTGGAATAATTATTGGCTTTTGGGGGTAGCGAGTCCAGCAAACGCCCGGGGCCTCGCTCATGCAGAGGTCTCGCGCACTTGTGCAACAATACAAGTAGAAAAATATGTTTAAATGAACTTCGAGCCTTACTCCGCGCATTATACAACTCACGTCAAGTCGCACACTCTTACGTGGTAGTAGGTATGGGGCAAAATCACAGGGAACTGTGAAAGGCCGGTTTAATTATTCGATTTTTTCGAACGTAGGTTATTTTTACTACTTACTCACGCATTGTTGCTAATAAGCTGTTTTCAGACGGTGCGTAAAGACTCTATTACGCGTATTCAACAATAAATCTAGAAATTATTTTATTATTTATAGCTGCCATTCCCTACATAATAATTTTAAAAATACTATATTTCCTGTTAAAAAGCGTCTAACCTACCTACCTAGCAACCCTAACCTACGTACGCAAAAATCAAATGAAAAATCACAGTTAACTGTTCCTTGTGATTTTGTCCCATGTCTACGTAGTAGTTATCGTTATCGATTTACGTTCGGGGATTTGTAGTGTTTTATTTTACATGTCATTTTGACAGGCTGTCAGTGTCAAATATCATCGGCTTAATTTTGCATTTTTTGTTTCAAGTCATCGTCATTAAAACTAGTCTCGTGCTTAATCGGACATCTGCAGGTTCGCACCGTATTAGTACAATTCGTACAACGTACTAGCACACAGTAATAGTACTATTAGTACAGTTTTAGTAGGAGTAGAAAACTTAAGCGTTTGCATTGATATTACTAACATTATTGAAATGGAATACCAAGTAATTTAAAAAAAAGTGTTATAGAAATTTGGCAGACCGCGGTTTTTATTTTTATTTTTTAATATAGATGGCTTTTTATTAATCAGTTACTTTTCTTCAGTATAGGAATAATTACACAGTTCTTGATTATTTTTAATGTGTTATCCTTTTCTGAATCCCATAAAACTTAACAGTTTGACTTTTAAATACGAATTTTTAGATTACTTCACATTAAACTTTTAAGCATACTATTTTCCTTCATACTTTACAACCCAATTGTCCCTTTTACTCTCATACTGTTTACCAATACGGAACAATGAAGCGGAGCATTAATAGTACGTCGAACAACAAACGAACGTAGACACTAGTAGACAGAGTATACAATAGGTAGTTTTAGTACTGGCTTGAAGTTGACACTGTGTACTAATAGTGCAAAATGTCCGATTAACAGCTGCCTTTCGGCAACATTACTTTTAGTACAATACCCAGTAATAGTACCTATCAGTACATCGTACGTGTACTACCCAAGACTAATTAAAACTAATTCCACAAAGACAAGGGCTTCGCAATCAATTACCCACTCGAGACCTCACAATGGCTAAGGTACAGGCCACTGGTAGTATTTAAATATATATTTTTTGTATTTGTTGTTAATAAAATTATTGTGAAACATCTCGCGGATCGGACTGGCTGGCGTGGATGTCTCTTAGATATTTTACTAAATATAACTATTACAGAAGTTACTTATAAAAAAAATGTCTCCACTCAATTTTTGTTTTCAATTAAAATAAATGTACATTATATAAACAATATATTTTTCTTTAAAAATGTGAATATAAAATTTTTCCTTGTGCTATATTTATTATTGGTTTTCATAACTAATTCCTTTTGTACTCATTATTTCTACAAAACAAATCGTTTTACATCTCTGGCGGAGGTGTCGTCCTGCGACGTCTCACTTTTAATTATATAAATTCATGATTGTTTTTTATTATTGCAGTCTCAATAGGATCAACTAAAGAATTAAATTTAGAATATTGTTTAACTAATTAACAAGAGATAGAACAGCTCATTTTTAAAAATATTTTATGTCCAATAATTAAAATAGTAGTATTAGTCGACTCGGTTTAAAAGTGACTAATATTAGTTTACATGTCATACGGCTTTTCGCTGTCATTGTTGTCAGTGTGATGGTTGCGAAAAGTATATCATTTTTTTACAATTCCTGTGTAAATCTTTGCTGGAAATCGTTATTTTATTGATAATGAATAAAAACTACGAGAGATGCACTCATTGCAATCGTCGCAAATGGCTTGTTACTGGTTGTTTACGGAAGTGGTTGAAGCCCCCAGAATGTAAACATCTACAACGAACTGTTGATAACAAAAGGGATTTTAACAACACAGACATTGTTAACGGCGCATTTTTACCAGATCGCAAGCCTCCTATGAACACAAATAAGTTTGTAAAGTTTTGGAAAAATAAGTTATTTCTTACTGGTAATGTCAGAGCTTTGCAAAGATATTTTGGTAGTAAGAATAATACTGGGGAACATCTGTGCAGTCTTAATAAATGTACTGATGCATCGACATCGTCTGAGAAAAGAATTGTTGTTGCTTCTGGATATGAGGCAAAAAAGGATGGTCTATTAAATAAACAAGTAATAAAGTGTGAACATGCAGATGGACACTCTGTTCTCCGTGGACATCACCAACATGTTTCTCTTGAAACATGTGCTATATATTGCCAGTTATCAAAGTAAGTAATGCATTCTAATATAAAATATATATAAACATTTTTAGCACAAATTTAAAGAGGCCACCAGGATTGTCTGGACTGATCATGATCATGCCCTTTTATTAAAAAGTAAGTAAATTCGTTTTCACAATCTATATTGCATCATTGTTGTTTTAGTAATCTTTATTGACTTATTTGGGAAGTGCAATCTTGTTGTTAATCGAGTGTCATTAGTTTTTCTCTAATAAATGTCATAATTAATTTTCAAATAAAATAATGTAAATATCATTAAGGATACTAATGGAAGAAGTGGATATCAATAAAAATATACATTTTATTCATAAACATGGAGTAGTAATGCTTCATTATGGGCATAAATACTGCAAAAAGAAAACATTTTTTTTTAATATCTTTTTTTCTTCATAAATAACATAACCTATAAATTTTCGTATTTATTAAATTTAAAACTTATCTTTATTTTGGGCATAATAAAGTACACATTCTCGCTAGAACCATTATAACCAAAATTGTTCTAGAATATAGTTTCATTGGGAATGATCCTTTTCTCGAAACGAGCATGAAACCTGATGGAAAACGACTCCCGCCGCTCATGAACGCCTGCAACTCAGGAGTCACAAGGGCATTTGTTTTATGCATTATGTTCATTCATTTAATTTTTTTAATCGTGATAAAACATTCTTCATGTGGATGAGCCTTAAAATTACAAACCTGATATTGGGGGTCCTGATAAACCGGGGATGAACATGGTATCCTGGTGGCCTGACTCAATTCAAATGATAAGGCATAATTTTTAACATTTTACTTGCTAAGTAAAAGAACCAAGTAGCAAGTAAAATGTTATTAAATGTTAGTAAAATTAGAAAATTAAACCCATAATCAAAATTATGGGTTTAATTTTCTCTGTGTGAAATAAAACAATAAAAATATTTTATTAGTCATGCTTAAAAAAAATATATGGCATGCATGGCATAGCTTTCCATTGACTTCTGTCGAGTTGGAGGTTGATATTGTTTTTACAGAAAGGTTACATTATTATAAGCACACACGCAAAGTTTCAACATGCGTAGACACATAGTTTTTGAAAAAAAAAAATTGAAACTCAATTATTTTTGCAAAATTTATGTCAATCCCTACATGTGCGTTGCCCCAGCGGCAAAACTTCGAATTTCATTATTTGAGATTACCAGATATTTAGTGTATGGCGTCGTGTAATTGTGTATGATAAGTTAAACTCTGTGCATCCAACCATTGGGGGAGTTATTCACGTAAAACTTTTTCTTTTCTCTTTTTTTTATACTATGGACATAGAAGAAAAAAAATGGTTTCAAAAATTTGTGTATGACGTGAGCTAGATAATGGTGTATGTTTAAATAAAATTTGTGCGTCAATAAACTGCGAAGATATTACAGTTTCGCTGCGACAATGTTTGGCCATTTGCTAGATTTCATGTAAAACGCTTTTAAGAGGTGTAGATTTTTTCATACGATGTTTTGAATTTGTTTATACTGTGTGTAAAAACTGATTTAAAAAAAAATCATACTGGTATCTATAGTTTTTTTACAGAAAGTTGCTTTTGGTCAGAAGATATAAATATAAACGTAAAATAAGGTTATTAGGTCCTACTACTTAGTGCTTATGCACTAGGGTCTAGTAACGTAATATGTATATTATATAATTTTTCTAAGATATAATCATGGTCTACCTATCTATGCAATTAATTGCCCATTATGAATCTTGGTACTTGATTATTTGTATGGTTTTTTTCATAAATATATATATTAAAATATATAAGAATATATTTAAGAAAATAATATTTAAGAATCGTACTGCATTAACCAAATACGCTGGAAACAGTAGTGGCAGAAAAAGCAAGCAACCTAATGTCTTAATCTCGAAATTTTATTTAAGAATTGTGTTACTACCTGTACCAATTTAATACCGGTATTAAACTGTAAATTTTAGACCTACCTAAATATACTGCACAGTCGCTTTTTGCGATGGTTGTCAGTATTTTAATTGTATTACGTTAATTATTGAGTGTAAAGAAATGAAATTTTACATGTGCATAGTTGAATGAATGCACTAATTATTGAAATAGGTTAAATAACGCATTTAATTTAGAATAGCCGTGAAATAAGACTACATATGAAACAGATTATCCCATTGCTCATAAATCACTAAGAGTACATCAATGGTACATATTTATTTATTTTTCTTACAATATCCTTATAGACTAATTCTAATGCGAAATTGTAATTACATTATTTCTAAATGACAAGTAACAAGTGCTATAATTGTGAATTCACGCCGAGCACAATAAAATGTATTGCGCAGTGCCGCGCCAAACATGCCTTGCGCAGTAAGTTAGTGCGTGCGCTCAGCACCGCCAGAAGGCGGGACCGCTGCGGATGTCCTCGTCGTCCATCTGCATTACATATCCCCCCTTTAATCACCTTAAAGATATAGGTTAGAGTGTAAGTTCCCCCTGACTCTCAGTTCATTATATCCGACCATACACAATATAAAAAAGGTAGAATACATTAATGGATACAAAGGATGAACCCTGAACGGCTTCATGTAAATATATCTAATAAACTTATTGTGCAGCGCCGCAACATGAGACTATAATATATCCGTCTCATGTGGAGTCCAGATAAGTGCATTACATTCCCGTTGGTTCCTAACTAAAGCATTATATAATGCTGTAATAGCTTTTATATTGGTAAAGTCTTTAGCCATACGAAGTACCAATCTCAAGTTCCTATAAGCTTTTTACAGATTTTAAGTATGTTATCATGAAACGTTAGATCAGTGGTAAAACGCTCTCCCACTTCAGTTACCCTGGTCATCTCAGTCCCCCTTCATCGTGTACTTGTGTTGGATAGGTGTGCGTGTACGTGAGAATAAGATAGTCACATACTTCGACACGTTGAATTGCAACTCATTCTGCTTGCTCCAACAAACTACTTTCTATGTCCCTCTGGAGTTTTTGACAATCCGCCGTGCTTTCCGTAGCGAGAGACAGGTTTAGTTTGTACGCACATAACAAACACTTGGCCACTTGTGTGACACTCGGCAGATCGTTGATCATTAATAAAAACTCCAAAGGACCGAAGTTTCTTCCCACACTGACGCGGTCGCGTTTGTTGTCCTGCATAATCTACATATTGCTGCCTGTCACTTATATAATTTGCAAAGAAATGAAGTAGATGCGGAGTGAACTCGACCCCAGCTAACTACTTCAATAACACGTCAATCGAAAGCTTTTTAAATTCGAAGTTATCATAAGCTTAATTACATGTGGTACTTCCTGCAGGTCGAAATCCGTATTGTGAGCGCACTTGGAATATATATCTTTCTGAACAGCGGATTCCAGTACCTTTGCCGGTGTTGACAGTACAGCAACTGGTCTATATTCTTCCACTTTAATACCTGAACCTCCCTTCGGTACCGGTATGATCCGGGTCATCTTCCACCTGTCTGGAAATACTGCAGACGCAAGACGCAATTGAAATTATGCACAAGCAGCTCCGTTGACACCATACGACAATCCTTAAACATGTATGGTGGGAGACGATCAAGCCCCGATATTTTTTTGGTTTAAGTCGTCGAAACGCGAATATTACGTCATCTAATTGTAGGCTGTTGTGATAAATCCACGCCGTTCCGTTTCCTCTACCTGTCTCTGCCATCGCCCTATCCACATCCAATCGCCTTGCCATATACGGAGTAGAAATACTTAGCAAAGTCATATGTCCAACAGTAGTCTACTTAAGGCTGTTGATGATGAAACATTCAATGTGGAGAGTCAGATTGGCTGTTGCGTCGTCACGCTATAGTATTTTGTAACATGTAATGCAGTGTGGCGACGCGCCGCAATGCGACTGAATATTATACTTCTAATTGTGCTATATTTCGATGCTATATATCTAAAAGACGGCTCCGGCTTTTTTTTAGCAATCCGTTTAGGCTCAATATTATTATAATAATGAAAAAAATATCAGGTGCAGTATTCCTTTGGTTTGATATGATCCCAACACACTTTACGAAATGTAACACATCACAACTAATGCACCAACATTATATCAATGTTTTTTACAGACGAGGCTGGTACTGGGGAGGTATTACTTCTAGTGAGGCAGAGGAGTTGCTTGCAGGACAGCATGACAATGTATTTTTAGTAAGAGATTCGTGCGACTCCCGCCATATCCTTTGTGTCTCGTTTCGATGCGTAGGACGCACACTTCATGCTCGCCTTCGACACGCAAATGGACTGTTTTCCTTGAATAATGAAACATTTGTGCCAGCAAATCGAATTTCAGAGCACTGTGCAGCTGTGGATGTGAAATCAAACCTTTTTGAAATGCCCGTCAAACTTGCAAGGCCACTAAATAGGTACCTAAAGTATAAATAAATCATAAAACCTATTGAAAACTTATTCCACAATAAAATATGTTGTTAATTTTTTTTAGGTTTGCGAGGCTGGATTCTTTGCAAATGATCTGCAGGTTTGTTATCAGGCAAACTGTATCCGCGAATCTATGGAACAAGTTGCCACTACCACCAAATTTGATATCTTATGTGTCTGCAGGCAGTGACTACATAGTACCGTCATAGCTAGTACAAATGTGCCTTCACTACTCATAGCTCGTGTTTATTATAAGCATATTTTATATAGAACCTTTATTAAGAGACTGCATCAAATTAACTATACATATAACTGTAATAGAATTTTTATATGAGAGTTAAATATTTTATTATTCAAACTATAAATAATAAAGATACACATTAGTTGAACAGTTAAACTATTTATTACCAACACCTAATTAAGAATATATTTAAGTTAATACTTCTCAAGGTCGTAAAAGTTGTTTTTCTTGTGTATGTGTTTCATATAACCAACACTTATTAGCCTAATATAGTCTTCATATTATTTAAGTGTATTCATTCCCAAAATATTCTTTGCCTGCAATTAAATAAAATGCGTATAGAAAACGTTTCACCCAATCACTCAAATTAACAACATGAGAAATCTATCGACTTATAATGTAGTGATACATAGGTGAAAAGTCGAAAAACTAAATAAAACGAAGTGATAGTAAATAAATTGAATTACCGTCGTAAAAGCAGCGGTTAAAGTTTGCGGTGCAGCAGATACGGGATTTAAGTTCAGTGCTGTTTGAATCAACTGAGCGTCTCGAATGCGCGATGCAACAAAATTCCTTGTGCTAGTGCTTTCTGAGCTACTGTCAGTTAAATAAAATAATTCTGCTGCTTTATATATTCCTGCCAAACCCACCCGGCGAGCATACCAGTTAAACTGTAAGGTAAATTTTCTATCAATGTATTATTAAGCTTAAAGTAATAAGTATTTATCCAATGAAAGATGATATACACTAGATCGTCATTTGGAGTCCGTTGTAATTAGGATTGTTGATAATGAAAAAGTAAAATATTAGCCAGACTAGTAATTTAACGATAGATGAAAGCTTTTTATGCTGATTTTGAAATAGTTCTTGTTGATTTAAACATGCAGTCAGTAAATTTGTTTAAATCACTACGTATTTACGTAGCGTTATTGCGTAAGACAAAAAAAAAAATTAAGAAGGAAGGAGTGCTGCTCGCAGGGGTCATCATTGTTAAAAGTCATGGTTGCATTAAAGATAAGACTGAATACTAGTTTTACATTTCAACTATGGCAGAAGACGCACTGGATTCAAAATGATCTCAGACTAATGAGTTTTAGGTGAGCAGCGAATCAGAGAGGACAGGGTAGCTGCTTTAAAAAGCAGGCTCGAGCGTGCTAGATGTTGAACGCGTCCAGTCTTCCTTGTGCTTAACGGTAAAATCACCGGTTTTTAATAACTTAACCGAAGTGTTAAGGTATTTTTTTCTTCTCAGGTACACAAGCCACTTAGTTTAACCTGGTAGAGTCTGATCTTGTGAATAGTTCCCGAGAGGTGATAATTCCAAAACGAAGGGAGATTCAAACGTCTCAGTTCAAATTGCGGAACGGTAGCCAAAAGGGGATTTAGTGCATTCGACTCCGGACCAGGAATCGGGTATTCTACATCAGATCTATAATAGTAAACTTCAACCAAATATTGAAAGTACCGTATTAATATCACATACTTACATCTACACTCCTGTCTCCAGAATGGTAGCAAATGTCGTCTACAAGTGATAATAGAGTAGCCAAACAGTTAGGAACATTATTAGGGAGTGTTTGAAGTGCCATAGCTTTAGGCCAGGTACTCCTAAAAGTAAATTACAAAGAAAAATTAGACAAGTGTTGATTCGAAGTATATATAATATACTCTTCTATACATACAAGTACAAGCTTTGATAACTGTACAGATTGATTACATCAAATAAATAACAAATATCATGATCGTGTGACAACAGGCCACAAGTTATCCTCTTAACTTTGGAACAAGCCTAATATTTATTATGTATAAACTATGTGTACCCTGCTACGCTTATCAATCGGTGAAAAACTTGCGTTTTTGAAGCGTAGGTACACAAACCAACTTAACATTTAAATATATCTATATAGATATACGACTATTATTACCAAAAGTTAAACAATTTACGCCATAATCTTTGCACAGCTTCTGGGAATTGTGGTGATAAATATCAATGAGGTTATGGCGCTGATAATGTGGAGAGGATTAAGAACTTCTTCACTGCGTGAGGCGTATGTGAACCGTGGGGAGCGCACAGTCTCATCTCAATCCGACTCGCCACACGTACTTATCAGCTAAATGCCACGTCGCGCGCTCAGCTGACTACCTATACTTTTACACGTCTCTTATAAAAAAATAGCTTTATTATTTGTAATTCTCGTATATAATGCAGGACAGGGATATGAGTTAAAAAACCCTAGCCCAGGTAATGGAGAAACTAATGTATGCTTGTACTTACTTATATGGATCAATCATTAACAATCTTGTCATAATCGCATTTTCCACAAATTTTGCTGGCACTTTTGAGTCCTTCAGTTCCTCACTAGGCCACTGTACAACAAAAGGAAATACATATATATGATATTAAGAAAATAGATAACTATATAATAATAGGAATAGTTTATATAACTTACACTTTTCATTTGATCTACTAACTTTTCATTGCATTTAATATTAAAATAATGGACTAGATCTGCCCCACCATTCGGGAATAATCCATGAGTTATAGTTGGGTACCCTACTGCTTTGGCACCTGAACTTAATGATTCAATGGACCATCCACTCTTTGGTACAAATTGTAAAGCCTTTTCCAAAATGCGATTTTTAACATTTTCTTCATATTGGTGCTCTTCATGTTCAGTAACAACAGTGGCAGGTTTTAACTCCTTTTCAAAACTGTTTTGACAGTAACTTCTAATTAAACCTTGTCTCTTATTGATGGCAACTGCCAATGTACCAACTATTCTTTGGCCATTCTTCAAAGCTGTTAACAAGGAAAAAGGATTCTGAATAGAAATAATAAAAAACCAAAAATACACACAAAAGTTTGTGTTACAAATAAAGAAACAAAATATTCAAAAAATGGTTTATTTAAAGGACTATAATTCTAGTTTTAATACTAATATAATATTTAACCACAATTCATTTTTAAACCTTGCATTTTGTTTACATTGATACATTCCGAAAGACGTGCAATTAGACCTTCTATTAAATGAAAAGCATTTAAAGCAGAACATAATATTTCTTTTTTGTTTTCTTTAGGAATCTTGTCCAATACATTGCCTCCAACATTAATTGAAACATTAAGTTCTTCTCCTGGTACATCATTCTCTTCAATATCCTGTAGCTTTACTTCATAATGAGCCTTAGACATGTTTAGCCCAGTTCGTAGTTGTTCCAGGTAAATATTTTCAATGTACATAAAATTGTCTCTGATACCAGTATGGTTCTCAATATCCTTGATTGCCAAATATCTCAAGAAATTTAATGCTGATATGATTTGATCAGCAAGTTCAACTAGATCAGATTCTGCACCATGTGGTAGGAAGCAAATTTTTTTTATCATAGTTGAAAGTTGGGCTCCAGTAAAACACTCGTCTAATTTAGGCTGTGCATATGATTCATTTATAGAGTTTTTATATAAAGTTATAGCATATCCAATCATTCCAGAATGATTAGATAGTTCAATTAAATACTTGATGAGTGTACATCTTCCCTTATAGTCAAACTTATTAATATGGCATTCAATAGCTGCCAATGCTTGCTTACGTAGTATTTCATAACTTGAATATATTGCAACATTTGTTAATCCCTTACACATATCAATGTGTATTGGTGAGAATAAGTCATATGACATTTTTTGAGGAAAGCGGTCTACAACAGCATTGCATAAGGCAATAGCTTTAGCAAGTGGACCATATTCAGGAAAACTTAACAAGTGAACAGAACACAACATTACAGTATTAAGAACATAATCTAAACGATAAACTTGTGGAACTGCCAATTCTGGTATAGCAAAATGCCCTGAAAAAACAGCATAAAATAATCCAGACAGGGTAGTCATATTGATTTTTTCCTTATGTTCATAAGGCAACTTTTCATCTTCATTATCCTGTTTTGATACACTCTTCTTCAATCCTTCCCTATAACAAACTTCCACTAACTCAAGAAATTTCAGTACATTCTTTTCAAGAGTGCAAATATCTTGAATGATCATTGAACAAGTTAACCTTGCCTCACTTTTATCGTTAGTCTCTGGATCTAAGTCTAGATAAATTACAGGTTTACCAAGTAGACTAATCAAAAATGCTGTGATTATTTGCTTAGTTTTGTTATTTGTATCATTTTCATCCAATTCTTTCATGAAATGTTTGTAGAATGGTGGTAATAGTGTGTAAACTCTTGTTACCCTTCTCATGTTTATGTCAGAGTCCATTAGTAATCTTTCTTGACCCTCTAATTGGTGATCTGGTATAGGAATTTTCTCAATATAGGTAATAATAGAATTTAAACACCATTCCAATGATCTACCTCTTTTAACAGACATTTTTTTTAGTAGATCTTGGAGTGGTTGTAGTACGAGTCCAAACTGAGCATCATTCTTTGCAAGTTCGATTTGCTCTATAAACTCTAATAGAGCTTCTTCTGGTGAGCATTTCTCAATAATAATGACCAATAGTTGTTCACATGCACCATACATTGATGGTTTAATAATAATTGTGTCATCTTCAATTTTCCCAATTACCACAGCTATTAAATCCCAGCAGTTATCTTTAAAACTTTTTGCAAATCTATCTTCATTGACTGCACCTAAAGCTTCTTTGTATTTCCCAGAATCCAGTAAAGTGGAAATATAATTTACCATATCAATATTTTCGGCCATGATGAGATTTTGTGTATAAAAGAACTATTTATGCCAATTAACTCTGAAATTAATTACTTTTGATATTATATATAATTGCGAGGTTATTATGAGACATCAAAAATGTTAAGTATTTAGTCGAAATCTAACGTCAAGACTTACATCGGAAAATTCTTGGCAATCTGCTCATTCTTGTTAGAATTTTTTGAAGTGGTTTTTAACTATTGTGATGTCCTAAGTGTTGTTATTTTTATTCCCAGGTTTCCGAATTTTGTCTTCTTAAAAACATCGATAGTCGCCGAATGACAGATATGACAGTACCTAAATTGACATTAACAATCTTGTTTATGCTAATACCTATACCACACGTTTGAAGTCAAAATAAAAAGACAAAAAGATTTATTTTATTTATACAAGTTATGGAGAAGGAGAGAACTATCTCATTTGGGAGGAAAGTTTGAAAAAGTGTCCAGCTGTATACTCAAAATAGAGGTTGCTGGCGAAAGAAAAACTACGATATGAACATAGCTGTTGTAGACGGAGCGAAGTGGGCTAAGTTAAAATATCATTATACTTTTACTGTCTGATTGTTACTACTCCTTTATTTATTGTCTGGAAAACTCATTAACTATTTTTGCAGTCTAGTACAGTGTCTAATTATTATTTTTAGCCAACATAAATTTTTCGCTTATGCTACTGTAGCACCCCCAATTAAGACACTTCACACAGTTGGTTCTTCTTGCCTCTACCCTCCATTCTAGAAGTTGATCGTTTCGTAAAAACAAAAGCATCAATTTTTGTTATATCTGAATCGATGTATGAATTTATTTATTGCAATGGTGTGAAAATCTTATATATTGCACGTATTATACATGCACGTATGAACCTTCCTTTTGAATCACAATTAATGAAAACCAAATTAAAATCCGTGACGTAGTTTTAAAGATCTAAGTGTACAGGACATAAGCTATACATACATAACAAGCATAGAGAGAACACGGGGTACAGTTTCTTTTTAAGTCTCCCGCTTTAGGAACATATGCTGTGTCGCGGGGGCTTTACAAACATACATGAAACGGACACAAAGAACACCCAGACTCAGAACAACAATTTTTGGATCACACAAAGTGTCGCCCCGTGTGGGGTTTGAACCCACAAAACTCGGCATACAAGGAAGCAGCGTGGCGACCGTTTAAACCGTGCAGTCTCCACAGTACAAGAAGCGATAAAGGCAACGAGAGAGATGGATGAGCTATCGTGAAGTGGGCGGTACAACAATGGAGATTAGAAATTTCCCCAGCCAACCAGAAGGCCGGAATAGAAAAAGATAGATTAAACTATCAATTTACAATCTGTCTCGTTGCCTATATTGCAAGATTGGGACTTTTGTTTATTCTACTCTTATATCTCTATGGTACAGGAACGGGAAGCGACTTCATTTTATACTATGTACGGTGCTTTAAACTTGAAGCAGTATAAAAAGCAAGCGAAAAACAAGACAAAAAACAATTAACTATATCTCCCATAAACATCGGCTTATGGATCGGTTTCATTCTGACCTGGTATCCACACGAAAACATTCGCCGTGCGCGTTTCTCGAGCGTGCGAGCGACGCGAACGCCGCGTGCGAGCTGCGACAGCGCGGCGTGAGCGTAGCGTTTAGCCCGCCTGTGGTGTGTGTGCAGCGTAAGCGCCGAGCGCGTGCAGGGTAAACAGTTACCGGTAATTGTTACATACAATACAACACAAAAATAACATGATCGAGACGCAATAGTTATGTAACTGCTAAAAGTTACTTTAAATTATAGACTCATATCGGCATATGAGTCTATAATTTAACCAATTGTACATCAATGCAAGGATAATAAAACTAAAAATAATTATAATATAACTTCAAAAAATAAATATACATAGATAGAAATATTAAATTAGATATTGAAGACGTATTACCAACCGGCGAGAATTAATGTTTTCTGACACTTGCATATAAAACACTGAATATTATACCGACAACAGCAACATTTAATATTTTGATGGTTACATGCTTGGTCTCGTTACCATCCATACTTTCATGCTTATATTATAAATGTGCAAGTGAGTTTTGTTTGTTAAACCGATTCTAAAAACGTAAGTTAGAAATAAATCAATTTATCTGTTTTAATTTAACTAAGATTAATCAAGGAATGGTTTATTCTAACTCTATAAAAATTTTGTAAAACCTTACTGATACTCGTGCTAAAATGCGTTACGTTAATAATTTACTAATCATAAAAAATACTTATAAATGATGACGGATAATTGTATAAACTTATAAAATTAATTTATTACATGTGATATCTTCTATTGTTATCTGTGGTGTGTGTGATGTGACATGACATATATTATTACATTAAATTACCTACAGATTCATTATACTTCATCTGGATAGCTGCTGAGTAGTGTGAGAAAACAAATTAATTTTTTTTCTTAAAACTGTTAATAACATCTTTGTTTTCATATGAAATACAAAAGAAAGTATGTAGGAAGTCTAAAGTGATAGTTCATAAAATATCTATTGAAGAAATATGAATTATTTATAAGAACTGGTTAGATTATCATAACTAGCGAATTTTCGAATGTTACATTAAGTAATGTATGTAAATCTCGCCCCGCAAAAGGCAATAAGATAGTATTACTAAATTTCAAACATGGCAGCAAGACAGAAGAATATCTTTACACGGAGTAAACCTTTAATGAATATTTATAGTGGAGTTGATCAAGAAGGCAAAGAGGTATTAAATGCTTTCTTCAAAATATAGATTTAAAAGTGCTTTAATGTTGTGTTGTGTTTTAGGTCTTGATCATATCCATTTTTTTAAACTCAGCACTAAGAACATATATAACTTGTAAAACACTTATTCTTGCTGCTATATTATTGATTAATGTAATGAGTGTATTAGTTGTTATAGCTTTAACAACAATTTATTTTGTGTATGGCTTTTGTCAGTACTCTGCACTAAAATTTTTTAGTTTACTGTTGATGTGTATGAATATGTTAGAACAACATACTTTACTACCAAGTACTTTTTATTAGTTTTATTAACTTTATTATTACAGGTAGAGGTCCGTGAAGATGCAGAACAGATAGTGAAATGGCATGAGATATCAGATGCATTGGTTGCAGCTGGCTATTATAGAGCTCAATTACAGGGTCTCTCTGCATTTGACAAGATTGTTGGAGGCCTAACTTGGTGTATAGAGCTTTGTGACATTGATGTAGACATAAGCCTCTTGTTTGAAGAGAATCTCACAATTGGAAAAAAAATGTAACAATATTTTTACTGTGTTAACAAAAATGGACTTATAACACTATGAAATGTTTTTTTTTTGTTTTCATGTTTGTTTCATACTTTTCTCTTTTCCTAACAATTTCTTTTGTTAATTAAGAAGTTTTACTTAATTATAGTACTCATTAATTACAGTACAGTGCAGTACATTAATTAAGAGAACTCATATTTTTGTTAGGACTTTTAAAAATCTTTCTGGAAGTTCTTCTTTTGTTACTTCTGTAATGGGTTTAAAAATATAATCAATAGACTGTAAACTGACTAAATACATGAAACATGCTAGGGTTTTGTATTTATTCTATGTCCAGCACAGTGTTTTCTAAATATTTGAACTTTTAATACTTTTAAGCTTATTAAACTTATCATTACAGAGCTTTAACAGAGAAAATTGTAAAAGTGTTACCCACAATGAAATGTCCATACACAATAGAACCTCATCAAATTCAAGGATTGGACTTTATCAATATTTATCCACTCATTTTATGGCTTATAAAATACTCTAGTGAGTTCAGAGAAGCCAAGGAAGATGAATTACGCAAGTTTGCCGTTATTCAGTACGACAAAAACCATATATTTGAGTCGGACAGAGCTAACTATATGCAGAAAGAAAAATTTTTAAGAAATTTATCTATGGTGCAGGTAAATGCTAAAATAGCAACTGTTTTTTATACAAAAAATTTTGTTCATAAAACTGTAATAGCAAACTACAATTACACTGGCATTTCCTAGTTTCTCTCTTGTTGCTTGTCTCTGCCCTGCAATAATAGCCAACAGCTAAAGCACTGTTTTAATTTTAGAACTTGTATAAACCATGTAGAGTTCGAAAAAGGAAGGGTGATCTCCCTGCCAATGAACTAGAACAAGTGAATGCTACCCTATCTGAGTATGACCAAAGAATGTTGATGCATGTCTCCACAAGTAAAGCAGATGTCAAAAATGATGATGGATTAGACTTCTTGGTGAGTATAAGTACAAATATTGCATAACATTACATGTCTATCATGTATGTGACTGGTTTGAATTAGATTGATTTAGTTGTTAGTAGGTACTTAAAAAAAAATTGTCAAAATGTATTATCCTTTTATATTGCTAAATCTGCCTGATTTTAATAAATAAGTTACATTCTGAATATTTTATAATAAAAATGCTTTTTACAGTATGATTATGAAAAGACACTAGCAGATCCATCGGAAATCACTACTGAAGTAAGTAATAGTATAAGGCAATTTATTAATGAAACAAATTGTGTCACAATAACATGGGGTTACAATAATTTTACAGGCTAACAGATACCTAAAAGACATCGGCAATAAAAACGCCGATACTAATGTTCATTATGCAGTATTACAGTCAGAGCTCACTGGAGAGATATCAAAAGAATTGGAGGCAAGTGAGAAACAAAAGTATTCAGAGGATGTGGACAGACTTGCTAAAAGCATAGCTGTTATGGAAAAAGATATCCAAGAGTTCAAAGACAATCATGAGGAGAGAATCGAAAAAGTGAAGTGTCAATATACTGACGTACTTGGCAAGTTGCGTAAAATCACTCACAAATTAATGAAAGCCGAAGACTACAGGTAGATATCTATACATATAAAAATGTGATGTTAGTTTGTATATTCTTCAAAAACTCAAAAAGTTTTACACCAATTGAGTTCAAATTTTAACAAGATGTACAACCCGTTTCAAAAATGCCTTTTGTTTATTTTTCGCTTTAGTTTAATTCTTCATTTCTCATCAATATATTATTTTTTATTAAATATATATATATATTGATGCAGTGATAAAGATGTGAAACAATTCTATAAGTCATTGAAAGAGCTGGCGCGAGAAAGGAACGAGCTTCTGCAAATTATTCAACACAGAGGAAATGAACACGCAAAACTTGAAAATGATTTAAGGTAAAATATTCAAAAATTAAATATATGTATATTACGTGACAAATAACTCTGCAATCTACAATGACTTGGGTGCAACTGAATTTTGTAGCTGAATGCAGGTACACTCGCAAACAAACGTACTGAGCATACAAATACATTTTATATACTTTTTACGTGCATTATTAAGCTACAAACAGGTAGGTAGCAATACAATTCAATTTATTGAAATCACAATTGTTTAAATTAAAATGTAGGTACATCTATTTCCGGAAGGTTAACATGAATATTTTAAATACTAAAGTAACAACTCCGGACTAGCTATATGAGCACATTATCATTAAATGGACACTTACTAGAATTATGTTTAATATTTAGTATGTTAAGGTGGCAAATAACTGAAATAATTTATCAAATCAATAACAGCGCCAGATCAAAAAGTTAGGTAGGCACTAACTAGATTTGCTATTATACCAAAAGGCCAATTCTCGTAATAAAAGTTTGGTGACAATAGGGAATATGCATGTATTTTTTTAATTTTTTTAAACGATTCTACTAGTTATTACATTACCAAAAATAAATATAACATCCGAAATATAAACCGCTAAGCAAAAATTTTTTTATTAAAATCACTATCATTTTGGGGCAATTTGAACACGTCCATTTTGGCGCGCTTTTCTTGTGGCGTCAGATTACACTTTCAGACGAATTCGATGTCAACAACGGAGTGAAGTTCACAAAGTTTGTGAAAGTTAAAAAGTGAGTGATAAAAATTAACTTATTACCTTGGAAAAGCCAATAAAAACTTATTATAAATATTGTGCCGTTCCTTTGTGCCCAAATAATATCAAAACTGCACCTGACAAAATATATTCAGTAGACTTGCAACGAATAGTATATTCGGCAGTATACCGAATACCGAATATTCGGCGAGGCCCCTGACCGAATAGCCGAATATTAGGCAAAAGTATTCGGCTGGATTTTAGCGCCAGAAACTTGTACAGACGTGAATTAAATTATGTATCTGTTTTATGTACCAATGACTACTTAATAAATAATTATAAAAGAAATGAGAACTTTACCCTTCTAAATTTTGATTACCACAATAATTCAAATACATAGAATCCTCCATTTTTCCTATTCAGAAGATGATTATGTACCTGTGTTATGCACCAATGACTACTTAAATGATTATAACAGAAATGAAAATATGAATATATACGTAATCAATCGATTTTAATTTTTCATTTTACCAATTATTTCTCAATGACAAAATATATTATTTAAGTATTCGGTATTCGGCCGAATAATATGTAGATATTCGGTATTCGGCCGAATATAATAAAAGCAGCCGAATAGGCCGAATACCGAATAGTAACCGAATATTCGTTGCAAGTCTAATATTCAGTCATTGTGTTGAGTCAGAAAGACGGCACGGGAATTTAATAATTTAACACTGAAAACGTATTAGTTATTAACTTAAAATGAAACAAATAATCACCAGAAACCAAATATTACAAATACACACAACTTGTTGACACTCTTGACAGTGTAGGTTGACGTCACGTTTTATTCAACCAATAGCGTTGCGTTTTAGAAATTTGCGAGGGAATCTTAAAAAAGCAAATTTTTGATGATTAAATTTCACTATTAAATTATAATAAATTTCAAAAATAATTGTATGGGTATCTTTTTTTAGCAAATAAAATTACAAATAAAAATATTTTGTCCATTTTGGTGTCACGTGCATATTCCCTATTCAGTTTCGATCAACTCTCGATCTCACAGCTGTCATAAAACGTATTTTCGGAATATTAGATCAAATTCACATTTTTTTCCTTCTTTAGGTAAGTATATTTTGTACAGTGCGGACAGTCACACCCGTAGCTTCTCCAATTATTTTTTTTGTTACACCTTGTATGATTCTGCTTTTATTTACATTAAAAACTATTTTTTCTGGCCTGCCATTTTGATACGTAGTTTCGTCTCGGTATTTTGAGTAACGCATATGAAGCGTACAACAATAATAACAAACGCAAACAAAACAGATAGCAAACACAAACAATAAACATTATAAACACAAATAACAATATTAGTGGCAACTATAACAATAATGTCCATAACAGAAAGAAAAGCAACGTAAGCGAAAAGCAGTGAAACTTAATGCGTTAAAGCGAGATACACGACTGACCTTGCAGCGGTGTAACGCTCTCAGTCCCCTCAAATGCGCAGGACTCACTACTCTGATACCTAAAATTATGGCTTGCGGCACTCCTCGTGTGAACTTCGTTTTCGCAGAGTTATTTGGCGCGTACCATATATGCTGTTGAAGCAACAACAACAAAATTGTATAATTATATATATGTAAAATCTACAGGTCAATAAAAGATCCGACAACGAAGATCGAAGAAAAACCATTAACGCCTGCAGAATTGAAAGAATTTAACGAAAGGGAAGAAAAGTTAAAAGCATTTATTACAAACATGAGACTGGAACTAGGGAAGATAAACCGAGAGGTGTTACGATATACTACTGCTATTGATGAAGTGCCTGGCACAGCAGAATTGTTACAATATGAGAAGAGATTTATAGAACTTTATAATCAAGGTAATATTGAATAACTACATACATACATATTACATATTCGGACAACAGATATAGGTACCGAATCATCTAAAAAATATGTAATTTATTTAGCATGGGGCCTATTATCTAATTTAATTATCGTAAGTCAGATGAGGGATTATGTTGCCCAGTGCTTAAAATTATTATCCAACATTATTATATAGCACGGTCATTTGTTCTGTGTCTGGGTGTAATTTATCTATAATATGTATGTATTTAAAAATATATAAGTATGTTTATCAGCAGTCTGGTTACCATAGCACTGGCTTTGCCTAGTTTGGGATAACACGGCTGTGTGTAAGATGTATGAAGTTATTATTATGATTATGATTACCATGACTATGCTAAATTAGTAGCTCACATGGATAGGACGATTTATATAATATAAAGGGACATTACGAAAATGACATCAAAATAATACGTAAATTATTAATATTTTTTTCTGCAAATGTGATAGATTCGACTTCTAGAATATCTAATACAAGGCAAATATTTCTTTTACTTTCAGTTGCATCGAAACACAAGGAAACAAAACAATATTACATATTTTACAATACACTATTAGAAGTAAAACTATATACCTCAAAAGAATTAAGTCTGCTTAATTCCATTTTGGATAATTATGATGAGTAAGTACTAAATACACATTATGTACTAAGTAGACATATAAAAACTTAACAATTTCTAGAATTATATCACGACCTTGCAGAAGATTTCAGCCATTGGACGTTACAAATACCAAAGCATCAGCATGTGAATTAGTTCCAGAGAATCTTAGCGAAAAATGTGTCATTACAATATCTATACTAATATTATAGAGCTTATTTGTTTATTATAGAGTTTGTTGATATTGATATCGAAAGTCTATATACCACCACGCTACGACCATTAGGACCGGAGTATCAATGAAAAATGTTGCAAAAACTGGAGAAAATTATTCTTTTTGAGAGCTTCCGTTCCGTGAGCTGCGTAAACGGTTGAAGTTTCGCAAAAATCATGCGTGACAGGATTGTTCCCCTTTAAAAGTTCAAAAAAAAGTTCGCGACACCATATGACTATGTTCTAAGGTTGGCTCTCTGTAACCTTTATTTATGGTAATCAAATTTGTTCTAAAACAATGCATTATTTACGAAGGTGTTTTTAGAAACATCATATTAATCCTTATCCAAATAAAAACAATATTCATAAAATTGCCCATGACATCATTTTGATATCAATAAATATCTTAGAAAAGCTCAGTAGCACCAGTTAGCTCAGTGAGATACCATACCGCGGTCAAACGCGTGGTCGGCTCCCTACGGAACGGTTGTGTTCAGCAAATCTACTTTTTTAATTTGTTATTGCGATATATCATCGTATAATATTTTTAAATAAATAAGTTTTAATTTAGGTATTTTTGTTCATTTTACTATCTTACTTAGTAATAATATAGAAAATAATATAAAAAATAAAAACAGGTACTTACTTACAATTTAAAATAGGTGCTTGCCGAAGTAGATACTCACGTAAAGAACAATGGCGAAATCGTAGTTGAGTATAATCTGAGCGTCTTAAAATGTCATTTATAGGAAACTAATTCTAGTAAATATCTACGTTTTTTGAAACTATCGTCTAAGTCAGTAGAACCTCAGGAAAATAAAGAAAAATATTACAAGCTTATTTGATTATTTTAAATTCCTTTATAAGGTTAGTGTTACCATTTTACAGCTATTTTTTTCAAGTTATGGAAATACTGTGTAATACGAGTAAAGTGTCGTAATATGGTGATTACTTAATAGTAATGGTAATCAGATAATAGATTTGTAATTCTAAGTACTGAATCAATAAAGAATGTAGTTTGTGATGCACCCTTTCCCCCCGGGGTAGTGATTTTTAACGAATTTTCGCTTTTGAACTTTATTTTCATAATAAGGTAGGTAAAACGAAACGCACAGATTTTTTTTAGATTTTTATTATACCTAGAAGTACTATTTCCAAGACCTAGACTTAAAAGTACCGTCAGGAACTTCGTGTTATCACAATGTTAGGAACTTGGATAGAAACTACAAAATAATGAGATCCAATATTGACTTAGTAATAATTAAATTATTAGGTTTTTAATTACAGATTAACCTCATGGTATTCAACAAAACAATTTTTCTTCTCCTTTACACACAAAAACACGTTGCAATGCGAACATTTACTATGAGGTTTCGACTGAACCTTATTCAAGTTACAAACTTCACACCTTCTCCTGTTCTCTACGAATGTAGACCAATGGATGCCTCTGTTACCCATACATATAGAATAGTCAGATTTGCGCCTTTTTGAAGGGTCGCCATCCGCAGTATTATCAGTAGAAGTCTTTCTATTCTGACTAGCATTTTTCATTGTCAGTCTCTGGGCATTTGGGAGTTATCATTGCAATGCAGATGAGATAAAATAATAGCAAATCTGTCTCTTGGCATTGTTTTGCAAATAAGTGCATTGTTGAGATCAGATGTCGAAGAGTAATGGTCTCTCCACGCCGGACGAGTATTGTCTATACTCATAAAAAATTCATACCTATAAGTGTTAGGAGTTCCTCCTTTTTTAGGTTCAATACCTTGCCTTTCTGAATTGCATAAAGGTTACTTTGCTATACAATATTGTCAATAATATCTCCAATCAATACTAAAAATATATCAGTCGGTGTGTTACAATGAGCAAAACAGTCATCTACTACTCCGATATCTGCAATGTATCCCGGTAAAATTGTATATAGGTCCCTCTTTTTCCATTTACGGTTTGGTTCGGGTAATTGTTGGTTAGTTCTGTAAGAAGACGTAGACGCAGACGGTAGATCAGTCTGAACACTAGATCCAGGTATTGGAGATGTAGGTACCTGATTTATAGGGCACTCCAATACATCTTCATTTGACGGCGACGATGACGGAACTTCGGCTAAAACACTGTCTAGAGCTCTTTCGAAAACCTCATCGAAGCCTCTTATTGAGGGTAGTTGAAGATTTTCCACTTCATCATCGGATACACCTGCATCAGACTCTTCGTCGCAGTCCGGAAGCTCTGCTAATAACAGGGCTTCAATCAGAGCAGTATTGTTTTTAATATCCATTTTAATGCCCAAAACAATAAGAAAATAGGTTCAAACAATAATAAAAATAAAAAAAACACGTTTATAATAAAACAAAATACCCTCTTCATCGAGTATGTATTATAATTTCTGAGACTAAAATCACCTGACGGTACTTTTAAGTCCGCATAAGTTTTAATCAAATATTCATATAAAATAAAGTGATAATACGTTGTAACAGTTTTTTGAAATGTAGTCAATGATATAAACAACGTAAATAGTAAAAAAAAAATGCACTTACCTGTAATATTCTATTTATAAAACTTTTTCAATTACACCGCACAGCGAAGTGACAATATGTTCGACAGTTTGTAACTTGTTGTTCAAATTATTCGGCAACTTTACGCGGTAATTCAATAACGCGCTGTGATTGGCTTACGGATACGGTACTCTAAAGGATCGTCAGTTGTAGTTAACGTAAAATGTTTTCGTACTAAGTTATTAGACGAAAAATGTGGAGGTACTTCTAAGTACCGTAAGGAGGGATTGGGTTAAACGCATTATTTACGTATTTGAAAATCCTGTATGAAAGGAATGTAAGGAAGTAAAAAAAATAAAGTGGCAACTGCAAGCTGAAAAAAATCAAAGATTTTTTACAACCCTTGACAGACGTTGGCGCTCTGTCTTTAAATATAAAGAATAAACATCAGACGTGACAGGCGGCGAATATACCTATAATATACCTAATATAACCTACGAACGTTCTACAGCTAGTGGACCACAAATATTCTTTATTATTATTTTTATTTTATTTAAATGGCACACTGTATGTGTGCCATTTAAATAAAATAATAATAATTATAATTATGAAATAATTATATAAAGCAATACAAAAACCAATTTGAAAAGTCGATAGCCATAGCTAAATTGATAAAATAAAGGAAACATTATGCAGCTATATTATAAACGACATCTGTGCACTCTTTTAAAACGAGTTTACAGATAAAAAAATGCGGATCGTAACTATAAAAATCATAAAATCAAATCATTCTTTTATTATGGTAAAAAAAATTTGGTGGTGGTAGAACGCTGATGTGGGCATCATATAACACTTTCTCGCAGAATGTTCTTGTAAGTGGTAGAACACACACAAGGAGTCAATGTCTCCTTACACTTAAAGGTTCAATATCGTATGAGAGTTGAGGATCGAATTGAATTCGTACAACAAGTCTTCGAAGTCAAAAGAGCCAAGCCGATATCTACATGCTCTGAGATGACAGCAGTATCCCCTAAAACGAGACTTGTGACTTCAATAATAAAAGTCATTGTCCCAGAGGGATCCGGTTTGCTCTATTAACACATCAACAACACAATTTCTTTTAGTAGGCAAATTAATTAACTCAAATTTTGATGTTTTGCAGCAGTTCATAAAAGCAATAAATTGTCTTTGTTTTAACCAGTATTGCTACTTCTACTACTGAGATTAGATTAGATCGCTAAAAATATAAATGTATTTTAAGACAAGTAGTTGAAATACTAATTTAAAAAGATGCAGTAGTAGAAGAGTAATGGGTATTTAAAATATATTTTACAGATAACATTTTCAAGAAGTCTCTGAAATACATATACCAAGTATGTATTTCAAATATGTAGGGGGAAGTCCCCTAGTGCCGGACACATAAGGTTTTCAGGAAATAAAATTAAAACTACATCGAGAAATATGTATTTATTTATGAATTACTTAAATTAACAAAACATAAAATCAAAATCAAATAACAAAAATACAAATTCTGCGTAAACATAGTTTAGGAATGTTAAATAAGTTTTGGTAAAAAAATAAAGGACTTTGACATTGGCACCTAGTGCCGGACGGGTTAATCTTCAAACCCCAAGCGCCGGACATTCTAAAACTTTTAGCATCTATCACATATGTAGGCATCTCCACATTCTGGAACGTCTGCACATGCTTCATGAGCCCATTATTGGCATCTGGAGCATTGTATCCAGTCCTCGTCGTGGTCTTCTAAACACACTACACAAGTCGTTTTTTCTATATTTGATACTTCAGTTAACGGCTCCTTTTTGTTGTCGTTATTGCCACGTTTGGTTTGTTTACTCATGGGGAATCTTCATAGCTTCAGCCAAGTCGTAAGCTAACTTCAAAAACTCGTTTTTCATCAGGGGCAGACATCTATTAGACAAATCTCTTATGTGGTCCACTAAAACTTGCTCATACTCGGGTGAGAAGGTTTTTGTGAATCTACCAACTTTTGGTTGCAACGTGACTTCTTTTCCACTGCTCAATGTTGTTATTTTATCATGTAGAGTACTTTTTGGAACATTGTAACGTGACGAAGCTGCCCTCAAACTCATTTTTTTGGACAAAATCTTGTTCATCGCAGTTTTTAAACTTTGCTGATCCCATTTTCCTTTTTTTTTTCTCTCTTGCATTTTCAAATATCTCTCTCCTTCTATCCTGTAAAACAACAAACAATCATCATTACAATAAGTACAAATGCTTCATAAAAAAGCTAACCTATAAACTGTCCGGTGGTAAGGGACACCTTTGTGTCCGAAAATAGGGGACAGGAAACGTCCAAAATTACGTATTTCATACTAAAACTGTTTAGGTATTTAATAAAAACTTTCACAATATAATAATTATAGTGAAACACTGTCTTTATTAAAAAATAACAAAAACAATTAAGGATAAAACCATAGCAGTAATACTTACTTGAAATTTACGTGACGCAACGCTTTCCCACCAAAAACAGCAATTCACGGCTTCCACCACGACTGTGCGCCTCACTGGCAAATCGCGTTGCGTGATCCTGTCTCGCTACGTTCCCCCGCACCCCTTTCACCGATTTATAAATAGATCGCGTTGACGTTTGTCAAAATAGTATGAGTGTCCGGCGCTAGGTGCCGTCCGGCGCTACGGGACTTCCCCCTACATATTTCTGTAACAAATTTAATTTTAATACTGCCCCTGCTGATCTGCTTATTGCTAGGGTTTCTCGATAATTGCCACTAGCCGTAACATTTAATACTCATTAATGTAGGTGTACCTTATCAAGTAAGCCTCCCAGGTTGACTAGAAATTATTGCTGGACGTAAAGTTAGCATCTGTACTATATAAGTAATACATATCGAATCCTAGTATTATAAGAAGTAAGAAGGAAGAGTCGGTTAAAAGTTGGATTAATAATACATAGATTTGAGTGACACTCACTAATCTTTGCAGGGCTATGTCGTCTGTGAGAAAAAGAGAAGAATTCATGTCTCAATTTGAATCCATAGTAGACTGGGTGAACCATACTGTAAAGAAGGTTGAGGAGAAATATAAAAGTGAGAAACAACAGAAAGCTGATCTCTATAACGAGTATTTCAGGTTAATGGATATTCAAAGACAGTACGCTGCTGCACTGAAGAAATTGGGTGAAGAGAGACAGAAGCTTGGTACACAAAGGAATAGCTGACCTATTGATATTATACCGTAATATTTATTATATATTTATAAAGATAACTCACAATTTTGTTTGAATTAACACGATTTTCTAGTCTTCGATTTACAGGTACTAGTTAATTTTCTACTTTTGTATCCATTCCAGTTTTACAGAACTAGAAAAATCCTATATAGACTTTAAGACTGAATATAGATTTTGTAATGCACTATAGGTATGTATCAATAATGCATAATACCAATATTATTTAAAAATAAATAACACTGTTATACATAAGCATGTTTTATTTTCAAACCCTGATATTACAATAATATAAAGTAATACTGATTTACAATTCGTATTGCTTGCTCTCTTAATATATAGTTCAATCGAGCTTGGTAAACAGAGTAGTAAAAATTATAATGTGGACGGCATTAACCAATTTTGAGATTCTTATGGGCGTGCAGTATGATCTATATGCACGATAATTTAATAATAACGCCGTGTACATATTCTATTAAAGCGTAACTACGCTACTGCTGTGTGGGTGGCTCTTGCTGGAGCCGCTGTGCGTGTGTCCATGGCTGTGACCGTGGCCTGGCGTGTTAGAACTGGACTTCTTATACAAAGTGAAGGAGATCAGCTCACGGTTCGCGTTCGTCATTGCCATAGCGTGGGACACAACGTCGTAGCCAAACAATGCATGAAGGCGGTTTACCACAACTAGGGTTATGCCTTTCTGTGTGACTCGAACGGTTCGGTCCACATCTGATAAGAAGGCGATGGCCACGCTCAACGATGAGTTTAACTCCTGTAGAAAACGAAAGAAATTCATGTAAATAAATAAAAAGTAAACAATGTGAGGTATAATAGGTTGCAGAATTCTTTTCAATTATCATTTGTGACTGCTCAAGCTGTTCGGCTTAAGTAATCTGGCTAAAATTCGTGATAATATCAATACTGATACGATACTGACAATACTAGAATAAGATGACAATGATAACATCAATAATAAGAAACAAATAGGATGACGCCTATAGTACACAAAATAAAAATGTTTTTACCCGAACTAAAGTTGCCCTTTCTTCGCTTTTGAGTCCATACACTGTAGCCCCTTCATCTTTAGAAAGATGATGTGCACTAAGGCTACCCATAACCATAATATAAGGCATTTTTAGTCTGTTTACTTAATTCACTAGCAACAAAAGTTAAAACTTTATCTGGAACGTTGTAAGTAACAATAAAATAATCATCGACAGATTACGTACTTCATTTTAATTACACATGAGACTAACTCAACTAAATCACGAAATAAAATCTTATAAAGTTAATGAACTGAGGCACATAACCACGCGGCCGGACACCCTGTCTTAGCTACGATAGCTCGTGCACTCATGTGTGCGTCGACTCAGCCAGATAAGCACTACCTGCATATATGTGGTTACAATGGCATTTCTATGTAGGTTGATGTACGGATTGCTAATGACGCGCTTGTAGTTGTACGAGACGTGACGTCGAACGCTAAGTGACCTTCACGGGTAGTTGCTCAACGTGGACGCTTGCGCCGCTGGCCGCTGACTGTCGCGCGGTCGAACAATATTTATGAACTTCTATGTAACTAACTGTAATAATAAGTAGGTACCTATATTTTGATAATTTTCGCTCTGCATCACGAATCTGAAATAGGTATAATAAGTTTATATAGCGTTAATCGTTGTCACTATATTTTATGGTCGTGACCAAAACTAACAAATGAAAATCAAAGTGACACACAAATATTGTCAAATTTATTTAGAACTGAAAATTGTGTAACAAAATACTTGCTAAAACTTATTTGAAGTGAAATATACCAATTAATACAATCATGAGTCATTCTATGAGCAGTCCTAGAAACATCCAGTTAGGTACCTACCTACATAGATGCTATATATTATTTATTACAAATTGTTTATAAGTATATTTAAAATGATATCAGTGACATATGTAACTGATTTCCAAAATTTGTTTGGTCTCGGTATTTTAAAAGCGAATAATATGTCTGTTTATAACCAATTTTAGAGAGCGATTGCTAAATGATGATGTTGCGCTTCTTAATAACAAAGTGCACAGGAATTAGTTAACGAAATGTCTATCAAAGACCTACTAGGATTATTTGGGTACACAGTGTTGACATTTTTGTCATTAGTGTTCCTTTTAAGGTAGACAGTAAAGGTAAGTTAGTGTTCTCAGCTGTAGCTGTAAGTGCTTAGGTACTAGCCACTATATTCCATATTTCTAGCAGTGTAACAGTAGGTACCTACCTACTTATATGCAACCACATTAATTAAACTTAATTGATTATTGTGTGAGTTAGTACCTATAAATGACAAAGTATGTTTTCTATCTATAATGTCCGTCTATGACTTTTAGTATTCGAGACGTATCAAAAGGCTCGGCTGGTGTTTGTGCAAACAATGGCTGAACTTGCTACTAGGGCAACTAACGTCAAATGTTTGGAGAGTGCAGGTGTACTCGGTGAGTATGATCTATATTCAAGTATATTAATAGACAGCGTGAAGCGATCTATTGTAATAGACGACGGTAAACGAGGAGCTTTGTAATAAAAAAAAAAATGTATTGGAGGGCAAATGAGCATAAGTGTCACCTGATGGTAAGTAACTGTATTATACCGCCCCTCATGGAAACCTGCAACTGAAAGGACACAAGTGTGTGACCCCCCCTAGATTTGTGGAGTGGGGGGAGGGGGGTCTGTTGGGACTAATCCCGCCCACATGCCCACCACTGTAACTCCTGTACACCAGGATCCACAGCAGTGACCCACGAACACACCGAGTTATGACACTCGGGAAGTCCCAGGAAGAAATTAAACTGTCTTGGAACCCGCAACGAAATTAATCAGAAGAAAATTGGAGGAGTTGGAAACATAGTAAATCCACTTCCCTCCTTAGCAAAGCGGGAGACAAAATGAAATAAAATGGGCATACACCCTTTTAAACAGGGAAGCACCACGGCCACGAAATATTACGGGTCCTACGTGAGCTATATTTGATTTCTATAATATGTATGACAGAATCGCCTAAACGCACGGAAATTCACCCTAGTTGACACAAGATCCCCATAGTATACCGCCCCAGATGTCACCTGCAAGGTATTCAGCATTATATTACGTTCATTACACCAGAGACTACATTCCCAGAGGATATGATGAGCAGACTGTTCATAGTGAGAGTTAGGTGTTGAGCATTGACACAATGGTGACTCGACTAATTTAAATGAATAAAGCTTGCTCTTAAAGTTACCATGACCCGTAAGAAATTGAGCGACACAGTGATCCACCTCAAGCCATGTCCTCGACAACCGTTCGCGAACAGATGGAAAGAATTGGTAAAGATGGCGCCCCTTGGATGATTCATCCCAGCGTTGTTGCCATTCGTCTATGAGGTCATTATAGACATCGGACTGCTGTTGAAGCAATCTTGTAATTTTACCGCGATCCCGCGCGCCCAAAAAATCGCATTCCATGTTTTGTTGTCTTGAATAGTACATGGCTGCACGTCTCTGCACTTCGAGATCGACCGGAAGCACACCCGCCAACACCGGCAAAGCCTCGGTGCTAACCGTCCTATATGCCTTGCACAAGAATATCAGTGCAAGTCGTTGGCCTTGTAACAGTTTGCGACGGACAGCGCCTACGGTCGCCCTATCGGCCCATACAGGTGCACCATAGCACATAGAACCTAAATAAGTAGCTCCGTATATGATCTTTAATGTATTAAATGATAGACCCCATGTCGCAGTTGATATCCTTGTCAATGCACAGAAACTCTTTTTAGACTTTTCATTAACTATTTTAATATGTTCGATAAATGAAAAGTTTCTTTCTAAAACTAATCCTAGGTAACACACTGAGGCCTTATTTTTTACGGTAACATTGTCAAATCTAATGCTTGGCGGTGATTTGAGGTTACCTTTTAAAAGTAGCTGGAAGGTTTTGTTGGGTGCAAAATTTAAGCGATTACGTTCACCCCATTGAGATATCAAGTTCAAACATCTATTGGCTAATCTCTCAAGCCCCGCCCTAGTATCAGATTCCACCAGTAATAAGCCGTCATCAGCATACGCGTTCAGAGTACACCCGGATGGTATTGGTATCGCAAGAAAATCGTCGAAGCCGATATTCCACAAGTATGGACCTAGCACCGATCCCTGAGGACATCCCATTGTAAGCGCCTTCGACACAGAATGATGACCAAGTCTTAGTTTAGTAGTACCTTGTGAAAAGTACGAAGATATAAGGGAATAAATATTTTTAAAGCACCCCCGTGATTTTAATTTCAGCAACAGCATGGGCCACCATGCGTTATCGAAGGCGCCAGATATATCTAAGAAAATAGCCAGCACGTATTGAAATTTTGACTCTGTGACAAACTTTCTAACCGATATAACAGCGTCAGTTGTCGATTTACCCAACGTAAATCCAAATTGTCTATCATGAAATTTGACTCCACCTGGCAGAAGCCGGGGCACTACAAGACGTTCTAAAAGCTTTCCTAACGATGGTAACAATGTGATTGGTCGGTAGGATTTAGGATCATCCGGTGGCTTGTCGCCACTTTTTGGTATTATACGAATATTACCGCACCGCCATATACGAGGAAATATTCCTTCAGCAATGCAACGTTTAAAGACAGTGAAAATCGTGTCACCCGAAAGTTTACAAGCTTCTTTGATCATTTTGTTAGATATTTTATCATCGCCCGAAGCCTTGTTTAGTGGCAAGGATCTAATGATACCGAGAAATTCGTCTGAAGATGGTAAATCAGACATTGGAGACAGTGGTGGTTCGATGGCCCACTGCCTGATCTGTCGGTGATGATCAGTGTCGTTTTCCGGCCGATCGTCAGGTACGAGTGATTCTAAAAGATATTCTGCTGTTTCTTCTACTCCTGTGGTATATCTGTTATTAATTTTGATGTTCTGTATGTATGCAAGGTCGATTGATCTATTTGCCTTAAATTCGTGATACAAAGGTGACCACGGGCCCTCTCTATCGAGTCTATCGACAAGTTTCTGAATTAAGTTTCCCTTCGATTTTTCCACTGCAGCTCTGTAGTGGGACCTGGCAACTCTAAGAGCAATGAGAGCATTATTGTACAAATCTCCTGTTACGTTGTGTTTTTTAAAATTGTTTAATTTTCTACGAGCTTTCCGGTAGCTTCTACGTAGTTCGACTAATCTATCATTCCACCAATCACATCTACGAGTGTTAGTGATAGATCCGCGACCAATAGATACATCAGCGCAGTATGTGAAAGTTTCTGATAGTATTTCTGCGCTTTCCTCAGCTGATAAACTACTGCGACTGAAGTCTTTGGTATGAGTTGCAAATAGTGAACCAAACAAAGCCCAGTTCGCACCTTTAGTTTTATATCTAAAATTAAAAGGAGCCCTTTGTGGATCCCGTGCAACCCTTGGTATGAATTCGTACACGATCAAGCGGTGATCACTACAGGATGCGTCCGGGAGGACACGCCATCCGGATATCGAGACGTCGCCGCGCGTAAGCGTCACGTCAATAGAAGACTCACCCATTGGGTTGCAAAAAGTTGGTGGTGCATCGGGGGTATTGTGAATAGTAAGATTCATTTCCGCAATGAAATCTTCAACCGCACAACGTCGAACCGTGTCGGTTGAACGCAACTTGCCATACCATAATGAAGATGACGCATTGACATCAGCGCCAATGATAATTTTATGTCCCACGAGGCACTGCAAGACGTAACGTAAGTGATGTAAGTGAGGATCAATAGGATGTGAATATTGAAAATAGCAGCTCACTACGTAAACCTTACAGGTAGAGGATGAGATCTCAGCAACGGCGCAGTGTGACGTCATAAGATTACGCAAAGATGTTACCGTAAAATTAGAACTTGCAACATATATCCCAGCCTGCGAACGGCAGTCAAGCTGTACTACATTACGACGCAAGCGAGCGCTCTGATATTGTTCTTGTATAAGGACAATGTCTAACTTTTGTTCTAAAACTAAACGGTCTAATTCTGATGTAGCTATTTTATCGTTATGAAGATTTAACTGGCCTATCGAAATATTATCCATTACTTAGTAAGTTACTCTATAAACTTTTCTTTTTTTTTTTTTTTTTTTTTTAAGCTGAACTATTCAGTAATTGGTATTTAATATTAGCTGCTCCAGTTTTAATTTGTATGTGGCACAGTCGTGTGAGCCGCATCGATGGTCAGATGGTTTTTTGAACCGCTTGCACTGTGCACACGTGGGCTTAAAATTTGGTGTGTCTTTATCTGGACAAGCTCGCGTTTCGTGTGCGGCGGCGCAATTAGCACAAGTAGGGGTTTTAATGGTGCAAAACTTTTGTACATGACCGAATTGCTGACAATTTAAGCAACGAACTACTTCTATATCGTCTATGAATCGACAAGTGGCCCAGTCTATATAAAGTTTATCTTTTGTGTTGGCTAGATGTTTCCGAACTGCTGCCTCCAATTCTAAGCCTATCCATTGACGCCCATTTTCTAGTTTACGATGCCTAACAATTTTGGTTGACTTAATAAAATCGTTCTCACTTAATTTTAATTCGTCCTTGATATTCTGACGGTATAAAGCTGTTAGGAAGGCACGATCTTCCATAGAACCGGGTACGTCTTTTACAATTATACGGGGCTTTCGGCCTTTCGGTTTTTCTAATCGTAAACCTGCTGATTTAATGGCGTCTACAGATTCCAGTTTCTTAAGCTGCCGTTCGTTAGCTACACGTAACACGACGCCTGCCTTAGAGGTTTTTTTAACGCCTACAATTTGGAAACCCTCATCGCTCGGTTTAATAGCCTTCATAAGAGCTTGTTTCGTTGCTGACGAGGTCGCATAGTCCGCTAAGCGTTCCGTAGTGGGATAGGCAATAACACAAGGCCTAGGAACGCGCGCTTCAGTAGGTACCGGGCACGGGGCAGATTTAGGTGGTAAGCGAAGCTTAAGTTTGTCCGCCTACGTTAAACTCGTTTGTTGAGTTGCGATACCCTCCATTTGTCGCTCAAAATTCGCTAACTTCGCTTCGTTGCTAAAGGATTTTATTGCTAACATTGATACGATACCGGTAATTCGTTGAGTAATATCCATAATCGCCGTTTTATTCCCTACATTCATCCTAGATCCCTGATCATTAACTAATTCATTAATTTTTGATAAGTAATCGGTGGCCTGTGACACTAAGTCACAGTAATTGTACTCCCCACAGTTATCACGACCGGTAGGAGACGAAACATTTCCACTTAAGTCCGAATTAATAATGCGTCTACGGCTTCCGTCTTTCGGCGTGAAATCCGCAGGTGACACTTCGCCAAATGTCCTTTTCCCGGTTGGTGTTAGAAATTCACTTGTACCGCCGGGATCCGGCAACTCGCTAACGACCGACATAGCCAAACAAAGACACACCAATCAACAATTTAAAAAAGAAAAAAAAAAAACAAGCTCAAAAATAAACAATACGCAGAGAAAAATCAATTTAAACAAAGGATACCGCCTACCCACTTTTAGTAAGATAATAAATTTACTCACCAATAGTCGTAATAAAAGAATTCGGCACTATATTTATGTTTAGAAAACAATAAAACTTACTGAAATTCTTTAGAAACACTATACACAACCTTTAGCCGCCCGCAAACCGGAAACTAGTCACATAAAAGCACAGAAAACAATATTAAAATTGTTAGCATACGAAGTCACACGTTAGTCGCACGGTGCCGCGAAGGGAAGTGAGGGGGTCTGTATGGCCATCGGTGAACTCACTCATTCGGTGCTAAGCTACGAAATATTTTTTTAAGAACGGTGTTCTGTGAGACCGTGGTATTACCCCGGTCGAGTCGACCCATGTGTGCGCAAGCATGTTTCTCCCAGGGTTAAAAATGTAACACGGGGGGGGGGGGGGTCGTCTACTCGTCTGTAGATGACCCGAGGTATGTCGGGGCACCAGGGACTTCCTTTCTAGGGTATACCTGGTTCCCCGGCTATTAGTACCCGAGACGGCGTGCGGTTTTAGTCGGTTGGAGTCCGACATGCCACCGACAGGTGGTATCCGAGGGGATTTCCGCACGGAAAAAAAAGGGTTAAAAATGTACCTTTTTTAATTCTTTTTCAAGTGTTTAAATTTTTGTATCATCTTCGGAACAATGTTTCAAACCGATATGAACCGATCAACCCGCTGCTGAGGTTTTAAGGGACAGAATACACTGACAAAGTTACTATAATTTCGATGGCTCACTCCAGTAATATCTGAGGTAGGAATTGGGTGATTATAAGGAACTTTTTTGTTTTTGTTTTGTTGCGACTGACCAATCCGCCCGATTGTGCGCGGGTTCCTAGGGAAAAAACAAAATACTCATTTGTGACGAAACACTGTGTGTTTTGGTTGGTCTAAATACTTCAAACATTAGCCCTGATGAGGTGATGTGACCCGAGAGGGGATTCCACACGATAGCAAAAGTCAATCTTGCATAGAGGCGATGCAAAGAGAAAGAAGCAAAAAGCCAAAAAGCAAAAAGAAGAAGGTGCAATAAACATGCAAACTAAATACCAAGCAAAAATATTGATAGTAATCTCGGTGGCTAACTTTAGTATTCTAGTTTACTGCCCAGCTTATTACGTACAAGTTTAATTTACTTACAGAGTTACTAAGACCCTTACTGTCCGATGCCTGCAGTACGGTCCGACAATGTGCAGTGGTAGCGGCAGCACGATTAGCTGAGCACGAGGAAGGAGTTGCTAGGCAATTACTAAACGGCGGCATGTTGACTATCACACTAGAGAATTTGAATAAATATAATGTGGGTATAGCTCATAGCTTTTAAATTATTTAAAATATTTATTTAATTAATAAATTAATTAGAAAATTAATAAATTAGACAATTTGTATTTTTGTATTCGAGAAATTAGCGTGTTGCTCTTTTTCTTACTAAGTCGATTTTTTTTTCCACAAGTACGAGTTCGTATTAGCCATTGTGCGGGACTTTTTTTCCGATAAGTAGGTTTTAGATATTACTACACTCTGTAATCTCTATCGTTTGTATCATGGTGTGTGATCCGAGGAAAGCCGCAGCTTTCCGCCAACTTTCCAGGTGGTAGAATATCCATCCCCATCACTTGGATAATTGGCACTAGATCTACTGGCGCTATTCAAGAAACTTTTTGCCTCGCACAACCAATCTGTAGCGCAGATGTCATACTACCTTCAAGCCTTCAAGAAAAGAGCGTACTCCTCAATTGCTGGCAACGCGCTTTTTACTCCTGAGTTGCTTACGTCTATGAGCCGTCGTCAGTAGTCACTATCATCAGGTGACCCGCTGGTTTGCCCCTCATAATATATTAACCGATGTTTTAAAGAATTGGTAATTTGGATCGACTGGCTTTAGAACTTTCGCGTTATGAATGGAGGCGATCAAAACTATGTAAGACCTACTAATTAATATACCTTTTTAACAGTAGGACTTTTCAAGTAGGACGCTCTGGTCGTGATCATAGGCGGACTGGCTCAAGTGTGTTCACCCTCCATCGTTGAGCAGGGCATCGTTGAGCAGCATCTTAGCCACATTTAAAATCACATTTCGACGGCGAAACCAAAATTAAAAAATACTGAGTGTCCCTATTCTGTAAACAACCTGATGTGTGTTTAACGATTCTGGTGGATATTCATCCAACCGCGTATAGCGAGAGCGAGGGGATATGTTTTTATCACTGAATTTCATTTTGTAGATAATTTTAAACAATCAACCAAAATATAATCCGAAATCGGTATATACTGGAATTGTCTATTGTCTACTTTACACATAAGGTCATGCTAACTTAGGGCAATATTGTTGACAGGTGTATTATAAAAGGTCTGCTCTGTATCTCTTGAGAGCTGTTGCGAAGTAAGTGAATAAGGACAACATCTGTTATATCTGAATACTAAAATGTATGTCACACTGATTTACTCTTATTTTCATTTTAGGCATAATGAAGAATTAGCTAACGCGATCGTTCGATTAGGAGCATTAGAGCACATAGTCACATGTTTAGAAGATTTCGATACGCAAGTAACTATTATAATTTCAGCTAAAATTTGGTTCTAAGCACTTTCTGTGTTTTTCTTTTACTTTATTGTACTTTTTATTAATAAATTTTAGGTGGCTCCTACTACTTCCCCATTACTTAAATATGTTACATAATATTTTTAGGTGAAAGAAAACGCTGCCTGGGCTTTAGGATACATAGGTAAACACAGTGAGCAGCTAGCAGGATTGGTGGTGGATGCTGGCACATTACCCCTGTTAGTGTTGGCATTCCAAGAACCCGAAATGAGTCTGAAACAAGTTAGTATTATTGTTTAGTCCTCAAAACAACCTTAAGCTTACTCAAGTAACTTGAAGGCGAACAAGTGTTTATTGATACAGTGAGTGAGATAACCTAACCTAACTACTAAAATTTATCTCATTAATACAATTCATTCACGGTAACTTTCCTAAGAAAAAGAGGGCATTAAACAGTTGTTATGCATTAAAATAGTGATGTGATGAAATGATGATGAGGACTCTCGTCGTTTTGCGGCCTCGACGGAAGAAACGACTTCAATGATTTCTATAAAAATATACTTTTTATAGGTTTTAATTTTGGTGCAAAATCCCGATTATGCAAAAATAATAATTGCAGAGCACAACTTAGTTGCTTTGGTATTTTATTAAACTTTAAACGAGAAAATCTTTTTTAAATGTACGTGTATCTTAAAAATGCAGAACATCACTGCATTTTTTTCATAGTCTTAAGTTATTTGGGCTTTCTTATGTTACTTTGACAAAATACTTTTTACTTTTCCAGATTTCAGCTGGGGCTTTAGTGGACCTAGCCCAACATAAGCCAGAAGCGGTAGTGGACGCTGGAGCAATATGTCATTTAGTACATGGATTGGAAAACCAAGACCCTAAACTGAAGGTTAATTGAGTAATACAAATAGAAGTTTCGCGACCACTTAAGGTGTTCTTGAGAGTAGATAGTACTATCAAGTATTTTTTTTGGTAAAACGAATGAATGAATTCTTGTTTAACGAAATGTGGATGAGGATTTAATTCCCTGACTTCATTAATTTCAACCACTGTTATCGTTCAGCGGAGCACACTGTGTGCGCTTGGTGCCGTGGCAAGTTCACGCACCGACCTAGCCGAGGCTGTTGTAGCTGGTGGGGCCTTACCCACAGCACTGTTACATGCTGGCCACGACGCCGCGCCAGTGCGACGCGCCGCTGCTTGTTTACTACGCGATATCGTTAAACACTCAGTTGATGTAAGATTTTTTAAATAGAAAATATTTTGCAAAACATTTTGAAACACTCGATAATACGTAATGGCCCTATTAGTCTAGTGATTAGTGACCTTGACTGCTGTGCCGTGCCGCGGCGTGGGCATGAGTCGTGGGATCGATTCCCATCCAGGAGAAATTATTGTGTGACGAACACTATCATTTCTTCTCTCTGGATGTTATTCTTTTTTAGTATTTATATATTAAGTTGGTAATGTTTGTAAAGTTCCCCGCGACACAAGAATATAGTCCTAATGCGGGAGTTATCTTTTACAAAAACAAGAAAACATGTTATTTATAAGCATCCTTACTTATTTAGCAGTCTGATTACCATAGTACAAGCCAAGCTAGCTTTTTACGGATTAAAAAAATGAAAAGAATAAGCAACTTGACTTCCCTGGAAATTCTAACCTAGGTATGAATATGAACTAAGTAGTATAATGTTATTTATTTATTATTTTATGCGGAATGCTAAGATTTGAAAAAAAAAAACACTTGAAACTAAGACAATGTTAGACACACTGTGAAACGAGATCTGTAATGACGAAAATACTTATCCACATCACTGTCATGTTTACAACTGGAAACATTGCACCAACATATAATAGAAACTTCTGATAATATGTATGTGTTTATAGTTGGCGCAACTAGTAGTTAATACCGGTGGATGTGGTCCTTTAGTGGAGCTCTTAGCGGAATCAGTTGGCGGTACTCGAGTACCCGCTTGTATGGCACTTGGCTTCATAGCTGGACAATCTGATCAATTAGCTATGGCGGTAATTGAAGCGAAGGTACCGGTTATGTGTACATTTATTGTAGAACTTGTTGCATTGGAGCGTTCTCGGGATATTGTTCTAACAAGGGGATTGATCTTGTAGCTCCTAATCCTAAAAATATTCGTAGAGTATTCTATTCGTAGAGTGACTATTCGGGAGAACTGTGTGTGAGAGTTTTGAGATAGATTGTCTTATTAAAAAATCTAAACATTTGTTGCAAAAAAAATCAACCCATTTTACTTTCATATATAATTTTGTATGTTTTTGAAGCCCTTCTTATTGAACACTGCTTTTTAAGTAGACAACCGTTGTTTTAAGGCTATTCCGGCTCTAGTTAATATACTACAAAACACGGAAGCTGAAGATGCAGATCTCTGCGCAGCTGCGTGGACCTTGGGTCATATCGCTAAGCACTCTCCTCAGCACAGCTTAGCTGTAGCTGTTGCCAACGCTTTACCAAGAATGTTGCAGGTGAGATAAAACAATATGTTGAACCGACAAATTTTATACTTACCGAGAGAATAGTGAGCATTTAGGTAAGTAAATAGTTTAGGGTTCTGTGTCTCACGTCAGAAAACGACAGGTACCCCTTGTGTTTGCGTAGTATATAGAATTCCTTCTTTGGGCATCGTGAGTATCTGCCAAGAACAGGTTTATCTATATGAAAAAAATACCAAGTAAGAGGAACCTATTTAGTTCTAGTTCTATTTAGTCAAAAAAAGTTAACACCTTGTTTTGGCAAAGTTATGATTTCGACACTACGTTTTACAACGCTTTAAAATGAATCTACATGAGCACTTTAATGTCAGCATTAAACAAGGGTAGCTAGATAAGTAATAAATGAGTGGGGATCGAAGCCACAACACTCAGCGCAGTAGGAAGCAGCGCGTCGATCGCTTAAACTACTACGCCATCCGTGCAGTAAATATATATTTATACAGCCTTGGCCAAAAGTATTAGGCACCCCAGAAAAATGCACAATTCATGTTTACTAATTGAACAATGAATAAATGTTTATCTTAGATCGCATGCCGGGGTCACAAATAACTTCCTGGAAAAGCAAGCAGCTATCTGTTATGGTCATAAAACACCTGGTGACTGAAAACAAAGGATTTGTTTTTATGCGTTCTTATCAGTCAATGTTTGGTCACATGTGTTCAGGACTCTAACCAGTAAACAAGCTTTTATTTCTAACATAGTGATTAAATTGACGCGTAATTTATTTAAAAATGCCGAAAAGAAGTGAAATTAGTTTGGAAAACCGAGTAAAAATACAGCTTTTCCATGAACAAGGGAAGTCGCAAAAAGAAATTGCTAAGTTAGTGAAATGTTCGCGTTGCGCTGTGCAATCTGCTATCAAACGGTTTGCTGAGACTGACAGTCACGCTAATAAACCAAGAACAGGCAGAAAACGTGTGACTTCGAAGCGCGAGGATAGAAAATTAATACGCGAATCCATGAAAGACGGGAAGAAAACATCATCAGAACTTGCTGCTACTTTGTCCGAAGTGGCTGGAAAGCCAATAAGTGCTCGGACCACCAGAAGAAGACTTGGAGAAGCAGGCTTAAAAAGATGCAAAGCCAGGAGGAAGCCCTGGCTTTCAGAAGCTAACAAAAGAAAACGACTTGAATGGGCTCTACGGCATCAACATTTTACTGAGGAAGATTGCGCCAATATGGTATGGTCTGACGAATCTAACTTTGAGGTAAATAAATTTTACTTTATTTTACTGCTTTTGTTATTAATAATCATGGCCAGTTATTTATTTAACTAAAATAATAAAAGTTAAGGCAGTTTACCGACAGTAAAGCATGGAGGAGGCAGCATAATGATCTGGGGCTGCATGGCTACTGATGGGGTTGGCGAATCGTTTGTTTGCGACGGTCGTATGAACAGCGAAAAGTACATAAAAGTGCTTAAAACTGCGCTTATGCCTTCGCTAACGAGTATTTTCGGCGATACCAACTTAGAGGGAGTTATATTCAAGACAATGCACCTTGTCATAAGTCAGTGACTACGATGAGTTGGTTTACTGAAAACAACATTGACTTATTTGATTGGCCAGCGCAGTCACCAGATTTGAACCCAATTGAACATCTTTGGAGCATGTTGAAGCGCAAGATTAAAGAGCATAGTATCACATTATTTCATTATTTTATTATCGGCATTAAAAAATGCGTTAGTACAAGAATGGCATGCCATTACAAGGGAGGATTGTTCTAAGCTTGTACGCAGCATGCCAGCTAGAATTAGTGCAGTAATTAAATCCAAAGGTGGACCGACTATAGTTAAACCGCCGTAAGCTTGGCCCTCCTGATGGTTTGGGGGACGCGGGGCGGGGGTGCATTTAAGCGACAGGCGATTTGACAGCGACGTACTAGCTAATTGGTTAAATGCCGCATTTAACCAATTAGCTAGTGCGTCGCTGTCCGCCGGCAGTGACTGACGTGAAAGCATGGCTGTACGTGTTATTTTTCTTAAGACTGCTACACACGGTATTATTTTGCAACATGGATAATTTGCCGACTCTGCGTCACAAAAAGATTAAAAAATTTGAAGTTCGGCTTACAGAGGTTCTACTGTTAAAGTTCTAATAAAGAATATTTATTATTTTTACTAAATTTTTAAATTGTATCTGAATATAATTTACATGATGAAGATAAGGTGATTTTATTAAAATTATTTTACAGTATTAAATTTTACAATTAATCATAAAAACTTACAATACACTGACATTATAATATATGGAAATAAATTCGATTTTTATTACATCGTGTGTAGATTAAATCTCAAACAAATAACTCTGAAGATATCGAGTGAGTACATCGTGTCATGTATAGCCGAGCGCATCACCCGCCAATCAGGAGGGCCAAGCTTACGGCGGTTTAACTATAGATATTAAGTTTTTTTCATTCTTTTTTGTGTAATTTAATGGTAATAAATCAATTCAAAAAGTTGTTTTTTTCCCTTATTTTAAGTAAAATGTAGGGTGCCTAATAATAAGGGTTGGCCAAGGCTGTATATACGAGGTGTGTTCAAAAAGTAACGAGAATTTTTAAATTTCGCGGGTTTGGAGAGTCCGCCTGTATAATTTTTTTATTATTATGTTTGAAGTACGATAAAATTTTCAGCAATATTCATTGCTTACTTTTTGAGTGGCAGCCGCTAACGTTAGACGTGTTTTTCGAGCTCGGCGATTTCCGTTTGTGAAAAAAAATGGATCAAAGAATTTGTATTCAATTTTGCGTAAAAAATGAAATAAAGTGTAGTGAAGTTTGTAAAATGTTAACAAAGGCATATGGTGAGTCTGCTATGAGTAAAGCAAGGATTGAGCTATGAGTAAATAAAGGACGAGTGGTATAAGCGTTTCCAAGATGGCCGCGAAAACGTTGAAGATGACGAACGACCCGGACGCCCAAGCACATCAACAACCGATGAAAACGTGAAAAAAGTGAAAGAAATGGTTATGAACGATCGCCGAATCACAATCAGAAAAGTCGCTGATGATGGTGGCATATCAGTTGGCTCATGCCATAAATTTTTTTCGGACGTTTTGGGTATGAAACGTCTAGCATCAAAATTCGTTCTAAAATTGTTAAATTTCGAACAAAAACAGCTTCGAATGGAAGTTGCTCAGGAGTCGCTAAATGAAGTTAATAACGATGCAGAACTACTAAAACGTGTTATAACAGGTGACGAAACATGGGTTTACGGATATGATGTCGAAACTAAGGCTCAATCGTCCCAGTGGAGGCATTCTGGATCGCCAAGACCGAAAAAGACTCGACAAGTGCGGTCGAATTCGAAGGTTAAGCTCACTGTGTTCTTCGATTTTAATGGCATAGTGCATCATGAGTTTTTGCCACAAGGTCAAACAATGAATAAGGAGTACTGACTACAAGTTCAACGCCGTTTGCGTTAAGCAATCCGAAAAAAAACGCCCGGATTTGTTGCAAAACAATTCATGGCTTTTGCACCACGATAATGCACCTGCTCTCACTTCATTGCTTGTTCGTGAATTTTTGGCCAAAACGACTGTAACGATGCCTCAGCCTCCATATTCGCCAGATATGGCTCCATGTGACTTTTTTCTATTTCCAAAAATAAAGAGAACATTAAAAGGCAGTCGTTTTACAAGCATAGGTGACATTAAAAGCGAATCGCTGAAAGAGCTAAAAGCTATTACAGAGATCGAGTTTCAAAAGTGTTTCGATTATTGTAAAAAGCGTTGGCACAAGTGTATTATATTCGAGGGAGATTACTTTGAAGGGGACAAAATAGATATTGATAAATAAATAAATATTTTTTTCATAAAACGAAAGTTCTCGTTATTGTTTTAACACACTGGTATATATATATTGTGAAATGTATTGCAGTTATACACAAACCCCAAGTCATCAGGGGAAGTACGAGCTAGAACATCATGTGCACTGAAGCAATCACTTCAATGCTGTCTGCATCGTCCTGCGTTAGAACCTCTTTTGCATTCCGCACCAGCTGGCATTCTCAAATATGTTTTAGCACAATATGCTAAGGTGAGTTGACTTGTTAGTTTGAATGTTTATAAAAATACTGTATAAGACCGATCGTAACGCCGAACGTCGAGAGCGTGTTGTGGTGAAATAAACTTACACCAGGCCCTTTTTTTTTTTTTTAGAAAAAAACACAGAAACAAAAAGCACAGAAATGCGGAAATCCCCTCGGATACCACTTACCAGTGGCAATGTCGGACTTGAACCGACTAAAACCAAAATCTCTGGTGCCCTGACGTACCTCGGGCCATCTACGGCGGGTAAACGACCCCCCTGTGTGGGAACCCCCATGCTCCCTTTGTGCTCCCGGAAGCCGCCGCCGCCACCCCGGCCTGCTTCTGCTTCTGATGCTCTCGCCTGTTAACCCCAGGCCTGCTTATGGAGGACGGAGGTCGTTCTGCGACCTCCGGCGCCTGAGTCGTCTGCGATAAATGGCCCGTTCCCGAGCCTGGCGGGCCGGGAAAGTTCTAAACTTCTCCCGGTCCCGCTCCGCCATCTCCTTCGCAAGCATAACTTGCTCGAAAAGTTCCACCCACTCTCGATCCGGTTATCGAGCGATGGCCCATTCCGATGGCCGCCACGAGGTCTCGCCTCTGCTGCACCCACGCCGGGAATTCTGCCAGCGTGTGGAACGCCGTGTCCACGGTCCGACCATCGCAGTGGTGGCACTAAGGCGTTGGCTCCTTGCGGATCAGACAGGTGATCCCCGAAACATCCTTTCCCAGTGATCATCCGCGTCAGTCAGTATGAGAGGGTCCGTGATGCCTCTCGAGTCAATCCTCCATAACGGGTCTTATCGCCGCAATGACGGCGTGCCCGACACTAGGCCCCCTGAATTATTCATCAATTGCAACGCCGAACGCGGTCACTGTCGAGAACGAGTTGCTATGAAATAAACTCACACTAGGTCCACAGATGAGTTTTCATAGCTAATCAGGTAGGCAAGGCAGTTAAAACTTAGAACATATACTTTTAGCACTGACGCTTACTGGATACCCTTTAGTCACATAAAATACGCTGAATCAAAATGTCCACTGTATCAAAATGTCCTCAGTATCATAATGTCCACATATCATAAAGTCCTCAGTTTCATAATGTCCACATCACAAAGTTCACAATATCATGATGTCCATAGTCCACACTATCACAAGGTTCACATTCCTTTTATGTCCACCTTAAAGAATGTGGTAATACATACTGGCTACTTAAAGCGATAGTACCTGGATGACCGACCTTTGCTCGTTATTTTTTTGGTAAATTTTCAAAAAGTTATTTCTTAAAATTATATAGAAGAAGGCTGGTCATCAATCGTGCGACTTTCGCCAGATTTAGTAGAACATTTTCAAACATATTGCAATCGACAATGGCAATCCTTTAAACAGTATCTTCTGCATTTGATTAACACCGCACGTCCAACTCTTGAGGGTTGGCACAGAAGATTAAACTCAAGGGTATCGATGTCACCAAATTTAATTTATTTTATCAAATGCTTACTGAAGGTATCGATACACTATGACTATAAATTAAACTACCCTATGACTATAAATTAAACTACCCTATCTTAGACCCGCTGAAAAAGAATATGAGAAATCGAGATATTTACTTAGATAAAAAATATAAGAATTATTGACACAAGCTTCAAACAGAAATACTCTCACCTTACAATTCGTAAGAAAAATCGTGTATTTAAGGCTTAAATGTTAATAAAGATTTTTATTATTTGGTTATCTTATATCCTAAGTTTATATTATCTATATCATGAGTAACAATAATTTTGTTATAACAAACGTTTTTTTTATTTCAAGTTTTGATATTATTTTATTGTAAACATTGTTACAAAGTTGACTATTTGGTAAGTGGACATTTTGATAAATGGACCATTTAGTAAATGGACATTTTGATTCCTTGGACTTTGTGACTAAAGTATTTGTTTGCCTTACTTTTTGGTTGTTGCAAGGTATGTATAAAAGGAAATGTTTATAAGTTGCACGGAAAACCGTTTTTGTTAATAAATATATGAAAAAAGTTAATGAGATATAAGACAGTAGGGAGATCTTCAAAAGTATGGTAAGAATTAGCAGATTGACATTATGTTTATGAGTTTAAGCTGAATTTTTAAGAAGATTAGGTTTCATTTTCTTAATAAGAGTATATCCATGAAACACCCGGTTGGGTAGTTAATGCGAAAAAATATCAATTGTTTTGGTAAAATTAAATAATAAATTATGAGCTACTGCACAAAGATGAATAAGAATAATATAGAAGAGAACATATGCCTAATTATGCTTGTTTGAGTGTCTTATTCTAAATTTAGTTACTTCAAGTTAAAAAAAAAGGTCAGGTACGAGTCGAACTCGTGCGCCGAGGGTTCCGTACCTACCCAGATTTTACGTAGATTTTCGCGAAAATTTGTAAGTACCAAAATTTATCTTAATTTTCAACTTTTTTTATTTTTTGGAATTATTTCCTTATTTTTGCTGTAAGACGTTGCTTTTTGCCAAATTTCGTGATTCTAGGTCAACGGGAGCTACCATATAGGTTTTCGACCCAAGAACTATAGGGTACTTCCGGTTGACCTAGAATTGTCAATTTTGGTTAAAAGCAAGGTCATACAACACAAGTAGCGAAAATACTGAAAAATAAATAAAGTTGAAAATTAAGGTAAATTTTGGTACTTACAAATTTTCGCGAAAATCGAAATTTGCCCCTATCTTTTTATCGTGTTGACTCAAGACCTTGATATATTGTTACCTTTTGAGGTACGGAAGCCTAAAAATGAGACAGCCAGACCTACATGTACCTATTCCATGTATTTTTTAATATAAAATATCTATAAATTATACAATTTGAAACTCATTGCAGATTTTGATTCCCTTGATGTTCAATTTTTAATTTCCATGAGACCAGCCTGACTACTTACAAAATAAAGAAAAAGAAACAGTCTTGACAAGAATTTTAGATTTGAAGTCAGATTAACATCTGAAATCTATTGAAAATAGAAAAAATTGTGGGAAATAAGTTTCTTAGACATGAGCAGAGAACAGGTTGTGTTGTTATGTGTGGGTTTAAGAACGCCAGATTATGTTATTAATTGTGATCCACATATGAAATTTTAATTATTAATGTTTAAAGCTACAACTTCCAAACTGTTTATAATCTTGGTTCAAATCCATTCTTACCTCTTCCTCAGAAATGAAAGTGTGTGTTTATAACACTACAGCCTCAATGAAGTGAATTAAACCATACAAAAATACTTGATTTTATACTTTTCACATTGACAATTTCATTCTGCATTTTTGAACTCAAGAAACAAACTTAATTGCTGCTGAATATTGTATTTTACTTTAAAGTATATTTATGCTGTCTTTTTTTTTTAAAGAGAAGAAACGTTGGCAGTCCTCATAAGAGCAGTTTATGAAAGATGAAAATCTTAATAACTTATATAATACATATATTTTGTAGTCCTCTGATAAAATAATTTCTTACTATTAATGTAAAGTTTAGTAAACAGGTCCATCATCAAGATTGTCATCTTCTTCATCGTAGTCTTCACCATTGTCAAAATAGTTATTGGCGTAGTCTGTACCATCATCCATTTCAAACTCTTCCTCCTGTTCATCCTCAATGTCTTCATCATCATTAGCTTCTTGCTTTTTGACAGTCTCTGCATTATCATTTGTTTCAATAGTTTCACCATTCTCTTGAATTTCTTTCTTTTCTAAAGTTTGTAACCTCTTAGCGATTTCTGAAGGATCCTCTAGTTTTCTTTTTCGGGATGTAACACGAGTCCTATTCGCTTGGGGTCTCAGCTCTACGGGCATATTAGTCCAAACACAGTCAAGTACTTTACCTTGTTTAGCGTCTAGCGCTAACATTTTGTATTTATCAGAATATCGCTCTACACCGTCACTTTGAGATTTTAGTTTTACAAAAGCAGGCGATTCGTGTAAGAATTCTATAAATTGATCCTTAACTATCAACGTGTAGTCTGTGGCAGCATCACAAGCTAGTGGAAGTGGCTTTGCTTCGAGTTTAGGGAAAAGAGGAGGGGGTGCCACAATTTGTGTTGTGTTTTCTCCTCTTCCAATGCCTAATGACTGCAGTTGTTCATGAGTTAATGACAGGGTGCTGCCACGGCCTCGGCCTCTACCAGCCATTATAAACAATTAATTTCTATAATTATACTGAAAACAAACTAGTTATTTTTTATTATTGTCGTAAATGGACTATTAAAACGAAATAAAAGAACCTATATGCCATTTTAACTACAAACTCATCACGTGTTTTTGACATTTGTTTATTATGACGTTTGTAGAGATGGAGGTTGCTTCAAATATAATAAAGATGACCACGTTGATACCATACTACTAATATTTTTCAACAGATATTACCAAACGATGCCAGAGCTCGAAGATTATTTGTCACAACAGGTGCTTTAAAAAGAGTGCAGGAAATTGATTCAGTACCGGGATCATCATTAAAAGAGTACATAAACATTATAAACAGTTGCTTCCCGGAGGAAATCGTTAGGTAAGTGTAAATCTTTTGATCTTCATTTTCGGATTAGCATCTACGACTTATTGGGTCTTAAAACATTATGTGAAATCAAATTTTAAAAGAAATATTTTTTTTTCTAGGTACTACACCCCGGGCTACTCAGACTCATTGCTAGACAGAGTGGAAGCATATACACCCCAGGTAACTACAGACATTAACAACTTAAATAAATTAATAGTATTTTAACACTGCTCAATACATTTTATCTGAGATCGCTCTATGTAAATAAAATATCTCATACTAAACGCACTTACATTTTTGTGTGACTGATCTTTTCCTTGTAATTCAGGGTCAATTCTCACTAGTAAATATAGTAATCTGTGTAGCACACTACCAAAAACTTTGATTTTGACTCATAGTAAGTATAAAATGCGATCTAAGATCGCATTTTATACACTATGTCTGTGTGAAACCATTTTAATAATAGTAGTTTGTTTGCTTGCTAGTCATCCAAATTAGAAAGGTTAATTTAACAATCGTGGGAAAATCATGATAGGTCATTATGTGCATAGACATTGAAATTATGGCTACTTTTAAATCATATTCATTTGATGAAATGATTGGGTTTAGTCGCAGCTATTACACATGTGATTGTGATTACGATTTCGATATGACAAAGATGACGATCCTTTTTTTAGATTTAGATCTTACGCGGATCTTGCCCTAGCGTATTACACATGACCCATCGATTTATCGTTCCACTTAATACTCTTTTTTTATGAAAATGTTAATTTTCTTGTGCACATAAAACTACGATATATTAAAAAGTATAAACAGGTGGAATTGATAATTATTGTTAAAATTTAAGATTTCTTTGTAAATATATTACCATCTTTCAGGTGCCAGAACTCTTTACAGACAGAGTACCTAGTGATTGCCAAAGTGAACTTACTATAGAAAATACAAATTAAAATGTTTTTGATATTTTATTTAATAAATGATTTTATTAAATTTTGTGTTTCATATTTTACCTAATGTCCAGACCAACTTTTGCACTTGAAGAGTTCTACCACCAATTACTGTTTTCTCTATTGCCATTGACTGACTTACAATCTTGTAACTGTAAAATATAAAAGTCTTTTAGTTTTGAATTTAGTAAAAACAAATATTGTAGACACTAATATAAAACTTACTTGTATCTGATTTGCGCTAGTATATTTAAAACCTGAATACCTGGGATGTCAACCTCATAGAAAGTTTCTTGTTTTATATATGTTAGGTTAAGGTTGGTAAATTCTGCCTCAAGAACTGTCCAGTCTTCCGCAGACAAGCCCTGGTAAACATAAAATATACTTATTTAGTCTTTGACCTGGATGGTATGTGCTCCTTGGGGGAGGCCTTTGTTCAGCAGTGGATGACAATAGACTGACGATGATTATGATGAATCCAAACGGTGGACGTTATTCGATGAAATTATGTCAAGCATAAAAAATGTAAACTTTGAATTGATATGATTCAACGAGTGCATACAAAATCGCAACTCAGTATAATATCCAGATGCAAGATGATGCAGATGATAATTGTGTTGGTCCAGTAGTTAGTGCCCCAGTACCGAATGCAACATTGACCTGCACCTGTATTAATATTAATGGTGCAAACAATATTCTTAATCAAAATGAAAAAAAAAAAACAAAATTTAATTTGTTCCTTTAAATTAAAAATTTAAAAAACGTTTTAGGGAAATGCCATTACGTTCGAATATTGCTTGCAACTGTTTTTTTTTTGTCGTTTTGACCACGATAAAAATAGGCGCAAGGTGATTCCGATCCGATTTTTACCCATCGCATACAAGTATCGAACAACCTATTAATATTAGTAATATCGATAACTGATTCAATGTCTACGGCTGGTGACACCAGTCCTCTCGTAAGAGAGTAGATATATTCTTTGCACCAGTCCAACTATTTTGAAAAATTGAAATAATATATATTAATAGGTAGTGCAAACGAAACTAACTTGTCTCCTCTGCACCATCGATGGTGCAGGTCAATGGTGGATTCGGTACGATTTCCTCTCAGGACAAATAATAAATTGTGTGAAGAGAACGGTCATATATTCCTTGTCTGGGTGTAATCCATTTGTAACATGTATGTATTTTGTAATAAATATATGTTTATCAGCAGTCTGGTTCCCATTTATTTTTTACCTGTGGAAACTCAGGCCGTCATCAAACCGGAGTTGGCACTGGGGCGGTGTGCCGGAATCGAACCGGCTAAAATCACACGGTGCGCCTGAAATAGGAGGGACCGGCGAACAGCTGTTATTAAGACATCCGGGCCGGAGCCGTCTGGTTACCATAGCATATTTTAGTTTGGGATCAGTCAGCCGTGTGGGAGAATTGTGTAATTATTATCATTTTTGACATATTTAAAAAAAAAACAAGGTGCCGATAATTATAATATCAATTATGTTGTCATACGTTAAGTCGTTATTTATATGTATCCGTCGATATAGACATCAATTACCAACGGCTTTATTTGGTTATATAAAGATAACACTGGGATGCTTTTCTATGACATTACAATAAATTAATAAAATATTGATTGGACAGAGATCCACTGCCTACTAAAGTTGATGATGATTTTAAATCGGTCGGTTCCTTGTGTATTTACTATTTAGAACTATTTAATTTAAATATAAATATATATTTCAAATTTTAATTCCATACGCATAGTAATAAATTATGATATAAATACCTGTATTTTACAAGACGTGAAACTAGTGTTCTCCAACTCTGTTACTAGTATGTAATGCATGTTTTATGTACAACAATGAATATGGAAGTGGTAGTCCTATGTATGACTTCCTGATTTATATATCTTTATATGCATATCTAGGTATAGGCACATATCTTTATCAACTTCCGCAGTAATGTGGTTAGAAATATAATAAATACATTTTAATTTATCAGGTCAAGATCGTGTCTGACAATGATAATAAACTTTACTTTGCCAGCTGAAATAAACCGGCCAAGTGTGGGACGGACGAGCCATTCGCGCGGTATAGGGTACCGTAATCGCTTGTTACAACTTGCGGACTTAGGGGCTTTATATTTTCACGATTACTGAACCGAAAAATAGTCTACACAACTCCTCAATATTTTTATAATAGAACTTCAATTGCTTTTTTTTATATTTCATACACTATTGAATAGCAGAGAAATAAAAAATAAAAAAATCTCTTTACGTGTGATAGGAAACTTTTTTATTTCCAGGTGTACTTAACTTCACCTAAAAATTATTTTAAATATTTTTCTTTTACCACTTTGTTGGCGTGTTTAACAGATTTATTCCACCATTCCACTTTGTAACTGCCTCCAACTGTTTCTTTCCAGAAAGATAGTGTGTGCTCTATTCGTAAAAATGGCCCTTTGGCCGTAGGAATCGATTTACGTGAAGAGTGCCTTTCACACGGTCAACTATATGTAGCGTTGTCAATATCGGGTTGCGGAGAAAATCAGTATGTTCTTCTGCCACAAGAAAATAAAACTAAAAATATCATTTACGCAGTACTTTAAAATATATTCTTTTAAAAACTTCTTAATCGCGATCATAATAACAGAAAAAGACGCGGGCAACAGCTAGTTTTATCATAAAACAACCGTTTTTACTAAAAATTCCAACAAAAACATTTTTGCGACTTTACCTTGCAACATCAATTTTATTATAAAATTTAATACATATGTATTAAATTTATGCAAGGGTAGGGTACTCTCCCCTACCTGGTTCCCCGGCTATTAATACCCGAGACGGCGTGCGGTTTTAGTCGGTTCGAATCCGACATGCCACCGACAGGTGGTATCCGAGGGGATTTCCGCACGGGGGAAAAAAAAAACAAAAAAGGGTACTCTCCCCTATTTTTCGAGCTAACTTGACCAGACTATTATACGTGGGGCACTCAGAAAGAATGGAGAAACTAAAAAAATAACTTATATGCATAAAGTATTTTTAGTAAATCTTCGTTTTTATGTTCGCGGAATGGGGGATAAGGGGTGGAAATAAAAAAACCAAATTATTTTTCCTTTTCAATATATTCACCTGCAAGACGGATACATTTTTCAGATCTTTCAATTAATTTGTTCTCATAAAAAAATGTTTTCTCTTTGTCTTGAAAATACGCCGAAACTGCCTCCTTGACTTCATCATCGTTGGTAAATTTTTTACCCCGCAGCTCTTTTTTCATTTTTGAAAACAGGTAATAATCGCTGGGGGCCAGGTCTGGGCTGTAGGGTGGGTGATTCAAAATATCGAAGCCCACCTTATGCAGGGCAGTCAACGCAACGCGGCTCTTGTGGACGGGCGCGTTGTCGTGCAAAAGCAACACACCTTTTGTCAATTTTCCCCGTCTTTTCTCTTTAATGGCTTCTTTGAGTCGCTCTAATATTGAAGCGTAGTATTCTCCGGTTCTAGAAACACCTTTATCTTTATCATTCCGCGAACTTAAAAACGCACCCTCGTATATACGGTTGACTTTTTATGTTTCAGTTGCCCCATCACAGCGCCCATCATGACCATGTAGTCTGTCATTCTGCATCCATCAACATTATGTTCCGTTATATATACAGGGTTACAAGAAAAGTCGTGCTAGATCCGTTAAGGGCGTGGAGTACCCATCATTTCTGACATATTTCACTATGAAACATCCTACCCTAAACTTAACCCTTTTCGAGATAATCGTCTTTTAATTTTTTTATTAAAATTTGCTGATTTTTAGGCTACTACATTTATTTTTGTTTATTTTGTGTATCTTATTATTATTATTTTTGCATTTTACATGTGTAATAAGATGCTTTAGGACGTCAGTCATTAAAATAGTTCATATGTTAATTGAATAGATCGTAGTAGACAAGTGAAAGTAAAGAAATGAAAAAAAATATTAGAAAATTATTTTTCTCTAACGGATATCTAAAAACAATATTATGGTAATTGTTCGGCAGATGTTTTTTAAAATATCTACGTTTCATCAGCTATCTAACGAGGTATAATAATCTAAGGTTTTATTCAAATGCATTGAAAAAACTTTAGTTTCATAGGCGACAGTGGAGAAGAAAATTTATACTTAGCCCAAAAAAGTAAAATAAAACAATAGTTAAGCATGAAATGTCATTTATTAAAGGTTTTCACACAACTTTTTCTTATTCTACAGTTCATGTTCAACATGGCCGCCTCTATTTCTGATGCATTGTCGCATCCTTCTACGGAGACCAGTCTTCACTACTCCAGTGGTCAACGTGGTCCTCATTTTATTTGCTGCATCCACAATCCTTTCTCGTAAGTCTTCCACAGACGAAACTGGATTCGGCTCGCTGTACACAAGACTTTTATGCACCCCCACACATGAAAATCCATGGGGGTTAGGTCCGGACTTCTTGCTGGCCATGGCAACGGCCCACCTCGTCCTATCCATTTGTTTGGATAATTTGTGTCCAGCCAGTCCCTGACACTTCTCCTAAGTACTGCTAAAGTTATCGAGTGAATTTTGTGTATGATGTGTTTTTGAAGTTGTAAACCCATTGCAAACATCTATTCTCTTCTCATCAGCAACTCTACCTGAAATTAAATAAAAAATCAACACCACATGATGGATACATGTACTTTTAATTAAAATTTCTTTAAATCAGGTAGTTTCTATCTTCAAAAATTAATCAAGATATATGCTTGTCTAATGTATTCATCATGAAACAAAAATTATTATTATGGTAAATGAAAGTTTTCTATACATTAAAAATCAAATTTATGAGTTACATTACATACCTAGTAATTTGATATTTTAATTTATTTGCAATGGCCCATTAGCATTCTGCAGTAATGTACTTGAGAAGTTGACACCTGTAAAAAAGTAATAGGATTACACACAATTAAAACATGACTAACCTATTTCATGTAATTGGAAGTGTTTTCAGTCGTTACCATACCGTATTTTCCCCACGATTTTGTGAGACAGGGATAACTAAGATATTCATCATTTAATAGTCTTGTTAGGTAGTATAAGCTTCAAAACAGTCATAGAAGCTCAATATTAATATATTGTTGAAGTGTATTTCTACAGGCAGACAGTCTAATTTATTAAATGAACTGCTGGTAAAGAAATATATGATCTCTGTATATTTACGACTACATAATGGCTCTTAATATTTAAAAAGCGACATATTTAACAAGTGTTAAGCATCAAGAGCTTCTGAAGACTGTTCAGAAAATTTGTTATGTATGAACAGCTCGTCTTTAATGTAAATTATTACCTTGTCCTTCTTGCTTTTTGTTAGGAAATTCAACTTGTGTGTATGTATATTCCTGAAAATAAATTTTGACAGATCTTAAATTGGCATTTAAATTTCATCATCATTAAAAATCACAGAATGTTTCAGTTGTTACCATACCATAATTCTCCCCACGATTACGTGAGACAGGGATAACTAAGATATTCATCATTAAAATTGCTAATACTCAGAATTTAAACAATGCTAATTTGACTTGACATTATGTGCTTGTTTGCAAGTGCAGAAGTAACTAAAACTAGTAACAAGGTATCTGAACCTTTTCAAACAAAAATATGTATGGTTGGTTACATCTCCTTTTTCATGAAATAATAAAATTTCCTAATGAAAAAATTATTCAATAAGTTACTGCTGTATGAATTATACGGCGGCAAAGGTAATTAAGGTAATTATTTAAGGTGACTAATTTATTAATTTTAATATTTGTTTAACAATCACAAATTCCGCGAAATATGAAAATATCTTACCATTGATTTTAACATCAGATTAAATGTCATTTTCAAAGTTCGTGTATCAGTTTTCCTATTCCAGTACAACTTCCAAATAAACTCATAGTAATTGATCCTAAAAATAAATTAAGTAAATTTAAATAATTGCAGTGTATAACAAATTTATAAAGGATAAAATTTTATTTTCAGATGTTACCATACCATATTTTTCACCATGGTTTAGTGAGACAGGGATAACTAAGATATTCATCATTTCAGGTTTCAAATTTACTTGAATTAAATATTACTAGAAAACTCACCATATGTCTTGTCAGCAGTTACAGCCACAGCATATTGGAATTTAGCAATAGGCTGTTTCTTCAAAACTAAACCAAGAAAAAAAAAACAAGTTAAGTAACATCCAATTTAAGTAGTAAACACTTATATTGTAACATGAATGTATATTTAATCAGATAATTTTTTTCATCAATAATTATATGATATATGCTTGTAATTCCATTACATCATTTTACAATATCTGCACATATACAGTGCATAATTTAACTTACAATGATAAGTGTCGAAGTTTTTGAGTAACAATATTGCGAAACATTGAACAAACAAACCTTTATAAAAGCACTCATTTTTTCTATTACGTTTGCTTTACCAGGATCTAAAACAAGATAAGGGTGAATAAGATGATGTTTAAGAGTAAATACAGTTTTTACATAAGTTAGTATTATCAGTAAATCAATCAACACATTAGTTCAGACTGGGGCGATATAACTATCATCATTTAAAATACTATTTAATACATAAACTATAAACAATAAAAACTTGTACCTACCAATTTAATTTTCTTGAGCCATCAGCAGGGTGTTTTGTTTCAGTGATCTGTTACTTTATGTTTACAACCTGCAAAAAGTGTGTAATTATTAATGTTACTTATAAGACCCACATTTACATAACAAACATTTAATTCTTTCAGAAACTATCAATCATCAGATCTCAGATAGGGGCGATACTTTATGTCATCACTAAATTTTTACACAAAATTAATTATTTTTACTTAAATATAGTTAGTAAAATTAATACATACCAAGTCAATTAATAAACAGCAGGTATTAGTTATTAATAATCACCTGAAATAATAAAATTATATTATAAAATATATAATTAAAAAATAATCATCAATTAATTGCAAGGTGAATCAGCTATTATCAATCATCAAAACTCAGACAGGGGCGATACAAACACATCATTTGAATAAAATGCAATTCTTTTTTAGACACTATGTATTACTTAGAATAAACAGCATAAGAAAACTAATAAGTACATAATGTAATTGTCAAAAACTACTTTTTCATTAAAGCAAATACCACAAACCTGTCTCTAATAGGAGTTTTATTATGTTTCATTAAGTTTATATTTTGTTCCAAAAGATCTTGAACGATTACTTTTATAAGACAGCAACATCCTGAAATTTTAGCTACTATTAGTTACATGAAAACATTGTTTTGTTTTTAGTTTTAGTCATGAAATATGTTCAGTTATTATCAATCATCAAATTCAGCTAGGGGCGATACTTTTAGTCATCACTTTAAATTTCAAGTTTTAATTTTCTTGGATGTCTAGTAGTAATGTTAGGTTGTGACACTTGGTAGCTGTTGACTCTGCATGTGCCGCTACAAGGTACAGTGCTTACCAATGACATCACTGTACAGTGTAGCAGCACATGAGGAGTAAATCATCTTTAACACCTGGTAGTGTTTACTTTACTAAGCTTAAAATGAATTTGGTCTAGATACTGAAAAGTGGCTGTATATCTATTTTATCTCTAGTTTGTGTCAAACAAACTATATAATTACCTCAATTTATGATGTAAAGGTTAGACATAGAAAGCCTTGTTTATCTGTAACAAGAAAAAAATTGAAATAATTTACATTGCATATGTCAAACAATATTGTTTTAAAAAGTCTGTATGTCACACTCAACCCTTGGACATACAGCTATAGTCATTGTATGTCTTACACAGAGTGTGCTAATTTTCCTATCCAGAGTCAAGTATACATTTTATGTCAATGCATCTATTGGCTTCGGTAGGGTAACACTACACTTCAACGGGATGTCATGTATGTTAAGGCTGCTTTAACGTCACATGTGTTAAGGATGCGTTTGATATCCACCATTCGCATTAATTGCTTGGATTTGTTTAGGAGGAGTTTGAAACTGCAATGTCTGTTTTAGAGTGCCTTAAAAGCTGTTTTTACAACGGTTTATGGTGTAGTTAGATACGAATAAGACATGTGCACCTATTCTACATAAAGAGCACACTCAGATTAATAGACTATGATAAAAATTAAAAAAACATTTTAATAGGTTTTGAAACTAGAGACTCATATGTGCAAAGCAGAGTACCTTCAACGCAGCAGAAAGCAGTTTCACATTTTACTGTATCTGCTAGATAGCTTAACAGCATCAGTTGAAACAGACAGAGTTGTAATTTCATAGCTTATCTTACAGACACCTCACATATTGTAACCTTTAAGTAATAATATAGTATTTGAAGCATGAATTAACTTCTAAGTTTGTAAAATATCTACAAACATAATATTCTGTGTTTGAAAAAATAAAAATAAAATATATATAACTAGCTGATCCGGCAAACGTTGTATTGCAACAAAAAAAAAATTAGGGATGAGTCACCCTTACCATTCAAAATTGTGAATCTAAACCATTCCCAGATCCCCTTGAACACACATAAAAAATTTCATCAAAATCGGTCCAGTCGTTTGAGAGAAGTTCAGTGACATACACACTCACAGAAGAATTATATATATAAAGATAATAGTAATTATAAACTCACCATGATTATTTGACTGCAATGTGAACTTCGATTTTGAGGTTAAGGGGAATGTGTGAGCCATATATCCACCAATGTCTTTCTGTCAAAAATAACAAATTGTTTTAGAAACCATTTAAATAAATATGTTACTTTTTAACATTTGTTTTCTATTTTAGCTGTATAAAATTTGTCACACTCAACCCTTGGACATAAAGCTATGACAGTTGCATGTCTTACACAGAGTGTCATAATGTTCCTAACCAGAGTCACGCATGCATAACAGATATGTGCACACATCGGCTTTGGTAGGGTGCAAATTCATAACTAAAGCACTAAATATGCTTTGGATGAGTTTTATATCTACCAATCATATTCATTGGTACACATAGCATAAGACTGATGGAAACCATGTTTAATAAGGTATATTTGGGTATGGATAGACATGTGCTATCTATGCATGTTATGGATGGTTGTGAATGGTTTAGGTATGTGCAAAACAGGGTACCTACAACAGGCGTGCGTTTATGTTCCAAGCAACGGCGCATTTTTCTATCACATCTTATCCACTCTACAACATAGCTTAACAACATTAGTGGAAACAATCACATAATTACGTAGCTTAGCTTACAGACACCTCACACATTACATCTTTAGGCAATGTCAGATGCAATAAATATAGTCTTTTAACCATGAGTCATATTTATGTTGACCACTTTTGCTAATGCTGTTTGGTTATCATACGACTCCAGCTTTCCTAAGCATGCATTTACTATGATTAATTAACTTCTAAGTGTGTTAAATATCTATGAACATTTATTCTAAAATTTAGTCTTTGATAAAAGTAACTTAGTTATACATAATAATAGTTATTGTAAACTCACCATGATTATTTGACTGCAATGTGCACTTCGATTTTTAGGTTAAGTGGAGTGTGTAACCCATATCCGCCTTTGTCTCCTGTGAATAACAAAATTTGGTTTAGAAAACCTGTTACTTTTTAACATTTGTTTTCTATTTTAGCTGTATATTTGTCACACTCAACCCTTGGACATAAAGCTATGACAGTTGCATGTCTTACACAGAGTGTCATAATGTTCCTAACCAGAGTCACGCATGCATAACAGATATGTGCACACATCGGCTTTGGTAGGGTATAATTCATAACTGAATCACAATACGATACTGAATATGACACTGATAAAGATCAATTCAAATACATAGGTACTAAAAACAGAGGCACTTTATGCATACTGTTTTTGATAGTTTAAAATAATACTTACTTGTAATAAAGAGCTTTCCATATATTATTACCTTGAAGATACCTGGAATATAAATAAAATCTATTACATAACAATCATTGCCCAATATTCTCATAATTTTCAAATGTTATATATCAGTTAAGTGGTATTTTTTTAATCATTGGTTTCATACGAACGAGACTATTAAACATAAGTCATCATTTTACATTAAACATATAACTAATGAAGATTTGAACTTGAGGTATAAATAAGACGGTTAAATCAACTTTTAAAGTGAATGCTCACCTCATTGCTAATGATATTTGACATCTTCAATAAGAAAACTTAACCCACTATTAGCCTTGTGAGTGCAATCAGGACCACAGGACTACATTACTCTGTAATAGAAAACATTTCATTATAGGCAAACTGCTACAGAGGTTCTGATATATGTAATAATGTGGAAATCAGCAAGGTGGTGAGTTTCAAATCATCAAAGTTCATACGAACGAGACTATAAAATTAAATTCATCATATAAATAGTGCTATTATATAAATAAAATGATTATGTATACTAACTTTGATCATGAGACTTGTAACTGCTTCTGAAACATAAAACAGATTGAGTACAGATAAAACACCACATGTCCTATAATACCAACTAAACTCACCTATTGTATATCAATGAGAGGATAGAATTTAAAGTTGAATAACAAGAACACAAGTGGCTTAAAGTAATTCTTTATTTTGACAAGTCCCTTGATAGTCACCCTTGAACCTCTATCAGACACTAAAGAATTACTTCTTTGCCGGTTTCTTGGTGCTGGGCTTCTTAGTGCGCACCTTCCTAGCGCCTGCCTTGGGGACGAGTTTCTTGCCGAATGTGCCGGCACGGGCCGCTTTCACCTTCAAACTCTTGAACACTGCTGTTCTTGCACGGTTCCTCTTGACACGCGCCGATGTTAACTTGAAACGATCGTAGTCGGTCATTTGAGCACGCTTCTCTTTGTTGGCCAATTTCTGAGACCATTGGCTTTCAGTCCATTTTTCCGTTAGTTTAGCATCAATCCACGCTTTTCTGACAACGCGTGTGGGCGCTGTGAAGGGGTAGCTCAGGCGGAACTTGGTCAGGTGCAGTTGATTAAGGCGGATTTGTTGACGTGATATACCGCTGCAAGGTCCGTCGACCAAAGCGCGAGTCTGGTCAATAATATCGACCACGCTTACCAACTTCCCTTTCAAGGGACCATCAGCTACCAGGGCTACACGCCCTGGTTCCACAAACCGTGCGAAAGGCATGACGTCCTGCAAGCGTACGATTGTATATTATAAAAAACTGCGAATGCATCACTACACGCTGGCATTACGGGAGGTAAAAAAGCAATATTCATCGAAAATATGTTTCAATTCATATGAAGCGTATATTGATAAATAATTGTTTTTACTTAAAATGATTAAATAGACACAGTTCGTTTGGATTACAACAGATAGAGATATTCTAACCTTGGAACGTCTTAACACTAACACTGAATTCACAAAAAGAATCTGTGCTTAGGAGCGGTACGTCAAGTTGACATAACTGACATTAGTGTCTATTCTATACTATAGACAGTAGACAGATGTTTTAGTGTTGCCTCTCTAAAGTAGTTTGAATTTGTCCTCCAAAATCAACTAAACATGGGTGAAATTAGCTGTAGTAAACCTTATTTCACCTTGTACCCCTAATAATACAATTTATTACCCTCGTAAAGGTTTACATATACTGCAGTAGTTGTTTGTTTGTCACCGATCATATTTCGCTGAATATGAACGAATTAGTAACTTGTGAAGGTTACAATTAGAACATTATTTACTAAACATTAGTATTAGTCTCTGGTGTGCTTGCGGCCTTGGCACAATTCGCGTAGTGTGAAGTGACTGCACCAGAGATTTAAGTCTCGTTGTGTTGAAAAAAAATTTTCGATTATATTTCTGCATATGGTGAAATGACGCTGAATTTAAATAATCGAAGTTAGTGGTCGCTAGGCAACTTGTTATGACAACAAAAGATTTTAAACACGTCAACGTGATATACAGTACTTAAAACTGTAATAATTTAGTAAAGTAGAAAAAATGCGATTAAAATATTCCAAAACTCTCTTGGAATCTCAGGTAAATTAGATTAACTGTGACTACCTGATCGATTTTTTTGTGTGATTCAAGTTGATAAAGTAGATAGGTGACTTATTTAAGTATACACATGTTATTTCAGGATACTGAGAGTCCCATTGCTGATATCTGCTGGTCTCCAAATAATGTCAAATTTGCTGTTGCAACATGCGAACGGCTAGTATTACTATTTGATAGCGAGGGCACTAGACGCGATAAATTTTCTACTAAACCCGCTGATCCCGCTGCTGGCAAAAAGTCATATGTCATCACAAGTAAGGGTTTTAATGAAAACATTTTAAAGACTGGCCACGGTGAAATACTTTAAACTTGCGATTTTCTTAGTTATTCTTTATTAAAAAATTCAAAATGTAATAGCCTCCTTTTTACGGGCATAGCATACTGTGAAAATAATCATTAATATTATTATATCTTTACATAGTATAAAATAAAGTCACTTTTTGTGTTGTACGCACAGAAATCGCGGTAAAAATTTCGAAATACGTCGCCATTATAAGGGGTTGTGAGTGGTTGGGGGAGGGGGGGGAAAGGGGCCGGATCCCCCCCTCACCATTTTCACCCGCCGGAAATACTTGGTTCCCTTAGAAAAAATAAAAACAGAAATTTGTACAAAAATTTTTATTCCACTTTATAAACATGTTTTATCGCTTTTATTAATTCCATGAATGGATCTTTCCTGTATTTTACGTTATTTCGCGCCACAAATATTCAAAAATAACATCTGCAAAATTTTCTGTGTTATTAAAATTGTCCTTCCTAAAAAAATGTTAACAGCCCTCCACTGGGACTCAATTCGTTGAGTATGAGTCCCATCTTCAGCTATGAATGGGTTGTCACGATCCGAGTGGTTGACTTTTTTTGTGTATGTAGCCATGTTCTGCCAAGCAATCATATGCTCTCCAAAAATCAGTGTGGATGGTGGTGCCAACTTCCACATTCTTCAATATAAGTAGCACCAAAACCTCAGCAGAGCGAATATTGTCTGGGCACACTTCCAACCTCAGATCTTCAGATCCATCCTCAATCATACCGAGAACCCAATGGCCATCAATATGGCGACCTATAACAAAAATAAATATATATATAAAAACTGGCTTGAACTATGAGTCGACGGAGCCCCGCTACGCGGGGCTCCTATTTCTGGGTGGTTTAAAAAAAAATAACCACGATGGCTAAGGCGGGAGCTTCGCTGCGCTGCGCTCCCGCCTTAGCCATCGAACCTAACCCAATGAAGTCTGATTGTGCCAACTCGGAGTAATAGATTGCTATTAATTACCTAAGAATTATGTCCTGTTCTTATACATTTCCTGTAAGAAATAATATATAAAATATAATTACCTCGATTGTATTTTCTTTTACCGAATATAGATTTATCGATCTGGACTATTTTTCCGGGGCCACCAATCTTTCCAACTACTTCTTTTTTGTCAATTTGGTATGCCACAATGGTTTCTCGGCAATAATTATACCAGTCACATATGGTGACCCGGCCCAGGCACCTTTCAAAATTTTAGCCAAGTCGTAGAAAAAACACAAATCGATACGGAAGAACACATTCACTATTCGAGTATAATAATACTCGAAAGCAAAGGAATGAACGCACAAATTTGACATTAGCTGTCAATATCATCCATCCAAGATGCGTTTCGTTTCACGTTTTTCACATAAAACCTAAAAATTACATTTGAAAAACTATACTAAAGCAAAAAAATTACGTTCCGTTTTGCATAATTGCAAGAGTATTTAAGAATTTTCGGAAATTATTTAAAAATATTTAGACGCAACTCCGGCAGCCAAAATCACTGTGGGGGGATTAAGACTAACTCCCTTAAGCCCCCTACACCACCAATACCCTCAAATTCAGGCGACTCGTTTTAAAATCCAACCCGAAATCGCAATAATATGACACTTACTCGTAGTGTGTCTTATTATTACGATTTCTATCATTGTACGCTTAGATCTTTTAAACTAAGCAACGGATTTTAATGCGCGTTTGTAGAGAGAGTGATTCAAGAGAAAAGTTTATATGTATTATACATGCATGTTAAAGTCGAGGCAATCCAAGAATTTCAAAGATTTGACAAAAAAGACATGTTTTTGTGCGCTTACATTGCAAACGCTCGCTAATCCTTACGAAATAGGTTAAAATAATGAACTAAGGAATTGTATATCTTAAAAAGATCGCCAAAAAAGTCGATGCGATGGTATATGTCTATCTCCCAAAAATAACCCACAGTAATCATTTTTCTTTTAAATATTACAAAAAAAAAATGGGGGTATTTACGAACCTTTTTAAACAATACTTTGTTATTCTTTATCCAATTAAATACGTCAGATACGTCGTGCATTTTATTTTATGTGTGTGCAATAGATTAAAATAGCTCTTTACAGCTTATCATTAAAATTAATATTTTAAAGATTTTAAAGGATTAAAATGTCCAACTATGGGCTATGGGACTATATAACTATAACGATACTAGCGGTGCGTAAGTGCGACTCGTATTTGTCCGTTTTTTTAAAGTAAGTCAAGTTACGAACGGCTCTTTGAGAGTGAATAGTGGCAACTTAATAATTTTCAAATAATTTTATTATATACATTCATTATATTTTTACAGACGCATGAATATTAATGTCCAACCCCATAGTATTAATTGTAATTCTTCCATTGGGAACTTCCACTGGGAAGATAAAAATGAGAAATTACTCCTATCTAAATTGATAATAACACAAGAGATCTGTACAAAACTATAACTCTTCAGGTATATCATTCAGCGACAACTCGGAATTACTTGGGGTGGCTCAAAGTGATAACATGGTATTTGTGTACCGTGTTGGCGCAGATTGGACTGGCAAGAAGGTGATCTGTAACAAGTTTCCATTGACTGGAGCACCGACGGCTTTGCTGCCTGCTGATAACGGTTTCTCTACTGGTACTAGTGACGGAAAAATTAGGTTCTTATATTTTTATTACCTTAAATATTTTGCTTGCACGTAAACAATTATTTTTCCGTTCCTCAAAAGAATTTCTTTTAGCATGAAATGTATATACCTACCATTGTCTACGTCTTGTGCATATTTACACACAGTATTTGGGGTATTTTTTCTGGCAATGTGTATACAAAACTTACTATTTTGCATACACATTGACAAAGCATGAAATATAAACATGCTAACATTAATTTATATCATTACATAAAATGAACACTTATTTGTATGCGTGTATGAATTTGAAATAGAGTCACTCTCAATATGTGATAGAAGCGTATTTCTGCCTTATGCCTGGTAGCCTTGCTGATCTCTTGCCGCAAATTTGGCTTGGTAATTAGCGCATAGAAGACAGATTCTAAAACAGCCCGCTCTTAGTGTGGTCTCAAGTGCACGGGGTTTCCCTTACACTCGCCTCGAGGGCATACTGCGAGGAGGTTACGTCCTCGTCTGTCGACTTCTTCTAAATGAGAGTTTTCCCCCGAAGATATTGCATGTGGTTTTGAAGGGCAGGCGCCAGGAGGGGTCCGGAGCTGTCATCTATTCAAGTAGGACTGGTCTCGGTCATGATGTGTTCCGCAGGGGTCGGTGTTAGGGCCGCTCCTGTAGAACATCTACGACTGAGCGTTCCGCGGTGCATCATTAGACGGTGTCGCCGTTACGGGCTACGGGGACGACACTCTCGTTACTGCGTGCGGTAAGGTGCACCGTGAGGTTAGAGCGGTTAGGTCGTTTCTGCACAAATCTCAGGCTTTTTTTTGTCATACGCCTCGCCAGCTGAGGTATCGTGGTATGAGGATGGATCGAGCCGCAGATACCTCATCGAGCCCTCAATGAGGTATCTGGGCCTCGTACTGTGTCCGGATCCTCGAGAAATCGAGGACCAGAAATCTCAACTCAGCCGATGAGATGCTTGCCTAGGGTGCTCTTGATACTTAATCTGCCTCTGCTGAGAGGACATCATTATTACTAAAAGTTATATTAAGCGCAGAGTTTCTGTCAATTTTAAGATGTTCTGATCAATCTTTTTTTTTTTTCTTTTTTTTTTTTTTTTTTTATATATATCTGCAATCGGCTTTCAGCCATAATCAGATGTTTTCTGGGATTAATTTGGGTCGGGTGCGATTCCATTAAACAGCACCGTATGAGTTGACAGATACTAAGTAGTTAGTTTCTCTGGTCTATGTTTAGTATTTGACATCTTTTCAGGCGAGTCACATCTTCATGTCGGTTTAATAGGTTCTTAGCCAGTTCATTTGTGTGCTTATTGAGCCTCTCCTTGTATCTCCTGCTTATTTTACAAGCTTCCTCCCTTACGGTTGGCATCTCCAGGTATTCATGTATCTCCGTGTTTCTCACGAACCAGTGTGCACTTGAAATTGTTCTTAGAGCAGTGTTTTGAAATCTCTGGAGAATCTCGATATTGGAATTGCTAGCACAACCCCAGAGTTCTATCCCGTAGGTCCAGATTGGCTTTATTATAGTCTTGTATACGAGTAGTTTGTTTCCGATTGACAGCCGGGATTGACGTCCCAGTAACCAAGACAGACCTTTGAATTGTAAGGTGGCTTCTGTTTTCTTGGCTTTTATGTGATTAGCCCAGGTAAGTCTTCTATCCAGGTGTAGACCGAGATATTTCACGCTGTTACTGTTTGGTAATGGCTTGTCTTCCATAAGAACAGGTGGACAGTCGCCTTTTCGGAGTGTGAATGTTATTTGTGTCGATTTGGTTACGCTAGGTTTGATTCTCCACTTCTTAAGCCATAAATCAACTTTATTGAGCTGTTCCTGTAGCAGCAGGGATGCGTTGTTCGGGTTTGTATCGCTTGCAAGGCATGCGGTGTCGTCTGCGTAAGTTGCTGTTACAACTTTTTCTGTCTCAGGCAAGTCAGCCGTGTATATTGAGTAAAGGACTGGGCCAAGCACCGATCCTTGTGGAACTGAGGCAGTGATGTAGTACAGCTGTGATAGCTCTTCTTCGTATTTTACTTGGAATCTTCTGTGATCCAAGTAAGATTTTAGGATCATGTAGAAAGAGTTTGGTAGGAGGGTTTTTAGCTTGTACAGCAGTCCTTTGTGCCAGACTCTATCGAATGCCTGTTGGATGTCAATGAATACTGCACAGCAATACTCCTTTTTCTCTAGCGATTGTCTAATTTTGTGAACCACACGATGTACTTGCTCGACAGTAGAGTGTTTTTCCCGAAATCCAAACTGGTGATCAGGTATAATCTTGTTTTCGTCCAGAGCTGGTTTTAGTCTTAGCAATAGAATCTTCTCGAATACCTTTGACAGAATAGGGAGAAGACTTATGGGCCTGTATGAGCTAGGTTCTGTTGGTGGTTTCCCTGGTTTTGCAATCATACAGATTTGGGATATTTTCCATAGCTTTGGATAGTAATTAATTCTAAAAATGGCATTAAATAGCATTGTTAAAAATACTATTGCTTTTCTAGGCAGTTGCTTAAGGACTTCACCCGTTATTAGGTCGAAGCCAGGAGCTTTTTTGTTTTCCAAGTAACGAATTATTCGTGCTAGTTCCTTTGGAGTGACAAGCTTCAGCGGTAGTGATAACTGCTGGTCACTATTGATCATTAGATCAACTTCCTCTTCAAATTCCGTCATTGATGACTGGTTTGGAGTGAAAACCCTGCTTAGGTGTTTAGCGAAAAGCTCAGCTTTTTCACTTCCACTTCTAGCCCACGGATCGTCGGAAGAGATCCTTAGTGGTGGAATATGGCTAAATGGTCTTTTAAAGCCTCTAGTTATTTTCCATAGTGAGTAGTTGTCCTTCTTGTGAGCTGAAAGCGTAGAAAGTTTTTCTTGAAAAGATGTATTCCGATTTTCTTTGATTAGTTCTTTTAGTTCTCTAGTGATTCTATTGTATTCTGCCCTATCTAAATCAGACCTGCTCGTGTGTAACTGCCTTCGTTGTCTCCGTTTTTCTTTCAGTTTGTTGCGTATTTCCAGCGGTATATTATTTTTATGGGTGGAATAGCCTAATGTCGGGGTAGCACGCCACGCAGCGACTTGTATAAGGTTTGTGATATAGAATGTTGCATCATCTATATCTTGTTCTGTTTTAAGTTTGACCTTTAAGTTGACTTCCTCTTTCAGATATTCAGTGAAAGCATCCCAGTCTGTTTTGTGATTGTACAATGCTGGCCTCTGTGCTCTGTGTATTGCCGACACGCTAAATGTTGCTATTATAGGGGTGTGGTCAGAGACGCTATCGAGCGATGATTCCACATCAAAATATATATCAGACAGTCCCTTTACAATGAAGAAATCTACTAGATCAGGTATCTTATTAGCGTCAGTTGGCCAGTAAGTTGGTTCGCCTGTTGCTATTGTTATAAGTTTGTGTTTATCAATACATTTTTTCAACTCTCGTCCTTTAGTAGTGGTCAATCTTGATCCCCAGTGGGTGTGTTTACAGTTCCAGTCTCCCCCGCTTATGAATCGGTTTCCCAAGATCTGGAAGTAGCAGTCAAACATGTGTTGTTTTGGGTTATGCTTTGGTGGGCAGTAGATAGCGCTTACGTTAATAGGGCCCATGCGTTCGTTTATAGTGATGGTAGTAGCCTGCATCCAATCTTCTTGGAACTGACTGTGAAGTTGGTGTTTAATGTTACTTTTTACAATAACTGCAGACCCTCCGTGTGATGTAGTATCAGGATGATTGGTACAATATACGCAGTAGTTATCCATCTTGAAACTCTTACGATAATTAAGATGGGTCTCTGATATCAGAGCAATATCGATTTTATTATCTTTCAACAGTACCTCTAGTTCTTGTTTATTTGGCGTTAGGCCATTGATATTCCAGGTAGCAATACGTGATGACGTATACATAATGACATCATTGCGGAAGCCTACTGATGAGTGTCATGATGAGATTCATCATTGTGCTAAGGTGTGATATGAGTTGGTCGATCCTTTCACTCTGTCTTCGTAAAAGTGCTTCTAAGCTATATTTATTGTCCTGTTCGATTTCTATTTTTGTCAAATGTGTTCTCTGTGACTCAAGGTCAGCGTAAGTTTTTGTATTTATTCTCTGTGACTCTGTATGATAAACTTTGTCTTTCTGTGTTCTCTGTGGTTTCGTGTGGTTAATGTTATTTCTCGGATATGCTTTCTGTGTCTCTGTAAGGTCTACTACAGCTTCATTAGATCCTTTGACAGCTTCACTGTAAAGTTTCAAGCTTTCTATTACGCTGGACTGCCGACTTGTTGGTTGGGTGGCCCTGGGGTTACTTACAGGCTTGATGATTGTCGTGTCTGTGACAGTTTGGGACTCGTCAGTTGTAGTGTGGTTTTTCAATACTTTCTGAGTTGCTCTTGTTCTCGGATGTGGCTGTCGTTCGTTTCCAGTATGCTTTCTTGCTACAATTTCCTTATACACCTGACATCCTTTGTAGCTAGCAGGATGACTTCCTGAGCACAGCGCACAAACCGCTGGGGTGTTTTCATCAATCGGGCACATGGTGGTTTTGTGTGCTCCGGCACATTTCACGCATCTGTACGGCCTCATGCAGTTATTTTTGCTGTGTCCATATTGCTGGCACCTTTGACATTGTACCACAGTCGTTTTTCTTATTGGATCTTCTATGGTGACTTTCTGGTTATATATGAACTTAATTTCCTTGACAAGTCTGTTATTTTCGTGCGGGGCTACATTGACAAAGAATGTATTTAGGGGTTCTTTGGTTCCTTGTTTCCGAGCAGTGACTATTTCCCCTTGAACCTTGTTTCCGGTTTTTTCTATTGCTTCTATGATAGCATCTTTTGGTGTGCTGAAGTGAAGGTGTTTAATAACAATCCTTGTGCATTTTTGAACCTTGCGTGTAAAAGTGTGACCTATAAGTCCTTTGCTTCTTATATGCTCTATCAGGGTTTTATATTTGTCAACCGTATGGGATGAGATGATGAGCTGATTTTTGGATACTATTTTGTAAGTGTAGTCATCCTTTTCCACAACTTCTTCGATGAGTTGGGTGAGTTTCGCAAGGTCTTCAATGCCATACAGTATTATCGGTGGTGGTTTAGGTGTTCTTTTGGCTGGAGCATCTCCTACTTCCACATCTAACAATTCAAAGCTGTTACTTGTTCCTATTTCTGCGGAAGTATTTTGTTCAGCATTATTTATTCCTCTGTGTTTGTTAATAATTGTCTCACGTCGCTGGGTTCTTTTGGCTTGATTAGCTCTTACATCTTTTTCATCAGGAGAGCGGTTTCTTTTTTGTTTTGGCACTCGTTGCCATGGCGCGTTATGGTTGTATACTTTGCTTTGCTCATCTCCTTTTAATTGTGGGTTGTTAATTTGTTTTGTCTGGTTTATTTCGCTAAGTGACGCTGATCTTTGGCGATGAAATAGGCCTGGATGAAATAATTGTTGAGTCAATGTTTTCTTTGGTTTTTCCGGTAAAGTTTCACTAGGTAGCAATCCTTTGCCCCCCCCAGAATACGTGGGGCAGCCCGAGCTATGCTCAGGGAGGGATTCTCCGGCTTCGCCGGTACCCTCCTGGGGTAGATTATCTTTAAGTCTTGCTTCTTCCATAGTAAGTGTAATTTTTTCCTTTTGGGTTGTCTTCCCTTTCCTTTCTTTTGCCAGATGATTCGGTTATGGCGCCGAAGATTCGCCTTCGTTCTTCATACTCAGCTGCTGCGGTCACGAGGTAGATGATAAGTACGGGGCTCGTAACAGGCCGCAGCATTGCCCGGAGGGGACGAGCCACACAGATGAAAGTATGTGGGCCCATCACTAGACCGCGTCGGCAGTCTAGAGATGGCGGGGACGTGTATGAAGAACTTGTCGATGTGCGCCTGTCAGCCTAGCTCCGTACACCTAGGCGTGCGCTAGCTGGCAATCTTAGCATTTTTTAGGTGCATGTTCCCTGGCAAAAAAAGAACACGCCCCACTAAGACCTACATCGACCCAACCCCCCCGTTCTGATCAATCTGATTAACAAAATAAAATTTCATCAATTTGTTGTCATCAGCTTAAGACATTTGCGAAAAAACAAAAAAATATCCTTTGGGTATATTGTTTTTTTTAAAGTTTTTATTTATCATTTATATAATCCAGTACTAACTATTTAGTCGTTGTGTGTAATCCAACTCCTTTGAAAAGCTCTGTGTATACAGTCCGACCTAAGTATGTTAGACATACCTGAGTTAGAATTCCGATAAAATAATCAAAAAGTAAGTGTTTTACTTTACTAACGTATTGGTAGTATTGTAAGTACCTAAGGCATAAAGAGGCGTTAATTATATTTGCTATTTTTTTTCTATTGAAGTAGGTAGTTAATTACTATGTGGTCAAATGTGATCATGGTTTATAACTATGCTTTATTTGGTATATGTTATAAAGGTTACGGTTAAACCGTATGATTATATAAAGGTATAAACGATGTACTATTTTTCAGAACGTTGGATTGCAAGAGTAACAAAAGCAGCAGTTTGTGGACAGCAGGTGCTTGCTGTGTGTCGTTGGCACGCGGCGCCGAGGGTACACTTGCGTCCGGTCACGTTGATGGCACGCTGTATCTCAACGGCAGGCTACTACTACGGTACGCACTGCCTCCCACCGCGCTAGTACTGCAGACACCGTATGTAAGCATTTACTATAGGTTTTGTAAAACTCTCATTCTCTGTGTACAACTCATCCTTTCAAGATATAAGGGCATGATTCCAGTCAGTTAAAAAATTAAATTTAATTGAAATCTTTTATCAAAGTTGTTACATTCTAACTATACGTTACATATCAATATATTTTCAGTCCGCCAAATTCAATATCCATCACAGAGGTATCTGAGATTGAAGTAGAAGCTAGCTAAGATATTGGAAAGGATACTAAACACTGCACTACAGTGGTTTCTCATCAAATACAACCTGTGAGCACAAAACCAATATGGTTTTAGCTCGGGTGTATCAACCGAAGACGCTGTACTTGACCTTAAAACAGAAGCAAAAGTCTTGACGATAGAGCCAAGTGTTTGTGTATATTTTTGAATCTTTCTAAGGCTTTCGACACGGTCTCTGTCCCTATCCTCTAGGCATAATGAGAAAAGATTGGTTTACGAGGCATGCCACATCAGATCTTCTATGACAACCTGACCGATCGAAAACAATCAGTAAAGATAGACCACTACGTCAGTGATGACATTACTATTAATTACGGCGTCCCGCAAGGAAGCATTTTAGGTCCAACTCTATTCCAGCTGTACATCAACGACCTTTGCGCACTCTCTACCAAATACTAAAATATTCATCTATGCAGATGACACAGCTAACTAGTCACCGGACGCAGTTGGCAAATAGTAAAGAAAAGAGCAGAACACTCCCTGTTTATAATAATGCACCAGCTAAACAAAAACCTACTGACACTGAACCTGTCAAAAACACACTATATTCCTTTTTCGATTACAAAAGTCGGTAGTCCCCTTCAAAACTTCTCAATAAAGGTACACATCTGCTCCACACCAAACACATGCACCTGCAACAAAATTACGAAAGCTGATTCCATTAAATACCTAGCCGTGTTGATAGATAAAGTAAAGTGGGACAAACATATTGCACTAATGACAGCTCATGTAAGACGTCTCATCATTTACTAATTTAAATCACTACGTGACATTGCCTCTCCAGCAAAGCTAAAATTAATATATTTGGATCTGGGTCAGTCCATCATCCAATACTGCATCACCGTATGGGGAGGTGCAGCCAAATCTCATTTCATTAGCCTGGAACGTGCACAGAGAGCAGTACTAAAAGTTCTATCAAAAAACCTTACTGATATCCTACTGTTAGTCTCTGCTTAGACATAAAAATTCTATCAATTGACTAATTATTCATTAATCGAATAGCATTGAGAAAGCACCAAACGCTTCCAGTCTCTGACCCCAATAGGCGGAGCAAGAAAAACATTTTCCCTAGCACTCGCTGTAAAACGTGCACCAACTTGCACAAACACACCTCAAACAATCACCCTTTCATACACACACACACACACACACACACACACAGTTACCACACGCCAAATATATTGATAATAAAATGATAAAAAACACCTTTATTTAAAAGAACATCTCAAACCGATGAAAGTTTGTGCACTGCGATTACACGTATATTAACTTGTTTAAACGCTGTCTTCCATAATACGGGCATTCTGTTTGACTTTAGAGATACAAATTTTATGTGTAATGTATACTTGAGCCAAATAAACATTTTTTTTAAATTACTCAGTCAAATTTAATGAAGAGATTCAAAGCCTTCCTATATATGCCTTCAATTAATTTTTCAGCTTTATTTACTAAACACATTTTTTTTAGTTGATAGTTGGATCGTGTGACGGGCGTGTGGCCGTTTATGAAGCGCAAAGAGGTGCTCTGCTACGTAGTTTAGAGCCTCAGTTACCTCCAGATCGACGTGATCTCATCTCAGCTGTGCCTAGTCCTTCAGGTCAAGTACGTGTGAAAAATATAAAATGAGTATTTACTAGCGACCCGCTCCGGCTTCGCACGGGTGCAATGTGGAGTAATTAATAATACTTTTTTTATGATCAGACTATTCTACATGACATCTTTATATACAATATTTATAGACCCGCTCCGATTCTGGCGGGCGCTGCCACCCGATAACTAATAGATAAATAAATATACAATCATGGACGTATTTTTAGATTTTTCAAGTTATACAATTCCGTAGTACTCTACTTTAATATGCATATATTATTGCATCACTATTTCTATCGGTGAAAACCGCATCAAAATCCATTGCGTAGTTCGAAAGATCTTAGCGTACAAGAAAAAAAGCGACTTCATTTTGTAAGACGACTACTATGTAAAGATTCACGTACGCATAGTTATTATATATTTATAAATTGAAAAGTGTATAATCATGCAGACGGTGGCATTTGGCGTATTCGACGGGTGTTTAGTTGGAGATGTAAAGGAATCCGGCGTCATTGAGCTGTCAATGCTGAATATTCCAAACCTCTACGCAGCGCGAGCTCTTGCTTGGAGTGGTGACGGCACAAAGTTGGCAATCGCATCGCAAGCTGGTGCTGTTATACAACTGGAGGCTGTACTCAGGTTCATTCATTTGATGTTAATTTATATGTTATTAAATGTTCATGTAGTGTCGTTAATAATAACATCAAGATATTACCGCCATCGTGCCAAGGTTCAAGGAATTACGGAATTAATTCTCTAATGGTTTTTCTCGGAATTAATTCTACGGTTACGTTCATATCCGTGTTTTGAAGTAAAGACTTCTTTAGGCGCGTTGGTCATTTTTGAACAACAAACAAAAGAATATAATGTAGCCACTGTTTTTTTTTCTCCAGGCGATGGGTATGGCGCGACACCGTAGAAGTGCAGCACGTAAGCCCACGTCAGTTAGTACTGTCACGCCTGGCCAACGACGCTTTGCCTCTTACAGTAACTACTAAGCAAGCTCCAGATATATTTAACGTTCGTTTCATAGGTACGTCCATGGTTCTCTTTTAATTATTACTCCATGCTAAAAAAATAAACTCATCGTAATATAATACAAAATTTATCGATGAACTTAAAATGGAAGGTTACAATAGTGGTTCAGAAGTAAAGTAAGGATATAACCTTGCGAAGGAACGGATGTTATTGTCCATTCAACGCAAAGGGAGAATCCTCCAAACAGACATGGTGATCATGTCTGACCGCAGCCGTTAAACCACGGCCTAACGGCTGATGTTGGAAATAATTTTTTTTTACACGTATAGTTATTAAAATATCTTGGTCATCGGCTACCTAACTTGGTGCTTTAGATATTCGATCAATTTTTTTTAAATTAACCTCAGACTATACAAACGTGAAGTTGTTGTTGTGGTATGATTTGAGATATTAACATACCGTAATAGACCGAATGCAGATATACGTCGCTGAGTTTTAGCGTCTGTGTACACCCTTTGAAAAAAATAGTCCTGAAGAATCACGCAGTTCATATTTTGCTTTGGTACTCATTTCAGGTAACGACTGGTATGCTGTATGTCGCACAAGTAGTACGCTGATATTGTGTGATATAGCACGAGGCTTGACCAGCGAAGTAAGTTTGATAAAATAAAAAAAATCACATTTTATGATTTATGACTTAGACATACACAAATTAAACGAAGTTTTTGTAAAACGGCTGAACTTTATAATATGTCAATAGTATTTATATAATTTTACATAATTTATCTGAAATAATCTGAAATAATTCATTATTGTGTGTAGATCCCATGGTCAGTGGGCGGTGAGAGAGTGTATGCAGAAGTGGGTGGTGCTTGCTTGTTGCACAGAGCAGGCGAGCTTAGCGTTGTCGAGTACGGACTTGATAAAGTACTGCATACTGTGAGTATTTAAAAGCTTTACATGGATTCATTTTTTGTGGTGCTAAGTGTTTTTTTTATATGTTTTAAGAATAATATCCTTTTCTAGCCAAAAACTATTTTCACTCATCTTCTGTTGATCTTTTAGGCGTTGGAATAAGCAGTTTTAACGAAATATTAGCCTAGTTAGGTATAGTTTGTATTCGAATTACCGAGTGTGTCTTTATTAAGGTTCGAACAGAACGCGTGAACCCTCATGTGCTGAGCGTTCGCATCAACGAAGGTGCCACTGGGGAATCCGATCTGGAACGTAAGCACCTCGCGTATTTGCTCGATAGACAGACTATCGCTGTTGTTGATCTTATAACTGGTAAGTACCTCTTCAAAAGTTCTTGGTGTAGAACGAAAATAAGACAATTTTGTTTCACAATTCATAGATTGGAACACGTTCAGAAATATTTTCTCTAATTTAAATAGAAAATGAAAACACAGCTGGTAAAAAAAAGTAATTTTGTCACTCGGAATGATGTGGGGTTCTAATGATACTGTACCTATATCCCAATCTGCTTAGAGAAGTTTTGATACAATAATTAAATTTACATACATACCTACATAAACTCTCAAAACATTACACTAAACTCGTATAGTAGGAATATGTTGAAAGGGAACCAGGAGTGGACGTAAATTATCAAAAAGTTATTTATGTATTGTCCTATCGAAATGATTAAAAATCGTATTTTTAACCATTGTGGACATATTTTACGTTACACTAAAAGACCCATAGGAGTAAATGCTAATAATACTCATGCTGTAAATTGCATGTACAAGTATTGCAACTAAGAGCTTTGATATTTTCTCGCACTACCCCTTATCTGCACTATAGAGCTCTTGTGTCTTTAAGTTTAGTAGTAACTCGGATGTATATTCAGGTATACAATTGGGGCAATGGTGGCACGAGACTCGTGTGGACTGGCTGGAGCTGAACGAAAGTGGCCAGCTTCTCCTTTTAAGAGACACAAGGCGCAGACTCGCTATACTAACACTTCATAACGGTGAGAAGGTATGTCAATGTGCTTATGGAACTTTATTAAATACTAATTTTGTTAATTTTATGTGGTAGCAACATTCGTACTTTCCCAGCAATATTCTAAAGTAACTTGTCTCAGCTTTTCTACAATAATAAACAACTGGTTTCGTGTCAATATTTCTTATCCTCGACTGAATCGTGTCGAAGGTATGCACCAACAGCGTGGGCCTAGTCGGGACCAGGGTTAAATAATATTAATAATATTACTATGTCTCACAGGAAATCATAGCAAGCGGCGTAAGCTTCGTGCAGTGGATCGAAAACAGCGACGCGGTTGTAGCTCAAACTCCGACCCATCTACTCGTTTGGTTGGTATCAGAATTATAGTATTTTTATCATTTATTATCCACCCTTGGGATGGGAGTCAAACCAGATTAAAGAGATTACATTGATAGTTCATCCGCTACCTGTATTTCGAGAGAATAACTTATATTTAAAACTATATTAGCAAGGCCTAGCTTTAAATTTTATTAAAGGCGATTGATTATAATAAAATAGCTGCAGTTGTTTATTTTACGAACTATTTTAATTATGATAGGACAAATAAAATAATGGAAATCTGTGTTTAATGATTGACAATAAAAGAGATATATTACATATTGAGAACAATGGATATTTCCTTTCAACCTTTGCCTGATAAAAGTAATTGTGATAATGATTGTAGATAGCTTAGTAAATAAATATAAGGTAAATAATAATGAGCTTTTAATTAATAATTCTATTTAATTACATCTATGACCTACAAACTAAGACTAACTACAAAAGAGAACCTATTATAACGCTCGAAGTACTTACTCGTAAGTATCGTTCAACAAAGAAGTTAAGAGGCACTTATCCCTCATTCATCGCAGCACCTGAAGCACATTTTATAAACTGTATATGTATATTATATTCGCTTTGAGCCTTTATTTTATTGCCGATAATAAGCTAAACGACTCGATTTGCAGGTACAGTGCGTGGGATCCTGGTAGTGTAGAAATGGTAGAATGTGGAGGGGCTGTAGCTGTTGAAATTATATCAAGAAGGGTCATCCTTGATGGAGGCATTCTACCGTATCTACAGCTAGATGAACATAGACTTGCCTTTAGTAAGAAATGAAGCAACTTTTATTTTATGCTTGACCATATCGGTGGCTAACATTGGAAAAAAACATTCCTATCTAATTTCCCTTCGTGTACAGACTTACGTTTATTCGGGGGGGTATTTCTTCTTTACCTTAGATAGACTTGGGACTTAAAACTTGGTGTTATTTCTAATAGTTTTCATCATTCGTCATCGGTACCCAATCAAATTGTAATATAATTGATAGAGGATACCATGTTGGTTGTTAATTAAACTTTCCGTGAAGTAAAGTTACCAATAAGTTTTGCTCTTTGTGTATAAATTCCTCCCTCATACTAGACAAATGTTGTACATAGTCATTGTTTTATGTAAGGTTTCGTCTATTCTCTTGAAGATACAGTTTTAGTTAGCAGTTATTAGGCTAATTGAAATATTTTTAAAATTACGTATGCATTCTCGTACTTATAGATAATGCTCTACGCGGTGGTGACTTGGCAGGATGTGCCAGGTACTTGGAAGGTGTAGGAAATAATGCTGATGTCGCTGCTCTTTGGAGGCAACTGGCAGAACGTGCTCTGGATAATGATGATGTACAGGTAACGCATATTTTAAAATAAGGTATAATGTACAGAATTGTAATGTATTCAAACTAACTAACTGAACTAAAGTTTTCATTTTGGATTAAATGGATTCATTTAATCCATTTTTAAAAGTAAAGAAATATAGCTGGCAGCGGATGGATGAGGATGCCCCCAGTCTTGGGCATATTATGGATGATGGTATGATGGATAGTTGACAGTCTATGTCTATTAGCCGTTAGAGAAAGAAAGTTATCCTGAACCCGATTTTTAAACTAGTAAATTATTATTATAAGCCTAGTAGCACTATATATACTAATAAAGAATATTAATTGAAGATACAGCATTACAAGTCGCACAACTAAATGTGAAAAATTATAACGAATTATAATTTTTCCGTTTTAGTTAGCTGCCAAATGTTACCGTGAAGTTGATGACGTGGCGCGTACGTTTTATTTAGAGAAGACCGTAGAGCTAGCGACAACAGAAGGCGATGGGGATATTGCCGTTGGTATGTTATTTGGAAAAGTTCTTAAGATCTTTTGAGTGTTTAATATGACTTAATTGACTGCATAGATGGCGTAGTGGTTTAAGCGGTCACGGGTTGGACAACACGTTGTGTGTCCCACAAATTGTTGTTCTGAGCCTGGGTGTTCTTTTTATCCGTTTCATGTATGTTTAGACTATAACAAGATATATTCCTAGTGCGAGAGTTGTTTTTAAAAAATAATAAGAAAAATATTTATTTATTTCACACACTGGGCTGAAATAGAGAAATTCTGTCTTTACAGGTTTAGATAATCCCATAGTTAGAGCTCGCTTGGCCATTTTTGCCGGCGATTTAATCGCTGCAGAAGAGTGGTATGTAAGGCGTGCTAATCGCCCCGACTTAGCGGTAAATATGTATAAGCAGTTCAACAAATGGTCTGAAGCTATTGCTCTGGCCGAGAGGACCGACAGAGCGTCCGTGGCTACATTGAAACAACAGCACATGGACTATCTGACTTCTACAGGTTTGTTATTTATAATTTCTTCTAAGCGTGTGTATGTGACTGATGAACCCCTCCTAAAAGGCTGTAGTGATTTTGATGATTTTTTTGAGTGTGTTTAAGTGGATTCGAGAATGGTTTGGATTCAAATGTGCTTTTTTATTTTACGACCTATAGGAGCAGAGATCCAATGATAAATGTTAAAAAACGGGCCACGATTATTCTTATTGAGAGACGCAGGCAAAGCGTTTTTATTTTCTTATTTTATCGTCATTTCGTCATTTTATTATCATTACTGACCTGCTAAAGCTCTTGCTTAGATCTCCCAATTCATCAATATAAGCAATATCTTTTATTCCATTTTCTTCCTTTCTGCATCTGCCATTCCCTTTCAATGTATTATTTTTAATTGATTGACCCTTAATAGGTGAGTAAAAGATAACTAGCTTTCGCCCGTGACTTCATCTGCGTGGTGGTCGACATCAGACATCGTAGAGGACACCTCTTTTGAAGGGTAGTTTTCAAAAAATAATAACAAATTTTTTGATTACTTTTAATAAAGTGTATTTACTGTGACTTTGGAAACCCTACTACCAAAAATAACAGCTTCATATAAATTTTGCACCCTTAGTGGTAAAATTTAAAAAATACTTTCTTAATGCACTCCTACGCCACATAAGGAATGATTGTGCACAATTTCGTGCTTCTAGACCCAGCGGTTTCAGCTGTACGTTACCGATCAGTAAGTGAATATGTCTGTCAGTGTCTTCTTTTATGGATATAGATTTTATATGCCCCTTCCAGAATATAAGTGTGATACGTGAAGGTAATGTAGGTTTTTGATTATTTTTGGTTATGTCAAGGACGTCTTGGAGAGGCTGGTGCAGTTTTGGCAGCATCTGGGGATGTTCAGGGTGCGGTAAAGCTGTGGCTTAAAGGAGGGCGCTCGCGTCGGGCCGCTGCTCTGCTGTTGCAACATCCGCAGCTGTTGAGAGATACTGATCTAGTAGAGGCTGTACATACACAACTTATACAGGTAGACTCAACGGTTTATTCCCAGTAGTTCTATGGAGTCAGTTCCACATGGAACTTTTGCAACCCACTAGTTCCGTACATGGAACTAGTAGGTAGGATTTGATAGTAGTATGACTAGTAGGATAGCTATTTGAAACGGAAAATTATACTAAAGTTCCATGACGTCAGTTGCAACCTGTTATACTTTAAGATACTAATTATTTCGTATTTCTAACTTTGAAACTTTCAAACAATACAACCGTTCATTCCTTATTTCACCCCCTTAAGAGTGAAATTTGCAAATATCCGTTCCATCCTTATTGGGTGCTTATAAAAATAATAATAAAAGCATCAGCTGCCAAAATTTTAAGTTTGTAGTCTCAGCGGTTAAGGCTCTATGTTGATGCATCAGTCAGTCAGGGCAAGTAATTTTATATGTATATCTTAATCATCAGATCATGAAACCCTTTCCTTGTTTTTTCATGCTAAAAAAAATATATCTACATGAAAGCGTCACTTGTCTTATGTTGTCATTGTTGCTTACTGCATTTGAAAGATTTCAATATTATACAATTAACTGTTTTGAGTACGATATTATAAAATTCCTGAAACCCGTATCTCATCGTCAGCACTTTTAGGAGAATATTTTAATCTAAGATTCATATCCATAGCAGCAAGAAAACCGACACTTTCATACAAACTTCAATGGCTGGCTGATATTCCATCTACAAAGATGCCCAGTAGTATTTTTTTTCGATGTACAACGTCACCTCCCTTACAGTTTTTTTCAGCTCTAAAAGTAGTATAAAATTACATGAAACAAATGGTACAAAAATCGTATTATTAATGTTACATCAGAACCATGTTGAACTGCCTTCATGAAACTACTTTGAATAAACATACGATTCAACATATTCCTACTTGTAATAATGGTAATAATAATTTTAACAAAAATAGGCAAACTGCAAAACTTGTGTATGTATGTAATTTATTTAATGTTAAGTCTAATTTTAATAAAAGCGAAAAAGTTGCCTATGCTGCTTTTCTCCTAAGGTCCTGGTTTAGTACAGCAGTTTAGGCCTGTATAATTAGTAAATAGTATAATTTTACGATAGCAAAGTAATTGTTACGAGAGATGAAATATACGCTGAAATATTCCACCAGAAATATTTTTACTAATTCGTTTCCACCATAAACTGATGTAGGTTCACGTAATTTATAATATTATTTGAAAAATTTTAAATACTCGTATAGGTGCCTTTTTTAAGAATAAACATTAAGTACTTATGCCAAATTTAAAGTTTTTTCAATTAGCGTTTTTTCTTGAATTTGGAAGTAGACAAAATTCTCTTCATGTTTTAATGTATAGAATCAATTTAATATTTTAGGAGGAATGGTGGGAGACAGCTGGCGAAATATCGGAACGACGAGGTGATACTCGCACGGCAGTCGAATACTACGCAAAAGGGAACAATTATGCTAGAGCTGTTCAGCTTGCTAGAGAGGTATGCGACGATTGTGACCAAAAGCAATCATTTATACACTTATGTAGTATAAGTGTATAAATGATTGCTTTTGGTCATTACATTGAAATATAATGCGGCGAGCAACTTTTCCGATTTGCAAAAGCATTACAGCACACATAGTACTGTAAAACGTTTAATAGATAGCTGAAACGCTTCGTTAAAAACATAATGCGCACCAACCTGCAGAGAGAAGCACCGCTGACGCGCGCACTACGTACTCTGAATATAATTGCGGATGAAGTAGATTTATTTTATTGCTCACTGAGTGAATTCACAATAACAGCATTAAGAATTATTTCTTAAAATAAATAAGTAGATGGTATAACACTATTGCATTGGGTAAGCCTGTAAAAATAGTTGTTTTTAAAGAAAATAAATAAATAAATAATACTGAGTTATATTTTTATGACTTGAGTTACTTTTCTGCTGTCTTGGAGTGTTTTTGTAATTTTATTAAGTAAATTTCAAAACGACATATTTTTAAGAAACTATATAACAAGTATAAATAAAAAAAAAACAAATACCTCTGGTTCCAACATAATTTCAGAGCTGAGCTATAAATGGCTGAAGAAATGTTTTTTGAATTTAGAGATCACTTTCGATCTAGTCTATTTCAAATAAAAAACTTAGTCCAAATGGGCCCAATTTTTTTATCTTGACGGTAGGTCATCTTATGTTTTCTATTACATAGTTCTACCATAACATAAATTTGTAGGCTTGCCCTGGAGAAGTGACGCGCCTTGAAGGTATGTGGGGCGCGTGGTTGGTTTCCTGTCGCCAGGCGGGGGCCGCGGTACCACATCTGATAGAAGCGGGACTTTCTAGGGATGCCCTCGACGCAGCACTTCAAGCCCATCACTATAGAAAGGCTCTTCAGATTCTACAGGTGAGTACACCTAAATGCCCATTAATATATTTTGAAGCCTATCCGTAAATCAAATCGGTCATACACCTTTAATATTAAAAATATTTCAGTGTTTATTTGAGAACATTTGTGTTGCTTGCAGGCTATTGACGACAAAGAATCGATCAGGGAGCAATGTGAGAAACTCGGTGATCATTTTATTTCGACTCGAGTGAGTGTTTCAAACTACAATATTGAACTGATAAATTTTAATTTTAATCCATTCTGAGTAATTTATTATTTGAAATCACTTGATGATGGCCGTTTCGACCTTAATTCAATAACTTACAACTGTTTATACATACCATAAATTATATTTTCCAGAAAAAATATAGCATTCTCTGATAAGTTTGAGAATTAAAGCAACTAATAGTTATTAGTTATTACATATCTTTGAATTGTTTGACGTTTCGACCAAGTCGCAATGTTCATGATTGCAAGTGGACAGTCCGTCAACATAATCCTAGCCATTATATTTTTTATTGTACATATTTATAACTTCTAAAAGGAATGGGAGACAGCAGAACGCGTGCTAACATCATGCGGCCTGGCAGAGCGATGTGTGCGCGCGTACAACCTCGCAGGTCGAGTAGCTGATGGGTTACATCTCGCCGCTGCCCATTTAACTGAAGAAGAAACTAGGGACATTTATCTGCCCTTAGCACAGCAATTGAGGGAAGAGGGACAATTGAGAAAAGCTGAACAGATTTATATTGGCTTAGGCGAACCGGATGAAGCTATTTCCATGTATAAGGTATGTGGGATTTTTAAGCAGAATACTTACTAATAATTACTCTTTGAAATTGATTCCTGGGTTTATAATGTGTATATTTTAATAAAACAAAGCGGAAGTTTTATTAAATTACATTAAGGTTTTGGTATTTGACCAATTGCAAACCTTAATTCTAAACAAAAAAGTCTGTCTCAATGTCTTAAAACGACTTTTCTTTTCACTGGTTTTGTTAGGAAGTATCGCAGTACGAGGCAATGCTACGCCTCGTAGCGGTCCACCGTAGCTCATTGTTGGAAGCCACGCGCCGACACGTAGCTCAAGCTCTACACGCCTCCGGAGATCTACGCGCTGCTGAAAACTATTATATTCAAGCTGGTTAGACAAGCGAAATTCTACAGAAGTAATAGTATAAAAATTATAAGATAATTAGTAGTAAAGTACGTTTCTGTAATCTTTTAGATGACTGGAAGAGCGCAATTCAGATGTATCGTTCAGCTGGTCAATGGGAAGGAGCTGAGCGCGTTGCTCGTGCCCATGCACCCAGCGGTGTTCAGCAACAGGTAAAGTAAACGTTTTGCTAAAATTTTACCTTGTACAATATTAGACATGTTCATTTGTTGAAGGTAAAATAAATTAACCTCCTAGAGTATACGATATTGTTCTTGTCTAGGTAGCCCTTCAATGGGCGGGTGCTCTAGGGGGAGCTCCTGCTGCGCGGCTGTTAGCTGCTCGAGGGTTAGCTGCTCTAGGAGCTCGATGGGCACTTCAAGCTCAACGGTAGATTGTTTTCTTTATTTTCCAAGATTGTTCCAAAATTGATCAAGTGTTATCTATTATTGAGTAGATTTTTCTGCAAGAAATTTGAATTTGAAGTCCAATCATTGTATCATCCTAAATTTTTTTTAAATTATATAATTATAGTGAAATGACAATCGATGTTCTAGATTTATTGCAGCGTCTAAAAATATTATCATAAGTAATAAATATTACTAACTCAAACTTTAATTATTAATGTTTATTCCAATTTGATTTCTAAAAACTATTCGATATGTTATTTAGCTTATCCAATAGTTCGATTCGATAAAGAGTTTTGGTCATTTATTGATCTATACCTTAAACATGTCAATATTGTCATATTTTGCAGTTGGGACATCGCCATGGAACTTTGCTCTTTAGGCGGAGGCATGACTCGTGACGAAGTGGCTCGTCACGAGGCGGCGGCGCTAGCCGACGAGCACCCGCACGAGGCCGAGGCGGCCTTCTTGCGCGCCTCGGCCCCCGAACACGCCGTGCGCATGTGGCTCACTCACGGCGACCAGCAGAGGGCGCTCGCTTTAGCGGAACAACACGCTCCTCATTTGGTACATTTATTGCCATCTTATTATATCACGACCGTCAACTTATTGAAAATTTGACTCGACATAGACTTTATTTGATGGCTTCTTTTAATCGAATGTGCTTTAACATAGTACGTCCATAACTTTATGAATTGCCGTTAAAAGTTGGTTTGGCTTTGATTATCGCTCACTAATTATTAATTTAGTACTCAGGGACGCAGTCTATACTTATATTAATCTAGGTCTCATCCACATTCCTCTGATAAACAGTTACACATTTAACTATGATGCAAGTCAGAAATGTACAAACCCTTACATCGAAATATTCAAATAATGAAGTCTCTAAAAGTTTTGTAGTTTAGACAGCTTGCGATAAATGCAACTATTCAATTTGACACCAGGTGGAAGAAGTGTTAGTGGAAGGTGCTCGCGCTGCAGCCGAGCGTGGTGACTTATCGCAGTTCGAAACACTCATGATCCGCGCTAACAAGCCACGCGAAGTTGTGCAGCATTATAAAGATCTTGGTAATTACTCAGAAAGTGTATTTGTAATTCGGAGATATTCACCGATGAAAACCTTGAATGAGTTAAATTTCTTTTAACATTTTATTATATTTTTATATCTATTGATTATTATGGTTAAATTCTTAATTACAAATGAAAAGTGCACGATGTTAACCTTTACCTTATTGAATATAGAATTATGGGATGAAGCGGCGCGTGTGTCTCGCGAGTACTTGCCGGAGAGCAGCGCCAGCAGCACCGGCAGCGGCGAGGGCGTGCCGGGCGAGGTGCCCGCGCTGCTGCAGCGAGCCGCCGCACACGCCGACAGGGAGGACTGGTGGGAGGCCGTTAGATTACTCGGTATGACTTATAACAAGATATAGTCGTATTTAAGAGCCGTATACGAGACATCGTCAAGGTCGTAAAACGATAACAATTAATAAAAAAACGTGATTAAGCATAGGTATACAACAACACACTTTGTTAAACAAAAAAATATATTTAAACAATATTTAAATAGAGGAAGAAGGTACAACAGTAGGTATTAAATACCATAGCAAATAATAGTAATACTCTTACTAATAGTGGATATGGAAGCAGCACTATAGTGTTCCTTATATTTTACACGACTATTGACTAACAAGTTTGCTGTAACTGAAAAGTTTTGGAGATATGTTGGACAGATTACAATAAAAACCTATATATACTTATGTAACAAATTTAAGAGCCACCTAGATTTGAGAGCAGTTTTAAGGTTGACGGTGACTATATTAAGACAAGGCGGAGTTTGTTTTAGTGTAACAGACATCTTGTCAAAAATGAATTAAAACTCTTAAAAATTTTTAGTAAATTTATCAGGATGGGATTAGGTGTAAGAAAATATTTATATTAAGATATATTAAGAAAATTTCAGAATTACAGAATCAGAAATAAAACAGCTAAATCCTTTTTATATTGGTGCCATGGAAGACACATGCTTTGGCATTCCTGAATGGGGTTACCGTAGTCCAAACTTTAACCCTGACAGACTGAAAGGGCGGCAACGTACTGTGGCTCTCGAGTGGTTTCCATGGTTGAAGATGACCTTTACTTACTATCAGGTGAACCGTCTGCTCTTTTGCTTCCTATACCACAAAATACATAAAAATAAACAGGAAAAATATTTGTTTTTTTCGATTCTAAAAGTGCCGACATGATGTTTTTTATTTTGTTTTCTTTTTTAAAAGACTACTCCCGCACTAGAAATAAATCCTGTGTCGCGGGGGACTTTACAAACATACATGAAAGGGACACAAAGGGCACCCAAACTCAGAACAATAATTTGTGGATTACATAAAGTGACCGCTTAAACCGCTACGCCATCCGTGCAGACAATATATATCAATGTTGTACGTATATACATAGCATATGTTTATATTATATATAGTTATATTATCAATGTATTTCAACCCAATTTTGACTCTCGTGTACCCGGGGCCAATATATATCTAAATACTTAAACACCGTGGTACCAGAGCTATGACAAAGATTTGAATCACAGTTAACACAGTTTAATATAAGTCGGTTAAAATTATCAAAATACAGAAATGAAAATTTAGAACAAATAAATACAATAACTTGGAGCACCATTGATTACACGGGTCACTCACCTGTAGACGAAGCGACGGTAGCGATACAAAAATGACAGCAACATCAAAACGAGCCTAGCGACGCGGCGACGCGACGGCGTGGGCGCCGCGTCGAATAACACTCTTATCACTAATCAGCCTGTCTAAGGAGAGGCCTATGTCCAGCAGCGGACAGTTAAAGTCTGTTGATGATGATGCTGATAACTTATTAGTTACTTCACTTTCTTTTTATTTAAAATCACTATATCAATTTATTAAAATATGAATACCACTCGCAACACTTTTTATTCACTAGATCAATATCAACTTAACAAAATACATATTTAATAAAATAGAGTAGAATAAACTTTATTGTACACCAGTTTAGTACATCAAACATACAATAGTAATTAAATTAATGTAAATATAATTTAAATTTTTAGGTTTGTAATGTGTGTTTTCGTTCACATCAATGCATCGAATACACCTTCGCATCATGATTTCTCGTATTTTAGCACACAAGTTGTCATTCGCGGCTCAACCTCTTATTTTATCAAATGCACTAATTATCCTCGGTCTTAGGTCTTCTATTGAAGTGACGTCTGTTGCGTACACTTTATTTTTCACACATCCCTATCAAAAAAGTCTAAAGGCGTGAGATCTGGTGATCTAGGTAGCCATCGTGTAGGCTTATAGCGTCCTATCCACTGTTCACCAAACAAGTGGTTAAGATGCTCTCTGGCAGCCACAACGAAAATTCGGCTGTCTGTAGGACTTACACGAGTGGTTCCATATTTCTCACGGTTTGTCCATAAATTAAACAAAAGAGTTTGGTGGCATTCCCCGTAAATTAGGACCATGTCAGTATACTCCGCGGCTGTAAAGGTCACTCGCGGCATTATGAATGTTAATATCGATAAATCAATATAATTAAAACATAAGTAAGAAACCTAGTTTCACACATACACACACTCCACAACAAAACTAATATTGTTACTTTCAATATAAAATCAGACTTCAAGACTTTGTCTTGCACCAAGTGACACTACTCTACTTTCTAGAACCCGGAAGTCATCGAATATTAAATAATTAAATCAATGCTGCGAATTGTCAAAGCTCGAAAAACATTAGTATAATAAGTTTGCCCGTAGTAATCATTACTACTGTAAACATTTAATATAAACAATATAGTTTACGCAGCCTTATTTATTAGTATATTTTGTTTATAATCAATATGTACAAAAAGTGTGCAATTACGATGCATAAAGCAATAGGTTGGTAGCGATGATCCCGATGACACAGTAACCAATTACATGCTTTTGTTTTATTTTCGCCGACACTGGCCAACACAAGTTTATGAACCTTGTTGTCAAACACAGTATTATCTTCCGTATACCGTTGCAATATGTTTGATTTTACTTTGAAGAAATTCGGTAACAGTAACAGGGTCGGTAAAATACTTTTTTTTGTCTGTTGTTCAAAAATGCCCAACGCGCCTTAAGAAGTTTTCACCTCAAAAATATGTTTCGTCCCAAGATATATGTATACACTCGTATAGGTTACGATTACCAGGGCTTATGTAAGCATGTGTTCGCTACAGGAGCAGCGAGCGCGGCGGCGGCGAGCGGAGCGGCGCCGCGCCTGGCCGAGCGAGCCGCGCTGCGGGCCGCGCGCCTGGCGCGGGACCACCTGCACGACAGGCGGCGCAAGCTCGCCGCCGACATGCTGGCCGACAGGTGAGCGATAGGACTTCACATGGAATATACCTAAGCATACAGTGAACGAGAGAGATGGATAATGATAGATGCCTCTATCTCTTTCTAGTCGAACTCTGTGGACAGCTGGGGAACTTGATGTAACAGAGGCTGCCTCGGTGGCGCAGTGGTAGTTTAAGCGACTGCCGTGCTGAATTCTCGGGTTCGACCCCGGGGTGGGACTAAATGTTTGTATAATCTGCAAATATTTGTTTTGGAGTTTGGGTGTTTTCTATGTAAAACATGTATGTATTTACAAAAAAAAAAAGTTTATAAGTAATCTATCTGTCAATCTAGCTTTCACAAGCTAGCATTTAGCTTTTTAGTACAAGCTCTGCTGAGGTTGAAACTAGATGGCGTTTTGTGTAAGATGTCCAAAAGAAGAGAGCTAACCAGAGACAGAGAAAACTATCGGACGTCTATCTCTCTCGTTGCCTGTATAGCTTCCAGTTACGGGCAGCTGTACCCCGTATTCTCTCTATGCTTATATCCCTATGGATAGAACCGCTAACTCTGCACCTATAACGACGCCTATAGATTTATTTACTCTTGTATGAGATGATTTAAACTATCATGGACAGTTTAAGTAGATACACTTGCTTTGAAATTTTTAACGCTCATTTGTTTTATACGATTGATGTTTGCCTTAAGGCCCTTAAGGCCACATAGAAATTTCACCACGAGGTTTTTATCCGCGCGGAAATAAATCACCACCGTATCGCGTCCAATTTGCATCAAATCACAGTTTTTTAGAGTGGTTTTTTTTTTCGATAGTGGGGATAGTCCTATACAGGATGTCGACGTCGTAACGAATACTGAATCAAAATCATAATTCTGAGTAAAAAATAATTGGATTTTTCTCGGGTAGGTATCGTACAAAAGTAATAACTACATTTATATTTCGTGCAAACAGACTACTTACTTACAGCATAGATTACCACCTAATAGATTCCGCATTATTGGATCTTTGGTCCGATTCGAGTTCACCAAATTTGGCGGTATGCATGGGTTGTGGGGGACGTGTTAAAGTCAAACATAAAATGCACCAAACCACTGACACAGTGTTTGGACGTTTATTGATAAATAATTATTTCGATCAATGTTTATTTGAAGTTTCTTAAAAAAAATAAAAAAATATATATATATTTCTGTGGCTCCTGTGAAAATTTATACAAATAAAAAAATCAATATTTGCCAGGAGAACAAAAATAAAATTTAAAAATTCTTAAAAGTTTAAAAGTTCGCAATCTAAGTGGGCCAAGTTAAATATGTAATATTCTTTTGTAGTTAAAAACATTCAATTTCACTGTACATTTAAATTTTAGTTATAATACACACAAGTCTTGTTAGATTATGTTGCACCTATAAGCTGTCTACGTGTAAATTAATATTTATTAGGTGCAAATATCTCATCACTCAACTTTTTTCTTATCAATGCCTTTTTTTCTGTGCGAAATCCCCTCGGACACCACCGACTAAAAACCGCACGCCGTCTTGGGTACCAGTAGCCGGGGAAACAGGTGTACCCTAGAAAGGAAATCCCTGGTACCCCGACGTACCTCGGGGCATCTACGGCGGCTAGATAACCCCCTCCTATGTGGGAACACCGTGTTCCCTTGGTTCCCTGTTTTCTTTCCCTTTCCTGGCTTTGATTTTCAACCATATGATGAATTTTAGACAGTGGAATTTAAATAAATATAATGATGATGGGATATAATGATGGGATGACCTAATGAACGGATTATAAGAAGAGATTTGACAACTAAGATAATCTTAATCTTATGAATGTAGATTTGCAGCAATTGGTCAAGATGAGATAGGTGAACAGCTACGAGCGGCTCTGACGGAAGGATACTCAGGTGATGATGATGCTCCAGGTAAATTACCTTTTAATTAGCATAAGAAAATCATGTCATATTATTTCATATTTTTTTATAACAATTGAGGAACTAATTTATGCTGACCTGAAGTCTTCAGACGAGTTATTAAACTGTATTAAGGTACTTCACCAAATTAACATGACAATACGTCTTGTCATGTTAAGTTGGTGGTGAAGTTGAAAACTAGACTTGAAAATGATTGCAAAATAATATTAAAAGTTATGAATATCATTCGAGATAAGTTTATTTCGTCAGGAAATCCTATAATTATTTTATCGTTATTTTGCTTGGATGCTCAGATATAAAAGAGAACTTTACTGTGCTGTAGCTCTCTTTAAAAGAACTTTCTTTGTTGACAACGGAAGCCAATTGGTATTTGGAATTGATTTTGGTATACGAAATTTGGACATAGATAATTTGACTACATCTCACTGGATGTCTATCTATATTGAAGTACACAGACACATACCATATAAACAGGTCCATCAGAAGACTATGCAGAAGAAACTGAAGCAGCACCTCGCGATTCTGAAGGTGATGCTGCGGCAGAGGCTGAAGCGTTGGAAAGATTGGCGCGAGCGGGACACTGGACGCGCTGTCTCGCTCACGCAGGGCTCAAGGCACCACATTATGCTCTAAGATATGCTGCTCACCTGTTTAAGGCACACCCGGTACATCAATCTAAATAATAAATTTAACGTTTTTAGTGATAACTTTAGGTGCGACGAACTTAATACTAATTCTCTTATTAATGCAATAGTAACTTTCCATTACTTCGGGTGAGAAACAGTCGCACATCACCACTAAAACGTAATTTATACAATAACACTGTCACGATCTTTGTCATTATCTTTGCAAAAGTTAGTACTTTGCGGCAATACATATATTTTTACGACGATTTAACCAATTCAACAAAATAAAATGTTGATAATTATTTACTTTTGTAAATGAAATAGTGTGAGGAGGCTGTAGCATCTGTGTAATACTCGAGTTTAACTGTCAGGTAGTAAATATTGCAGTACCAACAGCGTAAGTAGTTTTTTTAATACTTGCGCAGGGTGATATTCAGGAAATAGGAAATAAGATGATAATTGCAAGTAAATTAATATTGGAGGCAAGTTATTTTACACTGAAAACATACTTTCTGTTTTTTTTTGACATCAAGCATAATGTTTACAATTTACAGCGTATGGAAGGCATAGACATCGAAAGTGAAGAAGTGCCAGAAGTACTATCTCAGATTCTAGACGTGTTACGGCAATATGTAGCCACTGGAGAGCCGGGGATGGACTCTGTCATTGTTGCGAGCGACGTGCCGCTAGCAAAGGCAGTGTGTAGTGAACTATTAGTTCGAGTGTCAACAGCACCGCGTGCTCTCACTACCTTAAGAGACGCTGCTTCAGTCATGATGTGTGCTGCAGCTGATGACAGGGCATTGCAGGTACATTACTGAAGAAATCTCTACTTGATGTTTAAGATCACTTTATGCAGTGTCTATGTAATAAGTCACAGATAGCGTATCCAATGTTCGTAAAGTCAAATCTGATTGCAGATACCAACTGCCAAACCGTAATCGTATATAAAGACTGACGATTGAGACAAACTAGATCTGTAATAATATTATTCAAGGTTAAATAATAGCCCTATCGAATGGATGATCTTCGGTTTATAATGATTGTACTCTGTTGCAGGCTGTAACTCTGTTGATTGCTCTTCATGTGCCTAACATAGCTTCAAGAGCGGCTAGGGCTCTGCCTCGATACACTGATATTATTGTCGCAGATGTCGGTAAGTACGTTTAATACGTACCTTTTATTACTTGCCACACCAAGCCGTAGTTTATCTACATATTATAGCAGGTGTCATGTCCTGTAAATCCTACGTTGTTTTGTTACCCTGTTAGTATGGTAATAATTGTTATCAGGCTATGAGCTAAGTATTTTACATTGCCTGTTAATAATAATATTTAAAAGATGTCTATTAAAGGATCAGATATAACATCATTGGGAGGATTTTTACTGCCGTATCTAAAGTTCAAACATTTAATTTTACATACTTCTAACACAATAAAACGAAACATGAGCATCATGATCATGATAGAGTATGACAAATAATTTTAGGAAAATAAATATTGAAGGACTGTTTTTTTTTATAAAATAATAATATTTAAAAAATTACATAGTGTACTACGCTTGCGGTATGGCTATCCGTGGTGAGGGTCCGGGCGGATCACGTGAAGCATTTGTAATGCTGAATCGATGCCTTGACTTAGCCGAAGCAGCTGATGACGATTCCGTACACCTGCTCGACTATACGGATTTTGGTAAGTATGAAATCAAAATAGCATTTTTCATCATTAAAAATGAAAGATGAGAAATAATTTTATGGAAGACCAATAGAAATAAATATAATTGTAGGGTCTGACATGTAACATTACATACTTTTCAATAAAAAGGTGTATTTAGTAACATAAATTAAAGTATAACAAATATGTTGCTAAATCTTAAGCTATTTAAATAGTCCAACTAATCTAAGAGGTACCGTTTGATTCTTTTCAAGACCAAACAATTTTGTATAGGCGTAACTCACACAATTTCAATAAAATTTTCAGTAAAATCATGGAAATATGAAGCTAGGTACTTTTATTTTAACACAAGACGTTTATATCTATTATATAATTTAAATCTTTTAAACAATGTGAAATAACCAATATATTCAGTTTTATTTTTATGACTTCGTTTTAAAGTCACGTAGTTAGGTCCTTCATTCCTAGGTTGCGACTTGAAATTCATTTGTACACGAATAATCGTAAGTTCGAAAATGTAGGAATTATCGAATTTATTAATAACGAGTAGTTTTTAATCCAAGCGTCTTTTAGCATTTACTTATACTTAAATTTCAGCTTACATCCAACTGTCAATGAATGACGCATAAATAAAATTAAGAATAAAAAAAGAAAAGTCCGAAAAAATACCTCTCTCTTCTAAAATTGTGACATTCTGACATTTACATACTAAAATGTACTACTAAAACCAGAGATATAATAATATAGTGGCTTTCACATACTTACATATTTATGTAAAACTATAACCGTTGAAACATACCTTGAGCGGTGTCACATATACATACGAGTACTTATTACGCGTACTGATACTTGAACTAAAGTAGTGGTCGCCTGGCAATCGAATATCGACTGTTTTGAATGTCTTGCTTCATTTCAACGTCCATAGCATGGTTTTGTACCATGGTAGGTCAAAATATATACTGAACGTCTGTAGTTTAATGTAGCCATAACGGCTAGATAATTATTTATTTACCTTATGGCACATTTTCTTAAAAAAATTAGCTCACTGTGCTTCTACATACATACATACAGTGGTATTTCAAAATTGATATGTTTTCATGAGACTTATTGACGTATTAATACACAGATTTGCTTCACTTATACAGTAAATGTTGTATCCTTCAGAATGTACCGATTGGAGTCGAACGCCATTACTTTTGGAGAGCGGGTGCGTCAAGGGCGCTTCTTTGGATGATGCGCGGGAGTGGGTGCTCGCTGTATCCATGGACCAGGCAGTAGAACAGGTTGTTGATATCATATTTTTGGACAAAGCGATCCGAAACGACGAACGAAGCCTTACTAGCTATATAAATGTATTGGAACAATGTGCTTAAAATAAGAAATATCCATAACAAGTATGCGTACAGGTACATATAAACCATGTAATATAAGTTATATCAAACTTAATAAGTAGGTGAATGTATTTCTTAACAAGAATTATTCAAAGTGTAAGTACTTGAGGGTTTCTGACAAGAGGATCTTATGAGGATACTGTCGTCATTCGTTAGTCTTTGAATATTTTAAAACGATTTAATGTACCTCAACGTAATTGTCTTTTGTTAACGTACCTGCTTTGATGAAATACTATAATCTCTCTATATATATATATTGATATATAAATTTTAAGTGTTAAGTTGTTTTGTGTACGCTTCAAAAACTTGAGATTGTCTTGAGAGACTTGAGAGATGTCGTAACTTGTGACGCGCTTATGTAACTTCTAATGGTTATGGATTCCAATTAATTACACTACAAACAAAAACTGAGAAAAGCTTTGATCTGTTTGATACTGAGGCTGCTTTCGGGATAGCATTTATTTATTTGTTGGTAGTTCGAGCGAGCCATTAATAAATTGATTACGGAAATTCGCCCATTTGAACAGCTCTGAAATAGACATTCCCTTTGTAACTTAAAAAATTATGTTACTTTTTAATTACATTTAACCGCCTTTTTTTGTATTTTGGTAGACGTTACCAGTGGATAGTCGCGGTATGTACGCATCTAGCGTAGCCGACAATGAAGCATGCTGTGTGCTCACCGGTTATCCGCTCGGCTCCAGGCTCGTCACGTTCACCAACGGTGAGTGTTGCCATAAGCTTTTTTTGAGCGTCGACTTTTGAATCGTTCAATAATTTGCTTTATGGATGTGTTAAAAATTTATTAAACTTTTAGTTTTTAATAGGCCTCAACACATACTACTTTTAGTTCAGAATGTTTTAAAGTTGACGCGTTTAATGCGTTGCGTATAGGTCGGTGTGCAAACCGCGAGTGGTGGTCGCGAGCCGTGAGCGCGGCGCGGGCGGGGGGCGCCGCCGCCACGCTCTTGCAGCACATCGAGGCTTGGTGTGGACCTGCTGACTACCACCACGTCTAGTTGTGCCTCCGTTTAAACCGATACATATTCTCACGAAGATCTATCACTTATACGTTACGTTTGGTTCGAAACCGACAAACAACCGAAACTACAAAACTGAGCGAAGAATACTCGTATCTGACTTCCCAGGTATGACGGTCTCTTTGTAACCTGTTATTCTGTACGTTATAACGAAAGACCTACATTCTTGCCTATTTATAAGTACGAAAAGGGTTCATATAACAGATCTTTTTAGAAATATATTAATTCATAGATTAACTCCGTCCAATGACATCATTAAAATAATTTAGCACGAGTTATTGATGTGTTTGACCTGTTAAAATAATAAAAACATAATTTGTCTTTATATCAACTTATTTGTCCTAAAAGTAATAGGTCTAATTTCGAGCCCAAATAATAAGTGTAATAAAGTCCCAGTTTTTCCTAAACCTTTCAATAGGACTACTTATTGATAGGCAATAAAACCTATCACCTACCTATTGATAGGTTTTATTGCCTATCAATAGGTAGACCTATACTATGTTCATAGCTTATTAAGTTTATGTTTTTAACTCTTGTATTAACAATGTGCATAATTATGTTTGTAAACCCCATAAGATACGATTTTGTTTGTACCTTACTGTATTATGTAATTATGTACTTACTTTAAAAGAGATTTGAGGTTAAAAAGTAAGGTTAATTAATAAAAGTTTAATAAAACACCATTATATTGTTTATATCGCTATAATAAACTCATTTGTTATCACATTTATTTAATAATATACTTTGACACACATATTGTTACTTACTAGGATTTGTAGAGATCCATTCCGTTCTCGTGATTAGTACTGAAAAATAAATTACTATTACAGTAGGTTTTTGTATTTTATTGTAATATTATTAATGTATTAGTCAAATGATGTTGATGTAATGAAGATTTTTTCGGTTTTTACACATTTTTCAGTATCATCAAGAATCGGAATGAGGAAACGTTTTCTAGGAAGAAACGATATGAGACTAACACTAAAGTAAGAAAGGTACAAAGTATGATATCCGATACCAAACCACACACGCGCTGTGCGCCGCACCGGCCGCAGCCCGCCACAGAGACCTAAAGGCCAATTCTCGTAATAAAAGTTCGGTCTCAATTCAACTCCGATCAACTTTCGATCTCACAACTGTCATAAAAGGTACTTTCGTATTATAGTATTAAACATCTAACGTTGACTGTATTGTGATAAAATCGCATTTTAACCAAAAATTGAATCGGTAATCTGCTGGCTGGAAAATTGAATCGGTAATACTTTACTATTTTACAACGAAAATACCTTTTCTGACAGTTGTGAGATCGAAAGTTGATCGTAACTGAATTGTGATCGAATTTTGTTCACGATAATTTTTGCCTTGCTTGCGTAATGCTAGTGTATGTCTTATAGATATAACAGTGTATTCCTAACTTCGGTCTTCCTTATGTAGCTACTTCACGGTCATTGCGAAGGCATTACGAAACTACGTTGGTAAAGCATTTTCGGAGGGTGTTTTTTTTTACGGGAACAAGTGATATTTTTTTCTGCAAGTAAAAAAATAAAAATCTTTTCAGATATGTTTAAAAGTCGAACTTTACAGCTAGAAGGCGCCGGCATTTCCTAAGACTCACTTTGGGAAGAACCGGCAAAACAAACCACAGAGGTATTTATTTTTACGGAACAAGTAATGAGAAAATGGATTTTTGAAAATTCCAATCTACCATTTTTCTTTCCGGTTTATTTTTAACAGATCTAATCTGTTTGATCTATGCAGTAATCACTGCATAGATGCATGTATGTACGCCTAACTTGACCTACATAGGATAATCATGCTTTATCGTCTGGATTAATAATAATAATAACTTCACACATTAGACACACGGCCACACAATCCTAAACTAGGAAGAGCCTTGGTAACGGTAATGGTAACCAGATTGCAGATAAACAAATTAAAATATTGTTTTTGTTATTAGACTGTCAATTGTCTAGCAAATACATGCTGATCTCTATGGCTTCAGATTCAGTGCGGCGCGCTTACAAATCGGCATCTCCGTGCGGTATCGGGCTCATCGAGGCACATCATAACTTTAGATTATGTTTATCCACTTTTCACTTACGTAAGAATTATACTTTGTCATTATTCTAAATATCAAGATAATAAGCGTAAGTAGTTTTGATCGATTCCAACATTGTCAGAATTGATAGTTATTTAAATATCTAGATCTTTCATTGTTACATTTGTAAATAATTTATTTATATTTTTGTCCAAATCAATAGAATACAAAAATGATAGTGTAAAAATATATTTAACACCTGATATATATTAGGCATATATTTGAATCGTTTGAGTATTATATTTAGTAAATCTAATAAGTGAATATATAATTTGATGTCTACTAAATACTTCTCTCTCTTGGAAAATTTACAACCACATTGAAAGAAAACGCAAGGACGTGCTGTGATATCTAGTGTCGATGTTTCTACACGACACCTGCTCGTGCAGAAAGAGTGCACATTAGTAGGTATCTTTGCAACGTCAGTAAGCAAGTTCAATATTGTCAGTTGAGCCACTAAGCTATGATAGCACTGGAAGAACATAGATTTTGATAAGATACATTTAAAAGTTATCTCACACAGGATATGTAGATTGTTACTAACACCGATGATCAAAATATCATTCATATTTAATTATATAGCTACATATGAAATTTGTATGTGTCTAACTAAATGAGCGGGAGCGGTGTGATGTAATCGCGGTAAGTGTGCTTAGTATCGCGTCCCGCGCCTACGTCCCTTATAGATAAATTTCATGAGTATTACATGAAGGGATATCATTTATTACATGAGTTCTATTACGTAATGCAACATACGTTCCGATATTGAAGATATTTAAGGTACTAGTCAGTAATATGTACGTTGGTTTCATCTAGATATTATAAAAAGATTAATATATAAACTCTTATCACGAAAGTGTTGTGCGTAGAATTTTTTTGGAAAAACAATCACAATAACTATGTACAGTTACAGTAAGATTTAGGATACCTAGAAAATAAAGTATTAAGTATACCATCTAGGTATCGAAGAGTTTTGTTAACCAAGTAGGTATACTTTGAAAAATTCACTAAAGCACAACCTTGGAAGAATAGTATCTAGACGCGCTTACTTACTAGAATATTATTTAGAAATGTATTAATCATATAAGGCAAAGTGTCGAAATTGGGGTTCATTTGATAACATATGTTACAAGATAAGGTTGATACGATTACTATGTACTTAGAATACACACATTTGATACTAAAGTTGTTGTGATTAAGTATATAAGAAGTATATTTTCAGAAAGTAAAACTTTCTCTACAAAAGGTACTCGAGAATTTTGAGGTCGAAGTTAAGAAGTGATACATGAAATGTAGATATCTTACAACTATTTTACACTATTGTACTCCACATGATTTTTTTTTGGGTTTTGTTGTAGGTACTATACTAAATATTTGGTTTTATTAAATTAGCGACACATACGATTTAGTTACATATAACATAAAATCTCTACAAATATATATTATTTATTTCTAGAGACCAAGCGCAAACACGATGAAATTGTTAAAATAAAACGCATACATTTCTTTGAGCTTTCAATAGATTACTGTAACAAATATTACCGTAATTAGGCGTACCCTCAATAGTACATAAACACACATTCAAAAAATTCGAAGCATTACTACAATAAGCTCCTTTTATTAAACTACAGTCCAAAAATGGTGTCGCTCGTGGGTCTCGTTTGGGGCCTTCCTTTTAGGACATGTTGTTATTTTTTGGCCCCACTAGATGATATCATTATAGATAGTCATCAATATCAACAAAACTGAATCAAACTACAGAAATATGTCGACATAAAGTTAACAACACATATATTTACACTATAAGAAAAATCATGATAATATTATTGGGTCTGATAAACAGCAGTATGTGGGCATAAATGAATGCTCGGCCGAGATAACAAATAGTATCTTGTTGGTCTGTGCTTGTGCGTGTGAGCCGTCGCGGTGCGCTATTAGTCGTCGCGGCGCTCCGGCGACGGCTCCCTGGATCAATCGGGGGACTCGTCCGCGGCCAACGACGTAGCGGGGAACAGTGGGTACCAACCGTACGTGCGCTGCGGCAGTGACAGCTTGTCCAAGCAGATCTCTGCGCCGCCTAATGCCAGGTTGTGTTCGAATCCACCGCATCGCTGCCATAGCATCACCACCAGAGTGCGACCGAGAGCTTCGCTAGCCTGAACAAATATACCATGATTTAGTCAAAGTGCCAATAGGATGAAGTAGTAGTAGTTGACGTTCGTCGCTCTAGCTTACGCAACCGGTCACGTTAGAGGAAACACTTTTCTTAATTCTACTTAGAAACTAGGCGTAATGGTAATAAAGTCTTACAACCACGATGGCGTAGTGGTTTAAGCGGTCACCTCGCCGCTTCCTACTACGCCGAGTGTTGTGGGTTCAAACCCCACATGGGACGACACTTTGTGTGATCCACAAATTGTTGTTCTGAGTCTGGGTGTTCTTTGTGTCCGTTTCATGTACGTTTGTAAAGTCCCCCGCGACACAGGAATGTATTCCTAATGCGGGAGTTGCCATTTTTAAAAAGGTAAAGAAAAAAGTACGTACAGAAGCGTTTATTTTCAAATTATGTACTTACATGGGGATAAACGCGATTACATAAGTTTATACCTTCTAATTGCCTGATATCCGTAATAACAATTACTATATATTATGGAAGGTGTGAGTTAATTATTTATTTTTCACTGTCGCAATTTTTCTTATTTGACAAAATATATACCTACTCTAGTTGTTTTTTAAGAAATTATAAACTCGAGACGTTTGACAAGGAAAAAAATTGTAAGTTAGTGTTGCACCTACACACATATTTATAACTCAGTTTAACTGATTTGTAACAAAATATTCCTAAAGGTGTAGTTATCATCTAAGCACTTCATAAAAATCTACACAATTGTTTACCTACGAGTAATATGGATATACCTACCTAACCATGCCTAAATATAAACTCCTTATAGCACAAAAAAATAATCTTAACTAATATTTTAAATGCGATAGAATGTTTGTTTGTTATGCTTTACATTTTAATCGGAAAACAATATTTGGCATACGCGTAGCTAGCGTTACTTAAAAGAACATAGTACCTTTAATCAATAAAAAAGTCAACAGGTCACAGTTGTCAAGAAAGAGTAAAATAACTTTTATTTCGTTTTTATGTATCTATTTCTATCACGTCTCATAAAATTCAAGTAATTTTAATAATAAAATACCAGATATTTAAGCGTCTGTTTGAAGTGAGGCTCCGTAGTTCGCCTAATGACACGAGTTTTGCGCTTATGAAGCCACTTGTCGCCATCTCGGAGGTAACACTTGACGTACGAGTCCGGCACTTCACCGTTCACGCCGTATACACGACGAGCATGCGATACCTAATACAATAATAACCATTCGATATAATATCTAAAGCTATACGAAATGCATTGTTAATGTATACTCGTTTTTTAGTGAATGTCGATTAAATAAAACTAATTTTACTTTATTATATATAAATATTTAAATTCATGTAATAACTTTTGTAATGAGCGAATAAAAATATATTATGTAGCATTCATTCAATCAATACACACAGATAGTACCACAGTTAGCAGAACTGATATATTTCGATATTAACGAGAGTCGGAAGTAGTGCTCAGTTAAGATAAATTGATTTGACATCTAAGTTTTAACCATAGAATAGACAAGACCCATATGTTTTGTAGATCGCCATAAATATAGCAGATTTGACTAGACTAACAAGTCGTTAAAATATGTATGTTAAATGCTTAAGAGTACCAAAAAATTTGCTAATGATTGTTTAAAAAGACCTCAAGCTCCAGTTGTCCCTTAACCATGATGATGCTAATGTTGATCTCGGCGTGTAGCGGCGCTAACTGTGCGTTACGTGGCGGCAATTGACCTGGCCCTAGCAGCGGTTCATCATCATCAGGCACCAACGCTTCGCACGCCGCTGCTGCTGGCACCGCTGCCCACATACTGCCCTTGCGGCCCGTTGCTGTACCTGCATCATGCAAAATAGTACATACTATTCGCCCCACGACCACCACCCGTACAGTGCCAACTTTGTGCGAAACCATTCATATCGACTGATGTCATACGGGTTGCGGCTGACATCTTCTTAACTCTAATTTTATAAAACACTTAAAAGGAACAAAAATCAGATTACAAAATGATAGTAAACCATTCATTCGAACACTTAAAATGATGAAAAATAAACATTTACATAAAATAAGCACGTCAAACAGCTTCGTGCCAATGTATACAGTTTTTGTTCACATAGACTTGAATCTTTCCTTTCCTAAACACATAAATGAAAGAGAAAGCATTTTATCGTGTGCAGCCAAGAGTGGAGTCGAGTTTCTAATAGTTGTTTGAAGCGTTCCTCAACTTAGTATGGTAAGCATTCCGTGTGATGAACAGCCATATTATTGATTGTTAGGAAAACTTGCGTTTTTGTGGAGGAGTACCGTAACATAACTCATGCCACCGCTGGCTTAGGCGAGCCGCGAGCGACCGCTACGTCATGCGCGACCGCGACCTACGCGTCTGCCAAACATATATCTACTTCCCCATTCGATAAAGTAAACAATGAAACGTCGGTTAAGAAAAACGTCTTAATGAACTACGGCCTAACTATAATAGTGTAATAATTATATTTACAAGAAAACTAATAGATGCGTATTATAACAATGAGTGACATTCGCAGAGGTAATGAAATCCAAACATCCTAGGCGACACAATGCCATCGAGATGAACGAAGACGGGCAGCCGAACAGACGGTACACAGAGACAGATGAAGTGAGCGTGATCGCCCGCGGCCGGGCATGCGTCAGGACAGTACAGTACAGACACAGTGAAGTAATGAAAAGCGTCGGGCGCAGCCACATTCAACGGTGCGTGCGCGCGGCCGCCGCGCAAGCGATGTATGACCCATGCTACTACGTGCCCCCAATGTCTACCCGGGCTCCCATCATCTGTAAAACGTTAACGCGCGCTCTGCCCCGATTGATTGGTCAGACTCGAACGAAGGAGGACGAGCGCTCTCGTTCTACAGTGACGCGGAGTCAGAGTTGATATGCGGGAACTGGCGGCCGTCGGACGTCACAAGGGATTGCGTACACCGACACCGCGCACGAATCAACCCTGTCCGGGTGAACGCGCGGGCGCGGGCACGAACGAGCAGTCGCTTACCGAGGTGCTAACGGTCCGTCGCTGCTGACCAAACAAGCACAACACAGTACAAATCAGTACTACCCTCAATGTTTGCATTGTCTAATGGTAGCGATGTGTAATTGGGGAGACAGTCGAGCGGGGCGTGTGTTTATTACATAATTTATACACCTTAATTTCGTCTAGATGTTTAGATAAGGCGAACCGAAAAAGTGGTTTGTGGTAATTGGAATAATCATGTAAATAAACAAATAATAAATAATTAATCGTAATCGGATTGAATCTACAAAGGGCTTATTGTTTCTATCATTATATTATACATTATTAAGCTAATCGAATGAAAAAATGCTTTATAGGAAAAGACAACACAAATTTATCTTAGTTAGTAAGGCCACGTTAATGTAAGTGTTGTAATAATAACAAGATTTTAAGTGAATATTATGATACTATATCAAGTGGTTGTGTGATAGAGATGATGCTCTTATAGATTGAATACTTACGCCTGGCGGTCGAGCCGGACAGTGATAACGTACGTCCGAGCTCGCCCTTTACGGCGCGAAGAGACCGTAGAATATCGTCGGGATCACGACGCACGCAAGACGAGCGTCGACGCTCGTTGCGCCGACAGGCTGCCATTGATGGCGATGCGTCGCCAGCCTCTACACAACCGCATCTCATGTTCGCTTATACTTTTATTATAAATTGGACTACCATTAAGTTAACTTTACTGAAGCAATTCAATTTAGTAAGTTCTTCAACATACTTATTTTTAATTGAAACCTGTTAGTTATGTAATTACCCTTCTCTTGTTGTTGGAATGAAGAACGTCGCGATCCAGGTAGGGATCGAGAAAAATCTTTTCCAAGTTGATAAACTTCGACCTCTAGAGTTTCTGACTGTGATGAACCGCGTCGCGAGCCGCCTACCCAAGCATGATCAGGATGAAGCAACGAAGCGCATTCGCCTATTGAATCCACATCATCTGAAACAAATTCAACATCCTATTTATAGTTCTAAATTTTAAGACTTGAAACTACAAACCATAAGTCAAGGTATAGTTAAGCGCGGATCCAAGACAAGAAGAAATGAGAATCGAAACATTGACACATGCTAGGTATTGCCACATACAGAACATTCAACATCAAACAAATGAGTTTTAAAATCAGACATGCTTAAAACATTATAAATATATGGTTGTCACTCACTACCTAAATATTTATTGCTATATAGGCTATATTAACATATTAACATTTAGAAATAAATATCGCTAGAAATAATTATCTTAGAAGAATTATCAAGAGGAATATGTTATACAGGATATCGGGACTGATGACTTTCACGAAGTCCATGGTACTGTGATAGTGTTTGTTAGGAATATATATAATAGTGTTTAATAGTGAATGGAATGGAGCTGAATATACCTCTCTATTTTGTCGTAATGGTGGTGTTTTCATCCACTGTCACGGATATCCGTTTCACATGAGAATATGGAGTGAGCTGTAGACATGCATACCCTAACAATGACAGTTACAAATACAAGTTGGTGGGCGCCGTGACAAGTATCATTGAACTCTAAATTTCTATACATTCATATTAATGTTTTTACAGGGTTTTATGCAGATGTTGCGCTGTCAGTTACTGCTACTTACATACAATCATATTATCACACTTATTGTCTTAGTTTATATGTATATTTGTCACGTTTAGGTTTCCACTAGTGCAGGAGTACTTATAACATGTATTGGTAGCATAGAAAATAAAATGGACAAGTGAGTGGCGACCATAATTAAAGCTTAATCGGGGTTGGATCCGCGTTCGGTACCTGACACAGAACGCTGGGAGGCGAAGTCTCCGCGGCGTAATGCGCGCGCACCAGTGAGCGAGCCGCGGGGTGAAGCGTTGGCTGATCGTGTGCCGCGTTCGTCGAGTGTCCACCATACAGCACGCTCCTCTGCAAACGCTTTCTCTAGGTCCATCTGATGTTTGATTTATAATTAAATTATATGTCCATTGATTTATAGATATCTCTAATTTTAGCGAGATATTACTAACATCTCGTGTAAGTTCAATTGGCACTTTAACGATTCTTTAATCAGTTTTTGGCACTAACTTTTAATTCACATTTTTTCATAAATAAATAATTATGAGTTAACATGTTTAATAAAAATTTGTTACTATGAATATTAACATTTAAAAAAGTTTAGTTTTACTTAAGTTACTATCAGTATACATACTATCAGTATAAGTTAAAAAGTTCTGCATCGATTGAATAACATATTAATCCTTAATATTTTTCTTTAAAATTAAGAGTGCTAATGACTTATGGGGTGCCAACAATAGTACAGCTAGCAACATTGTTTTGGTTCCTATTTAAAATGAAACTTCGTATGTATAACATTAGTAGACACTTACAATACATTCTCCAATCAGAACTGGTTCAATGCCTGGGCAGGCATCCCAAAGTGTGAGCTCTAGAGCTCGGCCTGCCAATAGGTCTGCTGTAAGTCCACCGAAGCTTAGCGTAGCGTTCCATACGGGGCTGCACGAAGCTGAAGCCGGATCAGTTTCCACCGGAGGGCAACTCTCACTAAACAAATAATTCCATGGTAACTTTTAAACTTAGAGCTGTGTGACCGAAAATGTTTGGCAGTTTTTTTAGTGGAAAAATGTAAATATAGCTTCTACCCGCTTTTTTCAAGAATTGGATAAAAATCAAATGAAGAAGAGTCGTCATTATAATACTCACCATTGCAATTATTGTACCTTACATGTACGAGTATTTAACAAGGACTCAATAGATTTTTAAAGTATTAAATATAGTTCTGTTATTGTTCGCTTTGTTGAGTAGAGTTGTCGTTTTTGCCTATAAACATTCCATTTTGAACGTACATAAAGCTGTTTTCTCTCCCGCTGGTTTTTGTATACTTACGTGTATGTACTATTAAGTTTATTAAAAAGGTTCGTCATTTTTTGGCTTGTTTTCCCACTGGGTGAAAATCTGGATAGGTTCATCTTAACGTCTGAAGTGTCCACACACAATATTAGGATAAAATCTTTTGTTAATTACATTGGAACACTTTTATCACGGTACAATTATAATATTGTACCGTGCTTTTATGGTTAAATATATTTTTCCATTCAAAATGGTAATAATAATATATTGTAACGACCAGAACATCATATGTAAAGAAACTGCTAAAAAAGTCATAAATATGCGACAGTTGGGCAAATGAAATTTAATCTTAATGTAATAGGATTAAATATTGTTTGACCGTTGTATATGGCACGTACAGCAACTTGTATTTTACGAGCAGACAGGTCACCTGATCGAAAGCGACTACCGGGAGTCACAAGCGCGTTGCCAGCCTTTAAGGAAAGAGTACGCTCTTTTCTTGAAGGTTTGAAGGTCGTATCGGTCCGGAAATACCGCAACCGATAACTTGTTCCACAGATTGGTAGTTCAAGGCACAAAGTGTCTTGAAAAGCGTACAGTGGTGGAGCGCCAAGTATCCAAGTGGTGGGGATGAAAATTTGCCGTGTGGAACGATGGCGGAAGGTTGCGGCCGGTATTAGTCCAAACAATTCCTCGGAGCACTCCCCATGATATATACGATAAAGAATGCAGAGCTACATCTTTACGTAACGTCAAGGGATAAAGCCGGTCGCAAATCTTTTGGCTATCAACGATTCGAGTCGCTCCTCTTTGGATTCGACCCAGAGGGAGAAGCTGGTACTGAGGTGCCCCTGCATAGAGATGAGAACAGTATTCCATATGCGGCCTTACTTGCGCCTTGTATAGCTGAAGGCGGTGGGCCGGAGTGAAATACTGCCTCGATCTGTTCAGCACACCGAACTTCTTCGAGGACAATTTGACTTTACCCTCTAAGTGACCGCGAAACTGGACTTCACTCGATATCTCGATGGTGGATCCTAGGATTGTAATACTGGCAGAGGCATTTAGGGAGGTGCTCTCGAACCGAGGCGATACGACAAACGTTATCTTTTTTGCGGTGAACGCGCAAACCCGTATCTTTTTTGGGTTGGGTAAGTTTAGATAATACCACAATTTCAAAAAAAATGAGAATCAGTTATGTTAGTTTTCTTGGTAATAGTACCAGAAACAAAAAAATATATGTATGATAAAATCGATCTTTAATCATTAACCTCTTGAACCTGTGCAAAATCGGGGCGGGGCGTTAGTATTTAAATAAAATAACATTTCGTTTATAATCACTATAATGGTTATCAATGAGTCTTAAACGAACAATTATCATCACAGTTTACTATTATTCTTATTTCGATTTTGTTTTATGTACTTTTTCTTTAATTCTCTCTAAATCTTACGCCTTTTTGCTATTTCGGATTCAGATAATTGTGATATTTTTACGTATTTATTTTTTCTTCGGCTTCATTTCTTCTTCGTTCTACCCTTATCGTAGAGTTATTTATTTCAAGTCGTTCTGTATAATTACGTTGTCATTCCGCTGGTGTTAAATGCATGTTTTCTAAAAGAAAAAAAATTCTATGCCTACGACGCACATTCACATTAATTCACAATTTATACATATTTGTTTAATTTACTTAGTATTATATTTTAAACTAATTGTAATATAAGGCTGAAAATGGCAGAGTAATTGTAAAGCAGTAATAGGTGGGTGGACTGCGAGGCAGAGGTCAATACGCCTATCCCCAGGCTATGTATATAAATAATCAATTATCACTTGCTTTAACGATGAAGGAAAACATCGTGAGGAAACCTGCACGTATAAAAGTTCCAACGGACCTGCACCCGCACTGGGCCATCGTGGACTATGGCCTGACCCCTCTCATACTGAGAAAAGGCCTGTGCCCAATAGTAGGACAGTTTAATACAGGGCTGCAATTGTTAAATATGATTACTTGTTTATAATATGCCAATTAATAGTTGACTGCAAATAAAAACCAATAAAAACGTTCATGTACATAATCACGTACACATAAACGAAATTCGAAATTACGAAACAGTTTCTAGTATAAAAGGTGTTGATTTGCATTTGCAAGAAATTCATTATTTTCATGTAATTGTGATCAGTTTCAGCACTATAGTGCTGATACTGATTACAATTACATGAAAATATATTACATTGGAGAAATATTTTTCTCGAATTCATTTAAATATCAGAAATAAATGTCATAATGTCGCGGCAAAACAAAAATACACATAGTACTCACATACAAGTTTTACACAAACCTTTACCATTCATATCTGTTACGTAACAGATAAATAACGTATATATGAAGAAAAGTCACGTGTCTAACTTAAAAACATTTAATACTTTATTATAATTTTTATTATACTTAGAAAGAATGAAATCGACAAAATATCTTTTCTCCTGGGAATATCAAATCAATATTAGTACTTACCGTTATGATATAAAATCTCAAAACAAAATAATACCACTATTATCAAATTAACTCCACCATTGAAACATCTCGCACAAATCCAGTAAGCAAAATTGCGGAACGGTTACTGTTACGCCATCTGGAGGGAAAGTTTGTTATCGAACGTTACCATCACAATAATTTTGTTTCTTACTATGAAAACAATTATAAAATATTCAACAAAGAGGTATAACCGATATGACCGAAATTTGAGACAGTAGATTAAGTTAATAAGTAATAATAATAATTACAGAAATATTGCAAATAAGCTCTATTCAATTTCATAAATTTGTTTTTATTTTTAATTAAGTGAATGTATATTCTATTATTTTTTCATTATTCACTCAAGAACAAGGACATTAAATATTTTCTGATCTAAGTCCTGTGACTTTTAATTTACTTCATTTTAGTTAATTTAGCTGGTATTCCGGTCGTTTTCTACCAAACGTTAAGTGTACCAGTGGTCAATGGAAATTGCTCAGTTGCGCAGGATTTGCGCTGGATTTGCGTAGCAGAGCGCCGCTGGTATACCAGGTAGCGAAGGCTATGCGACCGTAGCCATGACTCAGACGCTAGAGAAGTGGAACTGTACGAGGGGTACCGACAAGCCAAGAATGTCCCCCAGTTAGATATTACCACGGCCAAAGTTCGGGCCTAAGAAGAACTAATAGAGACTTTGGACAGAGATCCATGAGGACGGCCCTACCGTATGATAAGGGCAAACTTCGCCCATACACGCCCCCATTGATCGTAAGTCTTAGGCCTCAGCTGGTGGAGGAGGTAGTGTGCTCGTTGTTCCCCTCGCGGGGGCAACATACTGCCCCGCCTACAGCTCCCGCTTCGTACCCTAGCGACGTCCAAGGCGATGAAGACGCGCCCGAAGTGACCCGGTTGGAACTCGGTTTTACGGTTTCAAGTCAAAAGCACCGCCACGGGGCCCGATAGCATTCCCGGCCGGGAATGCCAGGCCTTGAAGTTTCTTTCGTAGGGCATCTACAATGCATGCTCGGAACAGGGCCAGTTTCAAAGCAAGACTAGAAAATAGCTTTTGTTGAAGAAGGAAAGGCGATATCATGCTGGCAATAGCGGCGGTAAGACCCGTCCTACGAGAGTGGCTGGAAAGGAAACACGGAGCTGTCACCTTCCGGATAATACACGTTTTTTTTCGGACATGGTGGCTTCGACAAGTACCTGTGTCGAATCGGCCGGGAGCGGTGCCATCATTGTGATGACTGCCCTGACAACACGACGCTTCACACTGGCGGAATGCCCAGCTTGGGCCAGCCAGCGTCGTGATCTTATCAGTCAGTTCTGCGGGTGGCGTCTCGCTGCCGACCTTGGTTTTGTCCATGGTCCGCAGCGAGAGTGCACGGAGGGTTTCGCTTCCTTCTGCGAACATGTGATGTCCGCAAAGGAAGCGGCAGGAAGGGAGAGAGAACGCAGCACGGCTGCCTCTACCCGCAGAAGGAGCACCGGACGCTGGAGTTACGTTACGTTTATCTTATTAAGTGACCCGCTGCCGACCATTTTGGGGCATTTGTCGTCCGAACAGATGCAGGCCCGCAAGGCAGCGTTCAGTGTTCCGTGTGCGCTTCTAGAGGACTGTGAGCGAAGGGTAATGGTCGCAACGGGTGACGAGAACTGTCTTGGGTAAGACGGGTCAAAGCCTGTCGGGGGTGGCGAAATAATGCAATTGCGATTCAATGCAATTGCGATTCTCGCTCTCCCGGCCATTGGTAAGGAGAGGAACACCGGGGTGGTTTTTAGTCGGTAAGAGTCCGACAGACCCCCTTCGCCATCCCCATGGGCGATTTACATCCATGAGGAGCTTCCACCCCGTTAAAAAAAAAAGCTGGTAGTCTTAATTTACATGCTATTATGGTGTTTTGTTAAATATAGAATTGATATTTATTAAGACAAGTGGCAATTACCTGTGTTAAAAATAGAAAATTGTTTTGGGACAGCAAAACTTCCATTTTTTTTAATATAACTCATAAAATGTGTAACTATCTGTACTGTATTAAATATAAGACTGGCACTAGAATAAATTAATACACTACTCACAAAAAAAAATAAAGGATTTTTTCGGTGATTTTGATGTGATCAACTAGCTGTAACTCCAAGTAAAAAGCACAGCCAAATAAAAAAAGCTAATTGTAGCTCTTA